TATTAATTTCTTCTCCGAAATATATATCATTCTGCTTCTTGATTGCAACATTATTCTCCTAATTGTATAAATTACCAGAGGAAAAATCGCTAATGTACTGGGTAACTAAGTTAGTCAAAGCAATAGTCCTGAAAAACCTAGGTTTGACTCCTGATCCTGCAGCCACCTTTACTTGGATTGTAAAATTATTAATTTCTTCTAACTGTATAAAATTCTTCAGGGTAATAATACTTATACCGTGCTGATGTGCACAAGTAGGAAAAATAGGTCCTGGCACCTAAATTGGTCAAAACAATAGCCCTAAAAAAATTCATCTTTGACTCTTATTCCTGCAGTCACCTTTACTTGGATTGTAAGATTATCAAACCCTTCTCTTATAATCGTAGAAAATGCTTTAGATTCATACGGTTTATTCAATAAAACTTTATTTAATTAGGAAAAGAAGGCTCCAGTAGCTAAATTGATCAAAGCAATATCCCCAAAAAACGAAGTTTTGCCTCTTGGTCCTGTAGCCATACTTGGACTGAAAAATTATCAAATCCTTCTCCTAATTGTAGAACATTTTTCTTCTACTTCATACCAATTCATACAATTATTCAAAGAAGGCTCCAGTAGCCAAATTGATCAAAGCAATAGCCCTAAAAGATTCACGTTCGAGTCCTGGTTCAATCAGTTAACGTCTTCTCCTACAGTACGTGGGCAAATGAAGTTCAGAAGTATCCCGAAAATTGGTATCAGTACAATTTCCAAGCTGAAACATTCGAGTTTTTATCGCAGTAGACTTGGAACGTATCCGTGCACCTAGACCACAGCCAGGACAGCGGAAGACACTGTATCATCGTCTTGGCGTGACACCGTTACGTACGCGGGCGGGGAACGATCCATACGATCGGTTGGCGCGCAGCAGCACCATTCAGCCTGGGCTCTGCCAATCACCATTAACAGTGCTCGTATAATATAATCGCATCATCGAACGGTTAGGGCCCCCGGTACAGTCGCTCCGTCGAATTCTCGTTCTGTTCGTCTAACGAGTCTAAAGTACCAATAAATACTTGAACGTTTCAAAACTTTCTCGGTGGACCGGAGAGATCCCAAGAAACGCAAAAAGACACGAATAGAACCCCCATTCCTGCATAAGACGTGCCAACCACTATCGATTCATACGGGCCGGGGTCTGGGTAGGATCAATAGTCTTTTCGCATTATCTCTGATTCTTCACTGTTAGTTCTCATGGTTCTATAGCTGGATCACCACTCTGTGGTATCTTGTTATGGGTCAGGATTGACCCAACCGTGGTCTATAATTTGGAGGATTCAGTGGAGAAAGTTTAACAGTAAAACAATTCTGATTGGAGTCAAGCCATTAATCGAAAATGACAAAATCGTATAAACATTAGGAGAGGACGATGCCAGGGTCCATTTTGACTCGAGTGTTCAAGAGTATCACTAACGACAAGAAATTATGCACTAGGGTTCAGACTGACCCAGACTCACTAGGGTCTGAACTGGCCCAGACTAACAAAGGATGTTCATGAAGTGATACACGTCGATTTTTCTGCAACTTTGCTCGGTTGTTTATGGGGCCGACGTAAGAATCTTACCGTGCTTGGTTGGTGCTACCTTTAGTCCGAAACGTGCCTTTTACTTATTTGTGTCTAACTCGTGAACTACAAAAGATATCGAAATAAAGTTTAGATAAATTTTGAATCATTTTTTTGTTGTTCATATATTTTTTCTACATTTTTTTTTTGAAATTTACATTTTTTTGAAAATTTTCTTGTCGATATATAGAGACCTAAAAACGGTATAAAATTTGTCTGAACTTTTTTTCGATATCCTTTGTAGTTTACGAGTTAGAAGCGAATAAGTAAAATCCACGTTTCGAATAGAAAAGGTACTTTTTTCCTTAAAGTCTCGAAGATCCATTAAACAAACACGGCAAGATTCTTAAGTTGGTCCCATAAACAATTGAGCAAAGTTACAGAAAAATCGGCGATCATCTTTTGTCAGTTGTTTTTGGTAGCATTCAAATCATCCCGCCTAATGAACATTCTACCTATCTGTCTATCCAGAATAATGATAGGACATTTCTGAGGTCCAATTTTCGCCGACCACTAGACGAGGGTTAATCTCTCGGGTCTCGGACGACCCTACTTAACCGGTGCTTGGGGTTCAAAGCTGCTAAATTGCTCGTCTAATTGCTCGCTGTTTATTGCCGTGAAAGAAATTTCGTATTGCTGAACGAAGAATGGCAACATCCGTCGTCGGCTTTATGATTCTATTGTCACGGTAGAAGAAACCGTCCGTCCACTCGAACGCGAGCACGCTCGCTAATCGACGTCGCGCTAATGGCCTGATTAATAAGGGGAGCGCGTGCGCGTTTCTGTTGGCCGGTCGACCTCGGTTAATGAAACCGGTGCCCTTTGTTGTAAGAGTTGCCGCGCTGTGGTTGTGTTGCAAAGGGAAATTGTAAGTTCATCTGTTGCGTCACGCCTCGTATAGCGTCATGGAGGATTTTTTTTCAGGCAAGGTCGTAGGATTGTAGTATTTAAATTATTATCTTTGCGACTAATATGCGTAATTGCCTAAAATCTGGTATAATAAATCCTCGATGAGTGTTCGAAGTTTCCTCGGTACTGGACATTAAATATTTCATAAACTAATGACCATATACGACTGAAACAAATAATTCCTTCGGAATTCCAAGCTGTATCACTTTTCTAAACCTCATTAAAAAGTCGACGTTACACCTGGGAACCTCTGTTTGTCAACGCCGAGGAGCCTTCGAACACTCATTGAAGATTTGCTGTATATTTAAATTTTTTAAAAATATTTCTGTTTTTTTTTTCGAGATATGTTTTTCTTTATCCTTTTATTCCCATAGGTTGAATTGTGACAATTTTTTTAACTTCTGTCTCTATATATACAGGGTGTACCAACAAGATGAGTACCCCAGATTATCTGGGAACGGTGAAGTTTAAGCAAAAAATGTTTGATTTAAAAGTTTTAGGGTTTAAGACTAGGCATCTGATGGTGATATTGATCGTGACGTTGGGGTCAAATTTAGAGGTCATTCTGAGGTCAATTCGATTTTTTTAAATGGCGATTTTTGTTTCCAGAAATGAGAAGAACAGAAAATTTTACGTTCAGACTTATGGTCACATCTTTGGATCGAAATGCGCCCTCTTAGCGGTTGTTTCCTAAACTAAAATGTTTAAATAGATACTGACTTGCTTATTAGAGGGTAGTAGATCCTGCAACGTTCTTTTATGTCGCAGGTCAAATAAAAAATGGATCTGTGGGTGTTTATGGAAACTGAAGAGTTAAAAAAGTTTTTGTGGTATTTGAAGTCTTATGGAACTCTTATATGCCCGGCAGCCATCTTGGTTTACGTTTGAATTCTGATTGTAGTACTTAAAACTATTGTTATATCTGAACTATGGATTTTATACATTCATAGCATTCAATATTGTCTAAAAGTTAGTATATTTTATTGTCCAATAATTTTTAATTGTCGTTTGAAGATTCACAGAAATTATACGTTACCAGTAAAGTGCGGTAGCCATCTTGGTTTTGCGTTGTATGATTTAGGATTATAGACTTCAAATTACCGTTGCAACGAAATTTTTAATTTTATGCAGTTATAGTATGCAAGACTATATTTAATTGTACAATGAACTTTAATGAGAAATTTTTGGTATTTGAAGAGCCATAGATTTCTTATGGTATCACTGGAGCGCGGCAGCCATCTTGGTTTCCGTTGGCAACCTTAGAGATCAAAACCGACTTTCTCTCTCCCACACTTAACAGGGTAAACAAATTTCTATTCGACTCGAGTTTCTATAAATGAATCGATAAAAATTAATATTTGCATAAACTTCCTACACGTCCACGATCCCAAAATAGGTGCACTTAGGATTGCACTTCTTCAAAACCGGAAACGTCTGTCCTCCATAAATAGAGCCATACCATATGCGAGCGATCGTACGAACTGTTAGATATGTACCGAAGACAAGTGCACCAAAGTTAGCAGGTATGGTGAAACGGATCACAGCCGTTAAGCTGCGTATACATTAAGACGACACGTTAAGTGCAACAAATCACTCGATAAACAAAACGTATGGCGCGAAACAGGAGGGGCTGATAAAAGTAATCAAATTTACAAAATTTACTTTAAAAAAGCTCTAATCCAAATTCCCTAAAATCTGACGAAACAGTTGATTTTATTAATTCTTTAGTTGCTTTGTATTAGCATTTTTTAATTCTTACACAATTTTGTTTCAGTAATTTCTTAGTTGCTATTAAATTTTAAAAATTTTTGTATGTATTTGGTATAAGCTAAAGTAATGGTGGTTTTTCGTCGAAAATGTGTACTATTATTCTATTGATTATCTATGAATTTTGTAATACCAAAACCATTGGTGCCCACCTTAAATACAATGACAAATCATCACCGATGACTATTTTGCATATATCTAATATTAAAACGGCGACGACTTAATATTGAATAAGTACTAAGTTAATAAATAAATAATCCGTTACGGTAACTTAAGCGGTAAGCTAGTTCCATTAATGCAGTTAAAGTAGGAAGCAATTCAACAGGGTGCGCAACGACCAAGCGACTCCCACTATCTTGCCAGTTAAACGGTCTTCTGCTTCCCATCCGACAGCACGTGATTTTGCTAACATTTCAAAAAATTTCCGAAAATTTTCCTACCAACAATAGAATCGTTTAACAACCTATTCATTTCTGTCATAGAGATCCCGAAGAAGCGATTTTTCTCCAGAAAAATACAATACTTATTTTAAAGACACTCTGTATAGAGCAGTCAATGTTATTACCGTCACTTATCACACTGCTGTATTATTTATCGTGTTACGGCCGTCCACCGCAATTCGTGTCGAACCTGGGGTGCGGTAGCAAACGCGGCAATAATAATAATTTAATGTTCTCGGTCGTTCACGATTGAATAATAAAGGGACATATTATTTTGTTTGCAGTTGGCGGCATGAACCGGCCGTCCAAAGCAGTAACCCAGGCGAAGAAGGTTGCACCGCCGGCTGTACCAGACGTGTTCCGGCACTCCGGCTCCTCTTTTGGCTCCGCTGGATATGCAAGCAGCGAAGACAGCTGCTTCCTGCCCGGGAACGGATCTGGCGGGACCACTGACGATGGTTCGTACGGGATGCCGTCCGGAAAGAGCCCCGGACCGATCTTCACCCACCCTGGATTCGCTTTTCCGCCGGTCGTCGGGAAATACGCTCATGCTGAGGATCAAGGTGCGATGCTGACCACACCACATACACTATTGCCCTCCTATAATTACACTGTTTAGGCCTTTTAAAGGGAATTACAGTCTTATGAACAGGATTCTCTGGCCTTTGCTACCCACATCATGTTTCTGTCATTAGAAATCACCCATTTGTAGAATAGTTAATTGGCTGGAAGCTTGTGACTGTTTTGTTTCCTGCCATTATATTTTTTTTCATCAAAAGTAACCTAGTTGTAGGTTGAACTACAGCCTAAATAGACTACATGCACTATTGCCTTCCTACATCATTCCTTTATATCATGTATTGAGCCATTAGTAATGGTACAGCCTGAATGTAGTACACGCACTATTGCCTTCCTACAGGCGCACTCTCTGGGACTGCTTAGGGAATCGTAGAAGGTGGTAGACACGATTCTATGGATATTTCAATGGTTGGTAGCTTGTCCCAGTCTTGTCCCCTCCCATTACATTCTTTTCACGAAAAATAACCTACTTGTAGGTTGAACTACTAGTATTGGTACAGCCTGAATAGAGTACATGGACTGTTGATTCCCTACAGTTGCAACATCTGAGAATGACTAGGGGATCATAAATGGTGGTGTACAAGATTCTGGCTTATGCCTGCTTTGTTCACTTACTTATCTAGAATTTAGAAAATTAAATACTATTCCTTGAAGATATCTTGTTCATTTCAACATTTATTTACAATAATTGTACATGTGTGTGTGTCAGGTAAGGATGCAGTTTTGCCAGATAATTTATTAACTATCCCAGTATTCTCCCCAACCTCAAATCTTCCCAATCCAAAATTGTTGTAAGCTTCCAGTCAGAAAGATGATCTCTGGCTATTACCTTTCAGTTTTCAAATACTGAAAGTTTCAATTTTCGACTAACAGTTCAATTTTGTTTCAGGAATCGACATGACACAGAGTCCCGGTAGAGACAGTCCAGGCAGTTCAGGATCAGGTTCTGGTTCCAGGCATTCCACCGCTTCATTAGACTCTGGCAGAGCCTCTGGATATCATCTGGGTCCTAGAGGACCTGGTGCTCTTGCCTCGTCACCGAGATGTTCTATAAGTTCGCTTGGCAGTCATCCTGACAGACCGGCTGATCTAGACGTCGTTCATGTTTGGTTGACCGAGCTTCAATTCGAGGAATACTTTCCTTTGTTTGCTTCAGCTGGCTATGATCTTGCTACTATCACACGTATGACGCCGGAGGATTTAACAGCCATAGGTAGAGAAATATTGAATTTCTAGGGTTCATAGTAGCGTTAACGAAAGAACCATTATACTTCATATAGGTAGAAATTAAAACTATGAAATGGTACATAATACTTTGTTTCTAGATTTAGTATCTTAAATTCGTTTCATAAATGCACAGAACTGAAGATTCATTACTAATGAATCATTAGAGTTCAGCCTATTCTTTAGTTAATTCTATTATGGAGTATCTTAGAAAAATATATGTGTAGTTTTGCTAATTATGTTAATTCTCTGTGCTCTTTAGTTATTTGAACAGATGCTTGTCAAAGTCATATTTAGGTAATAGTGTACAATTCTGTCGGTATCTCCGATTTTCTTCAAACTTTAATATAAGGAAAGGGGCTCTCTAAAAAGGCAAAATATCATTTTAAAAAATTTCACAAACAATTTAAAAAATTATTTTTTCTTTATTGAACTAGCTCTAACCAACTCTGATCAGTATAATGCTTTGAAAATAAGCAATTAAACCTCTTTTTTTACTGTTTACAGCTTATGTTCTTTCACTTAATCTGCATTTATAGTGACGTTTAGTTTAGGTTTCGGTTACAAATTTGACATATTTTGCCAGTTTAGACAGCCCATGTCAACATATTAAAATTTGGAGAAAATCGGAGATACTGATCGACTTTTGTACCCATATTTATGTTACTAAAACCACAGCAGTGTGCACGTTTCACGTGCGATGTAGACAATTTTTTTCTGAAACGAAGCTACAAACAGCGAAAGTCTGCCACTTGAAGGGTGTATGACTCTCCTTTCTTCATCTCAACGCTTCTCTGAATGTCTCTTGACTGGAAGGCTTGATGGTGTCTGTAGCTAACGACGTAGGTGTGAGAAGGACGAGACATGCTCCCCTCAGGCGGCAGATTTTCGTGTCATTGATTACACGCAGCACTCCTGTGCCTCTTGTCGCTCGTAGACGAACAGAACACGTTTGAAACGACAAAAGTTATTAGACATACAGAACAGATGTGAGATATTTCAGGCTGGTGATAACAATAGTTAGGGGCTTTTGGATGTAAGCCATACTTTTTGGAATATGGTTTCAAAGTTTTGCCAGCGTTGCTGATGGCTTTGTCAGGATTTCATAACTTATATGACACTCTATCATTGTATCAGTAATTGGTAGTCACAGTTGTTCAAAGAATAATATTTAAAATGAGACAGAAATTGAACAATGAATACAGATACTACATTCTTGCTGTTTCGCAACAGCTTATGAAACTCCATCTCTCTTATTATCCATATTCATTATCCAAGCTTCCTTAATAATGCTAATTTCCATTGTATATGTTCGTAGGAATTAAAAAGCCCAATCACAGAAAACGGTTGAAGGCAGAAATAGACAATTTAAACATCGGAGATGGCTTGCCAGAGCACATTCCTGGTTCTTTGGAGGAGTGGCTCAGGCTTCTACGACTCGAGGAATATCTTGGTGCTCTTCATCAACAGGGTATGCGTTCAGTCGAGGATGTGACGATTCTCACCTGGGAGGACCTCGAGGACATTGGTATTGTCCGACTGGGCCACCAGAAGAAGTTATTGTTGGCCATTAAGAGAGTCAAAGATATTCGTGCCGGTAAACGCATACAGCCGCTCGATCTTGCCCGGTTACCGCCACATCCTGGACAGACACAGGTGTGCAAATCTTGCTTATAATAAATTCTAGACAATTATTAATCCAAAACGTCACTGCCCGTTTAGCTATTATTTTCTAAAAGTACGAATTCCTGCGTGCTCTTAAAAATTCGTCACTGAATGCTTTATATTTTATTACAAGCATGGTATTATGGGTAATTTATCGTTTTCAGACAATTCTTTGCAATAGTGATGGCGATACATTTAAATTGTATCGATATATGGTATTGATACACATGTATATCGGGAATAAAATGTAACGATTGTATCAGAATTTTAATATTTATAGGTTAAGTGTCGATATTGGGATATATTGTCACATTAAATATCAATATTTGAGTGGAAAAGTATCGATATTCGAAATATCCATACTGTATCGCCCATTACTACTTCGAAACGATCACATAGTTTATAATATGTTATCAAAGTTACATTTCTTTGTTCAGGTTTAGATATATTCAATTACACTTTTAGGACGTAGTTATTCAACGGGGAGGTCCTGACCTGCCATCACCGGATGAAGATTGCTCGTCACCGGTCTTGAGGTCTTTCCAGCGAGGAGGAAGTGACACAACGTCTGGTACTGCATGGAGAAGTATGTACGCAGCTTTGCCAACCGATTATAATATGGTTGGACGAACCGGTTCGCGAGGAAAGTCCTTGGAAAGCTTAGAGGATGCACCCCTCGGGTATCCTCCGTCGCCAGCGCCATCTGCGCATCCACAGCCAATCGAATGGCGTCCACGTAGTTTCGAGGATGGTGATCTTACTCCTACAAACGACACTTCGATCGTCGAAGCTGGTGGTGGAACGCTTCCACGTCCAAGACATTGCCTTGTTCGTCCACGACCCATAGCCAAGGTACAAGTGAACACAAATGTATATTTTCGAAAGCAACACGTGCATATATAAAGTGTCACAACTTCCACCAAAGTCTGTCAATCGACACCCAGTTCTATTCTACTGCTTCATAATTTCACTCTCTGCTTGCAGGTCACTGCAACACCGGGACAGTTCAAGTCGTTGCCAAGAGACTTCGACAACAAGTATCAACTAACATACGGACTCGAGAGTAGCCCACATCTTCCGAAACGTTGTCCCCCGTCCCCCCCAAGACGTCAAAGTTCCAGAGAAAATAGCTCCTCCGTCGTCGGGGGATCGGGTGTTGGCGACGTTGTGATTGACTGCAGCGGACCAGTACCAACTGCTTCGTGCGAGGATCATCATATGCATCATCATCAGCATCATCACTTGCTACATCATCCATCACCCCCGCCACCAGCGCCTGCAGCAGCACCGTCGACCCCGCCGCAAATGAATCGACCGCCTTCTTCCATGTCACGTTCTTGGGGAAGTGTCAGTGCTAATGTGAACGAGGAACATGAATTAATTGCTTCGTTGGCTTTGCAACACCGTAATGGCTCTGACGCCAGCTTTAAGGTACTTAATCTTTATAAAATATACTATCCTACTATAGATTTAGAATGCCGTCCTAGACGCCTTAGCGGTAGTACCATATTCTTTGTACACTGTGTACAGTATTATTTAGTACACACCGAAAAATTGTTTCTGATTTTAATTCGCTCTGTGAGATTTCTAAACTTATATTGTGTACTTGTAATTATTCGTAAATATTATGTTCTTTACAGTCAAGCTCCAGTACAGAATCCGATTCACTTCCGTTCGCAAATGAAAATGCTGGAACAATAAAACAGAGATCTGCTCGCGCCCAGGAGTACGCAAGTAATAATTCTAGCAACAATATTCAGAGTCACATAATAAGCCATCATTCCAGCAGCACCGAACCAGCCGATGTGTTGAACGATATCGGCAATATGCTTGCTAACCTCACCGACGAACTCGATGCCATGCTCGAAGAAGAAAAACGTCAGGGCCTGAATTCGTAATCATCATTGTCTTCGTTCTATTCGCCGTTGTCTTCTTTTGATTACGTTAATCAACGTTACTACGAAGGACATAGCTTCTAGCTGCAAGACGCAGTTAATAGAAACATAGATTTCTCCACCAGTATGGCGCATACAAGTAGGGTCATGAGTAAGCATCGTTTGCAACATAAAATAGAAAGAATTCATATATGAACTCGAGTTTGGAACTCTTTACACTTTGCAACGATCAAGTTCTGAAAAGAATATGCTCGCGGCTGGACAAATATTACACTACTTTTCATTGCATTAACCTACAACACACGTTATACTACACAGAAACTAATAATCCTGTTATAATTGTATGAGTTAATGTAGTGGATTCTGTTCTTCCACGCCGTTATAATATCGATTTTTATCAGTTTCTTCTTTTTCTTTCTCTTTCTTTAACTTTTATTTTATATAGAATGAAGCTTCTTATTTTTCTACCAGCATTATTACGAAGTTTTCATGAAGTTTCCAGAGACTTAAATGTTGTAAAATCTTTGTGATTTATTTGCTTAAAGTACTTATTATATTGTATCGCTATAAATTCTTTCTATGTTACTTTTAATTTTTCTCGTGAACACTAAACACTATCAAAATTCTGATTGTTCGACAAGACTTTTACATCAGACTTTGGCAAACAGGTATTCATGATTTCAACAGCGAGTAATTGCATGGATGAAAACACATTTAGATAAAATAACGTTTAAGAAGTAAGTATGAGTAATACTTATGCCTTATGAAAAAATAACTATGAGAAACATAAATGTAGTTTAGTTCCATATACTAAGGGTTACACTTTACACTTACACAGCACAAAGACTGATACTTCTCTGGAAATTTCATTACTATCAAGCATATATACATTCCAGCTAGTATATTTCCTTTTCCACTTCCGTCCTTTGCTAAAACGATAGCATGTTAGATCGGGACCTTCAATAACTGTTGGACTGTTAGATATTTTGAGATTAGTACGATACAAAAGGAGTAAAATTCTGTATCCGTTTTTTTCTTTCCAAAATAACGTAATTCTTCCAGTACTGTCAATGAAGAATACTACTGAGTCGAGTTGTTTTGACAATGAAGAATAATTGTAACTTCGCCTATATTGTGGTACAATTTCTATAAGAGCGTATGGATAGTTTATACAAGAAAATTGACATCTTCCATTATTTGAACTACAAAAAGGTTCTCAATAAGACTGAGAACGAAGCAACATAGACGTTTGACTGCCAATTGAATTTTAAGATAATACAGTTTTTTAATACAGAATCATATGCGCTGTATGCCAATTAACATTTTATATTTATTATCCGTACTAATATAGTGATGTATGTAAACTCACTATTGTTATATGGTGCACAGTGAACCATGTGGAAATACACGCCAGAGTGTTATACCACGTGCGCGAAATCAAAGTAATCATAGTAGTGGAATGTTGTCGATACAAAGTGTTCAGGTGCCCCGAAATCCAAGTATGATGCTGATATGTACCGAGACTCGTGCATAAAATTTTATGCGTACAAACTATTGTAACAGTTTGTGTATATGTACGCGCATTCATACGCATGTCCTGCGTATAAACATATATATATATATATATACATTTATATATGACAGTTCCAAATGGAAAATGAATATAAAGCAATTTTGACTTTCCAAAAATTTTTTAATTTATACAGTATTTATTTATGTCTCGTAAAATTGCTTTTGGTTATGTTTAGACTGTGGACGTTTACGCAAAAATCCACACATTTATGGATTTACGGTTTAAAAACTAAACTTGCGAGGTGTGACAATAAAGTTTCGAGATTAATTCATGAAAAAATTTTATTTTGAACATTAAATCGATGTGATGCTATCGTCTTCAAAGTAGTCCCTCTGAGGCTGCAGACACGCATTCCAGCGTTGGATCCATTGATCGTCATATTTCTGGTATTTGTTTTTAATAATTTTCTTGTTACATTATGAAGTGTGACAATAAAATTTCTAGAATAATTTTGTTTTCTTTAAAGTGGACGTAACTGTTTACTTTGTTGCCATTTTGACGGGAACAAAATTATTCTCGAAACTTTATTGTCACACAAAATTATCCGATGTTTTTACTTCACAGTGTTTTATTCCATTGACTATTATATTGGTATACATCCACAGTCTAATTGTATTGTGTTCTGTTGTCCGTATATCGATGGTATTTATAATACGGCACGTAAAAGCTTTTTGAAATAATGTTAAAATATTTTATTTTATATATTCATCATAGAATAATCCTATATAAATGTATATAGATTTTCAGAGAGACATTAATAGTAATTAGATGTTTCCGCATCCTTTAAGTAGTACGAACTTGTTAATTGTCTCTGTACGAATCAGTTTCATAGTTAGAAACTTCTGCAAATGAATTTGCAAGTGAACAGCGATCATTATTATCATTCCTCCAATGTTTTTATTTTTAATCTTAAATCATGGATCGTTAATTATATTCGAATCCAATTATGCTATATTATAATGAGAAAGGAACATGTGGTAGAATATATACAAGATTTTGAAATAAACTTAAAAAAAAAAACTTAGGTTAATCAATTAAACATCAGGGCTGCATTACTGCGGCCTGCAGACTTGTTAACTATTATAGGTATATAGTAGGTATATGTATACCTAGCGGGTACATATATATATTATATATATCAGTTTAAGCAGTGTACTTAGGGAAAATGTTCTGCGGTGCTGCAAGTTTATGAATTTTTCTACTACCTTCTTTAATTTTGATTATTATTGTATATTGTTACATTACATGAAGAGCAGTGCAAACTTTTGACACGTATACAGAAGCTTTATAACGTTCGACTTGTTCTTAACGAATGAAAACACAAAAAAAAGATTCATTAATTAAAAGCTTTTGCACCTAGTTAATTATAAAAACGTATGAATATTAATTTGTGTTACTTTATACACTTGAATCATTGAATCCTCTAGAAAATTTGTAAGAGCAAAAATCTTTTTCATACTTTCAACGAACAATTATATATACAGAGGAGTAAGAGTGTTGTTAATGTTAAGGTTATGAATTGGGTGCAAAAACGCAAGTATTTTGAAAAAATAACCATTCGAAATGAAAGTGTGCAAATTATTCATTCACGTTTGGAATAATATGTATTTTATACAAAAATAATTAACAGTAAAAAGCGAAAGGACACGATGACGCATACACTGAAATAGTATTAATGTGATCACTTACGGAGAAGTAGACAATTATTAACAAATAGTAACAGGAAAAGAAACATTTTATACAAACACCATACGATTGAACAACATTTGTTTTCACAGCTGACAAACACAAGACAAGGTGACGCACACTGTCAATTTTTATACAGTAATCTCATGTTATCCCAATATGAAGGAATTAGCATAAATATCTGAAATTCTGAATACTTTACAAAATATGTCTATATAAAAAAACACTTAAAGCATTAAGCGCATAATTACGACTGATATAGCTGATACCGATTTGGAAGCATTTTGATCATAAAGTGTGCACTGGAAATGTGGAGGATAATTTTATTAATAGTTCGAAGCTATTGTTTTAAGTAAACCATGTTAAAATATGCCAGTCTAGTAATTTGTGATTCTACAAACACTTTATAAAATGAGAAGTATTTACTAAAGATTTTTTTTTTAAATCAGAATTATTTTCCCATAGGAGAGATATATACAAATGAAGTGGATTTATAGAATTTATCCAATATGTACCAATTTATTAACTTAAAATAGTACGTTCGATTGGTTAATAAAAAATATGTTACATTAGACTTTTGAAGCTGTTTTGTATCACGGTTTTCCCCAACTAGAGAAACATGTACTTTCTACTGTTTTTAATTCAGTTGTAACCTTTTCTGTACAAGCAGTCAAAAATAATGAACATATGAAGTGAAAACTATTTAATTACCGGCTGGTTTTTTAGGCAGCTAATTAAAAATTCCTAAAGGCATTGCTTCTACGTGGTGTATACATATTATATATACATAAATATTATATAAATATAGATATAAATATATATTTATATTCATATTTGTATTAAAATTAGTCATAGTTTTTGTACAAACGTATGCGTCGCTGCAGTTTTGTTCAGCGAAATCAGTACTCGCCTAACTGCATTTTATAATTCCCTGATGCCCTTCCTACTTTCCATGTTTGTTTAAATATATCATTTGATTTATATCGATTATGATGCCTTCATCATAGTTCTTGAAATAAAACATATTAATAAACATAGGTTTTAATGTTGTTTCGATATTTACCTGGAAATGGTTTTATCATCATATTTTATTGAATAGAAACTCTACAACAAACATGTCAAACTTATGTCACATATTAACAAATATAACATGAAAAGAAAGAATTTTTTTCTAATCTCCTTCTGATAGATAACTGGTCTGTACAAAGGAATGAGTAAATAATACACTGACTATTTTTTACAGTCTTGTACTCCAGACAAGTACTTTTATTTAGGAAAGATTGTATAACTGTGACCTGTAACGTTATGATTTCGGTATAATTCTACTACAGAAAGTATATTTTCTGTAATAGAAGCTACATTCTCAAATTGGCTTCATTTATACGTAAAATTGTAATGTATAGAATCTAATAGAAAGAGAAAAAAAAATCGAATCTGTTAGTCGAGTTCGGATAATAGAGAGGACCCCTTGAATTTCCTTGACCAGTGTCCACCAATGGTCAGCAATTGGAGATGAAGACGTGGAAGACCCCGACGACGTCCGCGCCCCGTAGACGCGAGTGAAGTGAGGATTGTTCATTGTGTGCCCTTATTTATGTGCTCGCGCCAAGCTGCGCCGACAAGTGCGCGAATTGCGCGGACAGGTGCGCGAAAATCGAGCGCACCAAAAATGATTTCTCTATTAATTTATTATATCTAACAAAGTAATTGTTATAACAATCACCTTTCTGTGGGATATTGTTAAAAAATCTGCCAGCTGTTTTATAATGCAAATTGTTATTGTTTATAACTAATACGAATCGAGATACACAGAACCTTGTAACATATGGTAGGATGTAAGGATTGTTTAGTGAAATGTTACATGTAATTACTTTGACTTTATTGCAAACTATTAAACAACGATTATATCTTAATATTTATGTAGATTTGTGAACTAAATATTATTTCATTTAAATGTGTCGTGGTAGAGTTTCATTCGACAAATTCGTAAAAATTTGTCGAAAATGGGAATTCCTCGATCGACGTTTAATTGTTTATGTCCTTGATAATAACTGGTGCAGCTTTTAAATTATTTTACAATAAATTAAATATTTTCGATAATGCAATATTTATAATACATTAGACACGGGGTCTCTTCAGATAGCTTCGGGGGCTCCGTGACCCCAGATTCTTAGCCCACGTGATCAAAGGCGCCTCCACCGGGGCTTCGTGACCCCACGCTCTCACCGCGCAGGGTCTATGGCGCCACTACCGGGTGCTCCGCGACCCCATGGTCTCTCCCCACGTGATCAATGGCGCCACCACCGGGGCCTCCGTGCAAGGGTCTATAGCACCTCCACCGGGGCCGTCGTGCAGGGTCTATAGCGCCTCCACCTGGGGCTCCGTGACCCCGCTCCACCCACGTTATCAATAGCGCCTCCACCGGGGCCGCCGTGCAGGGTCTATAGCGCCTCCACCGGGGGCTCCGTGACCCCACGCACTCACCCCACGTGATCAATGGCGCCACCACCGGGGCCTCCGTGACCCCAAGCTCTCACCGCGCAGGGTCTACGGCGCCTCCACCGGGGCTTCCGTGCAGGGTCTATAGCGCCTCCACCAGGGGCTCCGTGACCCCCGCTCTCACCCCACGTGATAATGGCGCCTCCACCGGGGCCGCCGTGCAGGGTCTATAGCGCCTCCACCGGGGGCTCCGTGACCTCACGTTCTCACTAGAGATGATGCGAACCGCTACTTGTGAATTACTCGTGATTCGATCACGTTCGTTCTCAATCACGGTAATTTTTCACAGTGATTCGTGATTTCTCGTGATTGGTGGAGAAACCTAACAGTTCTTTACACACGACACATAATCTGTATATTTTATATTTTATATTAACGACATCAAAACAAAAATTCGTGTTATATCGTATAAAGTGAAAGAATAATTAGAAACAATGAAGAATAATGAATAAATTAATGATTATAAATTATAATCTACATGTTACCTAGCAAATCATTCTGTTAGAATTTCTTGTTTTTTCTACTGATTTTTACAATCACAGTAATGTAATTCATCGTAAAATCATATTGAATACGTTTTTCTGTTTAAAGATTAATGACTTACGATTGCAGTGATCAAATTCACTCAAGATAAAAAAATCGCAATCACGGTCGTGATCGAAGTTAAATCACGATCGTGATCGTGATTCAGCGATCACTGTGATAAATCACCGTTAGTGATTTTGCACGCCATCTCTAGTGCCTGGCGCCTATAACATGTAGATTATAATTTATAATCATTAACTTATTCAGTATTCTTCATTGTTTCTAATTATTCCTTCACTTTATACGATATAACTCGAATTTTTGTTTTGATGTTGTTAATATAAAATATACAGATTATGTGTCACGTTTAAAGAACTGTTAGATTTCTCCACCAATCAGAAACTATCACGAGAAATCACGAATCACTGTGAAAAATCACCGTGATTGGGAACGAACGTGATCGAATGACGAGTGATTCACAAGTAGCAGTTCACGCCATCTCTACACACAACATACCAGAGAATAGTTGGCGCCGAATGCTAGTGTTTCTTAACAATTTTTACCTTAAAAAATTGCTCCTGATTTGCTCCCTCGGAATAAAAAATTGCTCTCATCGCAACGTTTATATTTAATGAGATATTGCAATATTCCTGGAATTCAGACCCTCGACAGCCCCGAAAGCTGCAATAAACGAGTGCCTACCGTATGACGTATACCTAACCTGTATGCAACAACATTAATTCAATTGTTACTCGTTAATAAGTTGTTATTGAGATATCTGACTATTGATTATTATAAAACAGATCAGGAGCAATTTTTTGGTGCCATAATATTTGTGTAAAAAGGCCATTCACTATCTATTTTGCAAACAACAAATTTTTACTTTTCATTTGCGAATATCTCATTTCATTCATTTGCGAAAGACATCGTGGCCGAGTGGCCCCGAGTGATGTACGAAAAAAAAAATACCGATGTACTCTAAGAATAATGCAGAGACATGCGACCTCCAAAACATTTTCCCCATGCAACTTTTCCTTCCAAAACAGTATTGACCATAGAAGAGTGGGGATCGACCTCCTACGCCACATCGATCCTAACGAGGGAGGATCAGTTCAATATTTTCAGTTGTCCTTTCGAAACGGAGCCCTGTGCGTTCTTCGAGCAAATAGAGTTCATGTTCGGAGAACTTTGTTTACTTTATTTAGTGATTACGTAGTAATTATTTAGTAGTTAGGGTACGTGGTTATTATAAATAGTGTAAATTAATCATTGTAGGTTAAAAATCAGTATAAATAGTAGTTATAAATTAATTGTTGTAGGTGTTTTTTTTGTGTAACGTGTACTGTGGTAAATGCAACGGAGAAACCGAGTGCGGGTCTAATTAATCGCGCAGTGTGAGTGGACATTTTTCGCGGACTTCTGTGGTATACGTGCATGCGTGGATTAATTTCATGGATAATCGTGGACGGGATAATCGCTGTACGTGACAACCAGACGGGGTATTAACCTTCCCTACTCGATAATATTCCCAAAAAAAGGATTTATATTCCCTGCGAATTTTATCGAGTAGTCAGGGTTAATGCGATACAAGTGGATTCAAATCCAATACCGCTGTCACAACCACACACCAGATAAGTAGATAACTATTCTACCTATTTTTCCTGCACCGTGGTTGCGTCTTTGGAGTGACTGTACGCCCTTTACCAGCCCTGCCCCGCTGACAGTCGTGCCATGCGGATTGCCATCATTTAGAGATACTTTGGAACGCTTATAATTAACAAAACAAGCATTTGTCGCAATTTCGTTATTCTTGATTTTCGTCTTATTTTGTCTCCAAGAATCACCCCTTCAATTTTTGCCCACTAGTGATCGAACACCTTGTATACATGTATATGTATAGGATTTCAGAACTTAAGGATATGCGATGTATCGGTTTAAAAAACAAATATAATAATATTCATGAAACATAAGGCATGAAAGCAGCCAATAGAAGACTGAATACAGGTGACAGATTTTAGAATACGAATTTGTTAAAAGGAACACTCTAAGTAAATCAGTATCGTTATTATTATTGATGTGTTTTAAATACCTATCAAAATAATTGTAAACAACAATATAGACAACACTATAATTATGTTTTCGACGACGGTGATAATGTGAAAGCGGTTTCTTCAGCACCATCTTCAAGCTTTGTCACAATTTTATCGAACGTTTCAGTGGATTTTTCATTGTCCTTAACACTTGTGAACGTTGCATTTGCCAATGAATTTTCCAAAAGTTTCTCTTTACCTTCTTCTGCATTGCCCGTGAATGTCCCGTCTAAAAAAGAACACGTTTCAAACATACATATTAGGTTGTTCAGAAATAAAGTGAGGTCTTTAACCACAAATTTCAACAATATATTTATAACGTAGGTTGGAATACAGTTTTTTGTGATTTATCACAATGATCGCAGAATCACGATCACGGACCTGTTTTACTTCATTCATGATTTTTCTATCTTGAGTGAATTTATTCACTATGATCTGAATTCTTGATCTTGAAAAAAAACATATTCAATATGATTTGAAAATGAATTACATTACAATTTGTTTTTAAAAATCAGTAGAAAAAAAAATTATAAAAGAATGATTTGCTATAATTATACAGTATACAAGATATTCTAAAAAGATGGGACGATCGGCAACATCCATATTCCTCATGTAAATACAAATCGAAAAGTTCTTTACCATTTTGTAATTTGAAGCTCTGTTTCCGAGATATTAGCAGTTAAACGAACTCCAATCAGCCGAGCGGTCGGCCATACGTATGCGCACCGCTCTGCTGATTGGAGTTCATTTAACTGCTAATATCTCGGAAACGGAGCTTCAGATTACAAAACGGTAAAGGACTTTTCTATTTGTATTTTCAGGAGGAATATGCATCTTGAGGATTGTCCCATCTTTTTGGGACATCCTGTGGATCAGAATTTATAATCATTAATTTATTTATTATTCCATGTCATGGAATGGTAGAGAAAAATCGAAATCGATTTGGCAATCAGTACCGTAAAAGATCTCGGGAATGTTGTCCTCGTCGTGGATGAAAGAAAAGTTTTTGCTATTCGCAAGGCTTCCAATACTTTCGAACGTGTCCGGATGAACGTTCAGGAACCACAGCCTCTTTTTTTCTGCGTTCATGTTTCTCGATAACACTTCGATGCTCTGAACAGAAAAGTAGAATTTTTGTTAATAAAAAAAAAGATTCTTGTAGTCGTCGTAATTATGTAAGGGAATGTTGATATCTAAACTACAAAAGATATAAATAAATCAAATTATTGTAACCATCTGATCCATCCCTTAAAATGCAACATAATTTTTTTAAACGTTTTCTGATATAACCAATAGATAACAAGTTATTTTAGATAGTAGTTCTTATTGAATCACCCTGTATCGCGTCTATATAATTTATTAAAAGTCAAATATTGAAAAACATACCTTAATGGAGGTGTAATCGATGTTTCGTATTCGTTCGCAGTTAACGATAATGGGTATATTGTTTTCAGCGTACTTGTTAGCGATTCCAACAATTTTATTGCAAAAGTAGTTCGCGGCTGGATAAAAGAGACCGCTGTCTGGTTTGAGCATTATGTATTTGTTTCCAAGCTGTGTCTAAAAATGGTAAACGAAAATGTTTTACATAAAACATATAGAGGTTGTAAAGTATATAGGGTGGCCAGGATGGTGTAATTTTATAAATTGATCACATTTAAATGAGACACCCTGTATATACAATTTTTCGTACGCAATTGAAAATCCAGATCTATTTAAAATATATATTTCATTTCAACGGAAAGAAAGATATGGAATAATGAGGACTTGTATGTAAAATACGATAATTATTATAAACACACGGTATTAGAATATACTACCTGTTACCTTGCATTCGATCATTTCAATCTGCGGTCTCGCCGACGGCCGAATAATGTAAATTAAATTAAATATGGCGCCGATTAGAAGTCCCACTTCGACACCGAAAATTACGCTAACCAAGAACGTAACTGTCGCTGCAATAGCATCCCTTTCTACAGGAAAAAAAGAAATTAGAGAAATTGATTAAAAATTTAGTTATTGGAATGTTTTTTTTTGTAATTTACGCTGATCGCGAATAACTTGATTTTTAGTTTACATGAAAAATACATTTAAGAGAATTTAAAATAAAAATATTAGCGAGTAAATGTTAATTAAAAAATTGAAAATGGAAATATTAATTGATTAAAATAGACATATAATTTCACATTAAAGCTTAATCCAATCGACGATCGAAAAAATAGAAGTTTACGTTAAATTTCGAATAACAATTCTTCAATGAAAAATATATCAATATTCATGTTAAATTTTGAATACAAATTTTTCAATTTAAAATATATGTATGAATATTTGTGTACTATGATACTTCAGTTTTGTTGGTCCATTTTGAATCGAAAGAAAAATCATTATTCCCTTGAAGGTAATTATTTATATTTAATGCAAAATTTTTAAACATTCATCACACAGATTTTATTTATAGATTAGAAAAATTTCACGAGTTCGTTGGATCTTAAAATTCGAAAAATCATGGTAATAACTGTGAACCGGTGGGATTAGTCGTGTTAATTATATAAAGTACGATTACACCTACTGCATCCGTTCCAAAGCAGCTTAATTATCCTCAAATCAATGAGAAATATCACCGCGCTTATCAGCACCGCCGCGAGCGTCGCCCGTGGAATGTAATAAAAGTAAGGCGTTAAAAAGCTCAGCGCTAACAGCGACATAATTCCTGTAAAAATTCGATCGTATTAACCAAAACTGTTTCCCTTCCCCATATTTGCACCGGACACAGCAAATTTTGGGTAACCAGGTCATCAGTTTAATTGGGGCAAATTTTGATGTGTGACTTATGAATAGAATTATGAAGTTCATTCAACAAATGAGTGATATTTCAGAAGTATTTCTGAAATTATTAGAATTATTAAAATTTATTGTATTCCAAAAAGAACAATATAAGTTTCACTTAACTCTCTATGACCCACTTTTGTTTTATGTCAAAAACAAAAATTATATAACATATAATAAAATTAGCAAACACAAACCTTTCGAATATGAACTAACAATTAATTTACAATTTCTAAAAACATTTTATTTTCTTTACTTCAATTATTATTATTGTACATATATTAAACTCTTTCAGTATGAAAGTGGTACAATACGATGGTACTATCATTTAGTAGCAAAAAATGAAATAAAAAGCTTTAAATATACAGTAAATTCTCGATGAATGTTCGAAGGCTCCATTGCTCAGATGCTAACGCCACTGCTTAGGGGGTTCCCCATGGAACCAGTCAAGCGTCTAGTGGTGGGGAATGACGTCTGAACATTCAATAGAGCCTTTGAACACTAATCGATAATTTACTGTACAGATTTCATGAATACGTGATTTCAAAGTTATATACATGTCATTACAGGGAGGTTAAATGGAATCCATTGTTAATTGTTTCAAATGAGAATATTACCGACATATAAACCGGCCAGGGGCGTTCGTACACCGCTGGCACTGACCACAGCGCTCCTGGTGAACGCTCCGGCAGTTGGCATCGATGAGAAGAAGCTGCCAATTATGTTGCACAGACCCAACGTCAGCATCTCTTGGGTCGCATTTACGGTGCTGCCACTCGCTACAAACAAAACGACACGCTATATAGGGTGTCCCAAAAAAATGGGATACCATAATCCTCATGCCAATACAAATCGAAAAGTCTAATATCTCGGAAATGGAGCGTTTTTTTACCGTATGCTTTGGCAATGGATACATTCGCGAGCACCGACACAAGTGGCAGCACGATCAATCCAGTCCCATATTGGTAACACATGTCGACGAAAGTGTACGTTTGGTTTCCCACCTGGGATGAGAATGGCGGCAGGGCCATCGTGGGAAGTCCCGACACGATTTTCCCTTCAAAAGAAATCGAATGTTTACTATACGTAGGATATAGTTTTTTAAAAAAAAAAGAATCACAACAGAAATACAGACTCCACTGGATTATCGTTCCGAACTCGGGTCCACGCCAGGACAATAATCTTACAGGGAGAAACGCTTCAGACCCTTGTAAATTCGTTTTTTTTGCCCGAAGCTCGAGCCTCGGCAACGAAAGTGGAGGGGCAACAAAATATGCGCTTGGACAATAATCGTGTAGAACAAGCCAGACGATAATCGAGAGGAGTCTGTATTATTTTATTATAAAAATTGAAATTTTCATGTTTAATCAATTAGAAACGAAAAAGGAATTACTTTGGACTGTTTGGAAGGACATGACTTGTCAATGAAAACGGTAGTTTGTAATAAACAAAAGAAATCGGAAATTTTTTGGAAAGGAAACACCGCGGGAACATTCTCTACAAGACGCAAAAAGTTTCGTCTCAATTGGTCTATACGTTGCAGAGTAATCGTTGAAAAAGTCACGAAATATGTACCTGAAAGAATGAACGGGGAACCACCTCTCTTCTCTAAGCAGAAAGCTATTGTCGATGCGATCAGTATCACCAGAGCATTGCGACAAATGGAAAGGAACCATAAGACTTTTTTCATAAGCACGGTTCTACCTTGCTGACCGGAATCGTCTTTACCGACGCAGCAGTTGAAATCTTTCAGTTTCTGTAAATTATATTACAATTATTATTATTATTATTATATTACACGGTTTTTACACGGATTTTATTTTTATTATTATTTTTCGGTTGGTTCCTCTGTCTCGATTAAATCATAAAATCAATTTTTGACCCACTTCTACCGAATAGATTTTTTTGAAATTTTGCACACGTATGCATTTGCGATGGCAATACAATATTTTAGAACTTTGAGTCGATCCATTATGTCAATAAAATTATAATTTCTGAACGCAAGAAATCTACCTTATCCATTACCGGTAATAATTAGGTTGTCAGCGCTTTGTTTCATTATGTTAAAAAAAAACACTAAAAGATAATGTGTTCTTATATACGCATTTAAAACAGTGTAACTTAAAAAATTTTTTATATGTATTTTATTTAACACTCGTTTTAATTGTAAGATTTCATAAAAATAAATCGAGCACAGACTTACTCTGAAAAACAGGAGGAAGGCTATGCTAGACAGTCCGAGAGCGAAGTCGGGCAATCGAACGTTTTGAATATTTTTTGATATCTTCACCAGGTTATCGACAACGCTGTCCGCTTTGAATTTAAGTCCTAACAGTCCTTGTAATTGGGTCGCGATTATAATGATCGATGTTGCTGAGGTGAAACCTGATGTAACTGGTATTGATATAAAATCTACCAGGAAACCTGTTGGAATAGATTATTATTCTTATTTAACAGAAATCTAATCTTATGGGCATATAACTCTAAATTGGTGGATATCTTAATTATTTACTTATTACTCGTTATACAACTAGTTGTTTTGCATTTTGGAAAAAAACAAGCATCTGTTTATGTAACTATCGAATAACAATAAAATATTCTACAAATATTCATGGGGTTCCTCAGACCCCACCTGACAGTCAAGGGATGAACAACATGGCAGACAGTGGGCAGTCTTAAAGGGATTTTGTACTTTTTTACATATTACTTATTGCGAATTGGAATAATAAATGTTACTTAAATAACATATTATTTATTTATAATTACTTTATAAATATTATATAAATCATAGATTGATTATATTTACTCATCTATGACCATCAAAAAATATTTCCTTCAACTAAAGTTGAGTTTTTTTAAATTTAGTTATGTTAATATTTGTCGAAATTTCTATTGCTTTTATGCATCAGCAATTTAACATTTTTTGTCAGCCTCTACACATGAAAAACCACTGATCTATTTGAAGAATTGATTTTCGACAATGATATAAGTACGAACCTAAACGAAACAAGCCCATCAGTAACTCCACGCATCCGGCCAGGAAGCAGAACAGCACGATGAAGTCCACTGGCATGTTTCTTGTATACTCCAGTGTCAGAAGCGACATTAGGGACGAAGGTCCGATCGACACCTCTTTAATTGTCCCGAGAATCGGGTATACGAAGGCGCCCACGAAACACGAATAAAGACCATACTACGAAAATTCCATTATGGTTCATGGTAGAACATGGTGAAAAATTATTTATGGTAACATAATTGTAAAAGTTTGCAGTAGAAAAATGGTAAATGGTTATTTATGGTGAAATAATGGTAATCGTAATTGTCTTACAATTACATTGCACTTACATTATAATTGCGATTTGGATTTTGTAATTAGATTACATTTTGCCTAACTCTGATAACAGTTATTCAGAATGAAGATTCTTCACAACAGTTACTCAGAATAATGTTTCTTCATAACAGTCACTCAGAATAAAGGTTCTTCATAATAATTATTTAGAATAAAGGTTCTTCATAATAGTTATTCGGAATAAGGGTTCTTTATAACAGTTATTCGGAATAAGGGTTCTTCATAACAGTTATTCAGAATAAAAGTTCTTCATAATAATTATTCAGAATAAATGTCGTTTATAACAGTTATTCAGAAAAAAGGTTCTTCATAATAATTATTCAGAATAAAGGTTCCTCATAACAGTTACTCAGAATAAAGAATCACCATAACAGTTATACAGAATAAAGTTTCTTCATAACTGTTTCTGGAGAACTTAAATCGACATCAGAACAGTGTCCAAGCTCTGTTAATCCCAGACGAAATACCTGAGCGGTCAGTCTCGCGAGGGCAGCGTACGCTATACTCTGGGGGATGACAGTAAGTCCCAGGCTGATACCAGCAACCAGATCCGAAACACCGTCGAACTGCGAATATTTCGGTAACCAACTCAACACCGTGATATATTTCACTATGAAACACTTCGATTTATTCGTTTTTTTCGACGATGGTCGTTCCGCCGATGAAACATCGTTTTTCATCGTCATCGCGTGAAGGATCCACTTTAGCAGGCTGTCAGGGAGCCTTTTGGATTTACTGAAGATGCCAATGGGACCGAGAGGGATTTGACGAATCTATACTGTTCACTGTTTTACACTGTATCATTGCATCGCAAACGTACACGCGGTTCTATGCCTCCTATCGGAGTGCTCCCTGGTGGATTCGAAATTGTTATCGTCTCTGCCCAAAGCTCCGTGCAAACGGTTGGCGTCAGAACGTGAAACGCCGCGATGTTTTAGCTCCGAATGCTACTGGTCTCATAATATGATAAGGTAAATATCCGAATTAACGACCCTGCAAGAGTGCCGTGCACGTTTTCTAACGTACTTAAGCTGCGTCTGCACTACCTAACATAACATGTTATATAGTAAAGTTATAAAACTTGTTAGGAAAACAGAAAGAAAAATGCTATACAACGTGATGTTACATAACATTTTTCGTGTTATATAGCAAGTTATATATTATCCATGTAGTATGACGCCATTATTAATAATGAGATGCGAAATGTTATACAAACTTTTTACAGACTTGTCTTGTAGCAAGTTATGAAAACATGTATAGCAAGGTTATACAACAATTTGTTGTATAACATTGTTTTGGTATATAGTGTAGACGCAGCTTTAGATATTCAAAATATTTATCGTGGCTGCTCATCAATAGCCTATTACGTCAATCACGTTGCTGGTTCATTTGCGGAAATGAAATGTTACTGTTTTGTAATAAAATCACTCGAATGTAATCATTTATAATAAATATATACAGTGAATCCTCGCTGCGTGTTCGAAGCAGCGCTGGATTAAGTGGTGGCTAGGGGGGTGGGGTTATAATATAAATTGATCCCTTTTTCCCTTGACATCTGGAATTTTGTTCAAAATGGGCTATGATGTAGTCTACGTGGATTAGGGGGGGGGGGTTAAGTCATCATTTTCCGAGTTTCGAATTTATTTAAGAAATACAGACCTTCCAATTTTATGATTTTTGCCCATTTTCGTGAAAATGGATTGTACTTATGAATTTATATCTCGGAAACTATTTATAATTTATATATTTATCCCATTTGTCCGCTGATAGTTACGTCTAAAAATGACTAATAAATACAAGACGAATTAAAATTATTTCCTTGCATAATTATTGTCGCTACATGTGTATCATAGTCGTTTCTTCACTTACGCCCGCCATATTGGTTCGTAGGCTGTCGCTAGATTCCTACAAGATTTCAATTCAATTTATCTCAATTCCAAACTTTAATCTAATTCTCGGGACTACTGTCAACGAAATCGTGTTAATCGACTACTTAAATATTAAATCAACGTAATCTGGTAAAAGGCCATACGGATTTTGACACAGTGAACGTGTTTACACTTGTAAATTACAAGTTTATGACCCTGACACTCATCACGACGGTAACGTAGTTCGAATCAGAGATGGGTGAATTCTTTATCTAGACAAAGAGTTATAAACAACAAACGATAAGAATGTATCTCGCTATTTTTCATTGATCGAATCTGAAAATTTTAATATGTTGAGTAAAATAATATTTGAATAAGCGGATACGTGTTCAAACAATTATTCGATCTGATTAATCGTATTTATTTTAGGTTAGAATAACGCTTCTTGGATACTGTTCCTTTGCATTTGTGAAAATATGTTCAATTTCGGTTCGAATCACGTAATATTCCATCTCGTTTTGTTTAAAAGCGATTCAATAATGCAAATAGTGTAGATACGCTCTACGTACGGTTTCTATTGGTATTTTGATAAACACCACGGAATTGAAACTTTGGAGTAAACCAAGATTGGAAGAAGTGATTACAATATGATCATACATACTGTTGACATTATATTGAAAAATGATTTGTAATATTTTAGTAAGTAAAATAATTTAATTATAATAGGGGAAATATTAAAAAAAAAAAATATTAAAATAAAATTATTTAAAAAAAAATAATAGTTTGCAATAAATAATTTAGGCTTCATTCGAATTCATTTCTATGTGAAATAAATTCAACGAACGAAGGTGTTTAGTAAATTATTCAAATTAACCAATGATTACAGAATTGGCTTGGGTCATATATATAATTTTTATTGTTCAGTTTCGCAATGATTTCATTATTTTTTTTCAACTTTTTTTTAGAAACTGATTCCATGCTATTATAGTATCTACACGTAAATAGTAGTTGGTAAATAGTACGATTTTAATCTATAGAACGTAATCATACACGACAGCGGCGCAATAAAACGTTGGTACTCAATCATTGTTGTTCCTTGAATCGTTGCGAAGTTTCTCTCGTTGATCTCTAGCAAACACAAGCAATCACATGATCTACCCGATGCGTGTCGATGCCTGAAAGACAGCTAAGAAGTCAAGCTACGCAAGACTGACCATTAGCCTGTGAATATTCACGTGAATTAAAATTCTTGAGAATAATTTTGGAAACAAAAAATTTAGGCGGAAACTGACACGTCCTACACTGACGAACTTGTTCGATTTAAAATGTTAATTAATATTTTATTTTTTCTGGTAGAGGAATCTGAAATTCATTACTCACATCCATCGTATGTGCCACAGGAATGAAAATTTCGGTGACAAACCTATGAAACCATTATGAAGCTTTGAAGATCGTACGGAAGATTTACAAGTTACAGAAGAGGGAATTATTTGCAATAGATACATTATAATATTTTATAAGTCTGAATAATATTTAGGCCTTGTGTTACTGAATTTATGCACATATCCTTCATGATCCACCTGAAGACTTCAAGACTATAATTCAACTCTCAGATACGTAACAAAATTTCTCATACAACCCAATACCATTTCGGTGATATCGATGTGAATCGTAAATGGGAGACATGTCCAAACGTAACTAAATAATTGAAACGAAAACCAATATTGCAACTTTTAATATGCTAATATAATCGTAATAATGGTGACGCTCTGATGACGATGACAATAATAACAATAATAATGACGATGATGATGATAATAATAATAACAATACTATTTAAATGACAACAGTAATTAATAATTAATAATCGTAATAATAATACATTATATGCGATTTATTTCGATAAAATCTCTATGTAAAAATTCAATTATAACACAATAACGGGTAGGGATTGTTGTGTGCCGCCATATTGTCTCGTCGAGCTTCTTTACGTCAGCTTCTTGTTGACCTGCTCGATCTGTTCGTCGACCCTCTCGGACGTTCCTTGGAACTTGCTCGGCTTCAGACCGACCATTTTTATGATCATCGGCACGTAGTGGGTGCTGACCTGCGTGAGTCGTGCCAACGACTTCATACAAACGTATAGCTGCTCCTCTTCCGGGTTACCATTGAAGTACTGGCACAGCGCCATCGTCAGCTCCGCGGCGACATCGTCAAACACCTGTGTGCGAATTTCCGAAAATATGACATTTGTGTTGTTAACAATTTTGTTGAAACTAAAAAACGATCTGTTTCAGCCACAACGCCAAAGTGAAATGTTTGCTATACTATACATATATGTATATTAAAATTATCATATTTATGAGAATGAATTAGTCAGTCATGATTTAGAGGTTATGGCATTGAAGTGTTCTGCAATGTTTGTCGCTTCGTGATGTGTTGCGTTCAAGGCTATAAGAGGTAAAGGTACATCCAATAGAACAGACATATTTGTGATCGAGCAAGGAGAATGAAAAGCAGACCAATAAGACAAGTAGAAAATGACTGTGGTTGGTGAACAAGTAGATGATGAAGATCATTTGTCAGACACGCAACATGAAATAAGTGGTATACCATGTTTGTAGTCAAACCAATAAAATAACAATTATTTTCGTGAACATTTATTAATGAAAGAAAGTTTAATACCAAAAGAAATAAAGAAAAAAATTCTTGAATTTGCATTTTCATAACAGAAGTATTTGTTTACATGTGTATACTAAGTTTTGTAATATGGAGGTTATGCGAAATAATGTGGTGATTTAAATATATGTAATTATTGAACAATTACAATTTTAAACTTATGGCCACTCTTTCAGTAAATTAAGTAGGTTTGGAAGTTCTCTCCACAGACAAGTAGAATAAAGTATGTACTCTCATCCATAAGTAGAATAACACTTGTTCGTGGTCAGACGAGTAGATGTGATCAATCTATCATACATATAATGATATATCATCAATTATTGACACGAATATTCTGTCAGTAATTTATTCTTCTATTTTACCAAACAACCTTATTAATTGTAAATTATTCCTACTACTACTATTATTATATGCATAATAGCTACACCCCAACAAACCCTGAAAAATATTTGATATGTACTTACAAAAATCTGATATTATTATCGAATTAAATTTTTAACATAAATTTCAATTGTTTTCAATTGAAATCCAAAATCAGATCTACTCAATCTTCTACAAGAAAAGTAACAATTTCCTCTTCTGATTCTGTTAAATTAAGACAAATGAGCGCTTGTGTGTAACCGTGGACGACTTACCGTAACCCGCAGTTCGAATTATGTGTGTTTCGTATAAATACCTTAGAAATGCTGCCTTTCGGTAAAAGTCGCCGTAGATTTTTGATTTTGTGCATTTTCTGAAAAAACAGTATCCCATCTCTCGAAAGATATCCATTCTTTTCACTGCAACGCAGCATGGTACATATACATAGACAAACAAACGAGCAACGAGATGATATTTATTTCAGAAAATAGTAGATTAGTCATTAGTGTATCTAATAAATAAAAATAGGCAAACTTCACAAATATATAAGTAAACATATGTTAAATCTAAAATTATACACGTTGAGACAACCAAAAATTTATATCTAGACATCTCTTTTACTTTTGAATTTATAAAAAAAAACATTAAAAGCAAAAGTTAAGTAGTTTGAGAGAAAAATAAACTAACGAAGAGTTAAAGTTATTAGAAAATTTCTAGATTCTTATCAGATTTTGTAGCCATTTTTCAAGAATTTCGTTGCTCGTTTGTGATTCGGTTACAGAATACCATAAAGAGTTAGGAGTCCCTTTGAAATTTGACAAGTGCAGCTAATTTATTAATAACGGCAGCACTTCTATTCGCGAGAACAGTAAAAGCGTGGTTTCCTTTGTCGTTTTACTTAATTAATTCTACTTCAGAAGAGGCGATAAGCATTTCTTAACACACTGAGCCGACACAAGAGAATGAAAACAAAATTACAGAATTAATAAATAAATATAAATAAGATAAACATATTTCAATACTTTTGTGTACAAGAAAATAACATAGAAATGATTCAACATTTCTACGATAGAATTATGAACATAATTAATACAGACTTTGCTCTGATGATTTCAATACATGGTGATACTGTAACTGGTAAGCTCAATGTGTCGAGTGACCTTCTACTTTGAATCTCTGTCCTTTGTTTAATTTCAATGCGCAACACAGTAACTGCAGGCGTGTGAGTAGAGAACAAAAGCAACATGATGAAGGTGACTGTTCATCGTACAGGATAGATACAGACCACAGTTTTTACCTCCTTGCAGGCCAAATTGTGAATAAGAGCTGCCCCACGGGTCTGCAGGTCTGTTGAACTGGAGAGTAGCGCGTGTATTGCCACTTTGGTAGTCACCCTGATGTTACTGATGCTCTGATTCTCGTGTTGCCATAACGATATGTACAGCAGCCATTCTGAACTACTGAGATTTTCAAACAAATTCGTCATCTGTAACATATAATTGAAGGTTAAATAACTATTCCATTGATGTCACAACACCTTATAAAGAAGAGACCACTGTGCGTGCTTTTTGAATCAATGCTTTTGAATCAGAGCTTGACACATGAGAGTAGATAAGTACACCCACGAGCAAACTCAGTTTCCACTAGGGGAAAAAGCGGCGTAGAAGAAAAGTCGTCTACCACTTGGTAAATATATTCCAGGTAGTGAAATAAATGTTAAATCGAATGTTAATTTGATATACATTTCAATCATTCCCGAAACCAAATGGCAGAAGGTCCTTCCCCTACGTCACTTTTTCCAATAGCGGAAGCAGAGTTTGTTCGTTGTATGAGACTTGATCAAACAAACAGAGAATTACGTCTGAAAACATGTTGGCTAGAGAAGTAGGAAATGAGTATTGCCTAGCCAGATAAATTAAAGGTTACGTCTCTCTTTAGTCACATAAGATAACGTTATGTTACAATAATAAGGCTGTTTTATGTGTCTATAACATAAATAGGTAATAGTGTACAATTCGGTTGGTATCTCCGATTTTCTACAAACTTTAATATGTTGAATGGGGCTGTCTAAAAAGGCAAAATATCATTTTAAAAAATGTCGCAAACAATTATCACCATAAATGCAGATTAAGTGAAAGAACATAAGCTGTAAACAGTAAAAATAGAAGTTTAATGTTTTTTCAAAGCACGATACTGATCAGAGTTGGTTGGAGCTAGTTTAATAAAATAAGAAATAATTTTCAAAATTGTTTGCGATATTTAAAAAAATTATACTTCGCCTTTTTAGAGAGCCCCTTTCAACATATTTAAGTTTAAAGAAAATCGGAAATACCGACCGAATTGTACACTATTACCCATAAATATTAAGGCTTTATTATGTGCATATGTCTGGATAGATAAGTAGAAAATAAAGTCTGACAGTGATAACTTAAGAGAATAGAAATCACAATCTAAAACGTAAGGAAATAAATAAATAATAGAAAGATAGGTAGAAAGTGCGTCTATCATTGGTCAGATAATTACAGTATGTTTATACTTGAAATGATCTGTAACACAAACAGTCAGACCAAAAGCGCACCTTTCTACTCTTTGTCTGGTCCGTGATGATCTCAATCTCCTTGTTTGTCTAATAATCCAAATGGTCGATGTGATCAAATAAAAATACACTTGTGTCTAAACCACAACTAATACCTGACTGTTACAATTTTCCATATTTTACGCACTTTAACCAAAATGCATTCCATTGTAGTACATTTCAATTCTGAAAATATTAATCCTGTATTACAATACGAAAATAATGAATAACGCAACATTTTTGTTATTATATCATGGACAATAATAACCTGGATATGATCCAACAACCTATTTACTTCCCACGAACCTAGTAAACTAAAAAGCAATATTTTCAACCTATGCTATTTAGCATAGGTTGAAAACATTTACCCCCAGCTATTTTTCAACCTATGTTGTAAAACCAAGAGTGGAAATGGTTCAATAAAGAATGCGTTAAGGGTGGACATTCTAGAAAAATGAATGTAAAAATAATAATCTTATTGGCAATCGAATAAGAGGGATAAGTATATTAGAATTTTTCCTCAAATCTAACAGAGTGAGGTTAGTCTCTACATCCATGCTAAAAATATAACTAAAAAGAATTAATTTTGTTCACTTAATGTCACTTACAAATTGTGTAAGAGCAAGTTGTTCTTCCTGAGGATGACGATCGAAATCGTAGGCATAATTCATAATGATGTGTTCTCTCCTGTCCTGGTGCAGCAAAAGAATTACGTCGTCCTTTAGCGCAGCAACCGAAAGTATATTGAACAATTTCACTCTTGCATCGCTTGGTACCGACTGATCCTCCAAAATTCGTCCTGAATAGAAAATAAATCATCGTACAGTTATGATAATTACAAGTATTTAAACAGTTTCTTAAAGTGTATGTATGATAATTATTTATTGACTTACCAACGAAATTCAAGAAAGTATCTCCAAGCGCCCAGGAACCCTCGTTTTCCAAAACATACTGTTGAAGTTCCTCCAGGCAGACTTTCTCATCCTCGTTCAATTTCCCTTGCAATAAATTAGATAACGCCTCGTATTCCGCTTTCAGGTCCACCAGGTCTTTGAAAACTATGGGTGGTTCTGCTGGTAATGATTCTGTGTTCTCGTCGAGACTCAGCAACTGTGCTTCGGTCAACTGTGGGGCAGCTGATAAAGAGTGGAAAAAATGTTATTTTTATTATATTTATTTCTTTGTTGAAATAAAGATTTGGATGAAGTTTTATATATACATATATGTATACATATATTATCTTTATTTCAACACACTTCGCAAGTTAAAAGATGCTGAAACGCATAGACATCTAAAATCTATGTAGTTACAAGTATTACTTAGTACAGCGAATATTCAATAAATGTACCTTCACTTTCCGCCATCTCTGTGCAATTGCTGGGACCAGTACTATTCGTATCACTAGTGCTCTCTTTGCTACCTTTCTGTTTCTTCTCCTTCTTCTTCTTTTTCTTCTTCTTCCTATCCTCTTTGGCTAGCTTTTCGTTCAGCTCGTTTCTTCTCTCTTCCAACGCAATTGAATTTAATCTGCCATCAAATATCGACAAAAAAAGAACAGAGTTACTTAAAGCACACTGGCACATAGTGGGGGGTAAAATGTAAGAAAAAGAAGAAAATAATATTTTTAATAATTAAAATGATATTTTTACCGTGCTTCTTCGATGGCCTCATTTAAAAGCTCGTATTCCGGCGAGACTTCCCTCTGGTTCCCTGAATCGAGGAATATTTGACCAACTGTGAACAGCACTGCTCTACCTGGACTGTTGAATAAAGTCTCTATCAGCGGCTTTAACTCTTGTCCAATCGGCCTGCAAACAACAATAAAATAAAAAATGTTCTTTCCTTTTCATTAGGTCTGTCAGAAGGCTCTGTCGCTTTTTGTACATATTTATATTGAAAGGAAGATTTTTCTGCAAAGAAATTTTGATAAATTACCAAAAAGGTTATGCATTAGCGGATACCAAAATGGCAGCGATTGTATCGTAAATTAAAGAAGAAAGTAAATGTGTTGTAAGTTAAAGGGAAAAGAACGACAGAACTAATAAATATGATTTTGTTGCTATCTTACGTCTGAAATATTTCTTCTGGTAAATCGAGGATGTACTTTGGGATACCCTTGCCCGACAAGAAGATACTGACTTCCTCCGAGAAGCAGTTGCAGTTGTGCTTCAGAAGATTGTACGTTCCTGGACTGCAGAGAATGAAGTTTTTTTTACAATTTTACGTAATTTTGAATGGAAATTAATTTTACGTATTTTACGTTAACAGACGATCTTCGTTTAATTAATAAAATACAAACACAAACAAGAAATTTCATTCATACTGAGGGCAAACTATGAAATTTATTTGGAAGCTATCATATTTAGTTGTAAATTCGCAAACTGATGTATGCGATTGTGAAATTTGTTTAAAAATATTAAATATCGTGAAATTTATATTCCTAATTCTTCTAAATCATCAAATCCAAATATAAAAACTCTTGAGCTTGTTTATAAATAAGTAAAGTGATTCCTATACTATTTAATTTGTTTCGCCAATTATGCGGTTTACTTAGAAGTCAATAAATTCATTTTAAAACAATATAAAAATTCCTGTAACTATCATCTTGTTGAATGAAAAGGGAGTCGAGGAACCCGGAACAAACATGGCGGACACTAGCAAAACTTCAGCTGACATAAGTTACAAAATTAATAAAAATAAAAAAGCAGAATAGAAGATATCAATCAATTTATCACAAAAATATACAAAATTCATTTCTACTACGTTGTTATTTTTTAAGAATCATGGATCTGGAACAAACATGGCGGAAATTAGCAGAACAAACCACAATTACGTTCTAAGCGAAATATGTATAGTAGTTCCAGCTGATCTATCTTCCAAGATTAGCAAAAAAAACAGAATATTAGGAATGTTAGAAATATTACGAATAGGTATTAGGAACTCTGAGAATACTAGGAATATTAGGAATATTAGGAATATTAGGAATATTAGGAATATTAGGAATATTAGGAATATTACAAATATTAGGAATAGGTATTAGGAACTCTAGGAATACTAGGGATATTAGGAACATTACAAATATTACGAATAGGTATTAGGAACCTTAGAAGTATTACATAGGAATACTAGGAATACTAGGAATATTAAAAATATTACGAATAGGTATTAGGAACTCTAGGAATACTAGGAATATTAGAAATATTACGAATAGGTATTAGGAACTCTAGGAATACTAGGAATATTAGGAACATTACAAATATTACTAATAGGTATTAGGAACCTTAGAAGTACTACATAGGAATACTAGGAATATTAGAAATATTACGAATAGGTATTAGGAACTCTAGGATTACTACGAACAGGTGTTAGAAACTCTGAGAATACTAGGAATATTAGTAATATTAGAAATATTACAAACATTACGAATAAGTATTAGGAACTCTGAGAATACTAGGAGTATTAGGGATATTACAAATATTACGAATAGGTATTAGGAATTCTAGGAAGACTAAGAATACTAGGAATATTAGGAATATTACGAATAGGTATTAGGACCACTAGTACTCCTACGAATATTATGAATATTTCAAATATTACGATTATTGCGAATAGGTATTACGAACTCCAAGAATACTATGAATTTAAGAAATATGTAATTACTGAAAATAGTTACGAAGGTTCCACAGACGTATACTACACCACAAACAACTATCCCTGCCCAAAAATGACGGAAACCATCGGTACAAATTGGTAATCCCACGTTAGATCAACTAATCCACATCACAAACTTTCCTCCCCCCAAAAAAAGGAAACCAACACACACACGCGTAATCACTCTCCAACAAGATCGAAACACTTCCATGCAATCATACACAGATCAAACACTTTCTGGACTCACGCGAACTTAAACGTTCCCAATCCGTTGATGTACTCGAAGAACAGAGAGTACGACAGGTAAGTGTCGCCGAGCTTCTCCACCTTGTCCGGCTTCCCTAGCACCGTTCCACCCTGAAACGGAAAAGCAGATTCTTCCGGGATGACGGTTCGGCGTGAAATTGTACCATTCGGAAACGCGCCAATGTCAATTTTACGAAGGCGTCCTCTCTCTTTCTCTCTCAGTTTATGCGTTCACCGGTGAAGCGAGCGGCGATCCTCGCCCGCGCCGCTTCTGTAATTTTAGAACCGTGACAAACGTAGCGCGCTTCCCTGTAAGAAACGCTGAAAATAACCGCAACTCGCCGCGTGTATCGGCGCCCATGCCCCGTTCCTCGTGTACCGGAAAGAAACCATCGAAACTGAACGGGGGAAAAGAAAAAAGAAACGATCTGAAGTAATAATCCTAACGAAATGTGACGTCACCTGGACAGGTGCAAGCTACAAACTCGAAAATAAACAGCTTTACCACCTAATGATTATCTGAATTCGAAGAATAGGGTGAAGATAGGGGAGGGTGGTGGTAGGTTTGGCTGAGTTTTCAATGAATTTGTAGTAATGGTTGAAATTATAGAGAAACACGCTTTCGATCTGAAGAATTGTAATAATCAGTAAGGTTCAATATAAATAATAAGCGAGGGTCAAACAAGTGGCTGTAGGTTTGCTGAATCGATATCTTTTCTATACAGTACTAACATTTATTAATACCTATATCTCATACAATGAGTATAGTCATCCAGTAACTATAAACAAAGGGAGAGTGATGACCATTTAGGTGGGATAGGGACCAGGGTGGGACTTCCTGTCGAATTTTATGTGTATTCGAATATTTGAATACTTCAGTTGTTCAATTCTTGACGAATATAATTCGAATAGTATTCGAATACTCGAGTATTTATACCAATATTGAAGTAAGTATTCGAATACTAAATTAATCGAATAGTCCCATCTCCAATGGGGACCATGGATGTTCGTATTAGTGGGATAGGGACCACGGTGGGACTTCTTGTCGAATTTTATCTGTATTCGAATATGAGAATACTATTCAAATATTGAAGTAAGTATTCGAATATCAGAATACTATTTCAATATTGAAGTAAGTATTCGAATATCAGAATACTATTTCAATATTGAAGTATTCGAATATGAGAATACGATTCAAATATTGAAGTAAGTATTCGAATATCAGAATATTATTCCAATATTGAAGTAAGTACTCGAATATGAGAATACTATTCAAATATTGAAGTAAGTATTCGAATATCAGAATACTATTCCAATATTGAAGTAAGTATTCGAATATCAGAATACCATTCGAATATTGAAGTAAGTATTCGAAGTTTACTTATAAAGTATTCGTGTACTTATAAAATCTTCGAATAGTCCCAGCCCCAATAGGGGCTAGGGATGTTGGCATTAATTAGAACCGTTGAAACCTACGGATTTTTAATCGAGACTCAAAGAAAACATAGGCATGCAAAAATCGGGTTCTCAAAAAAGTGTAGGGAGAGTGGGTAGGTTTGGGTCGTGGGAAGTTTGGGTCAGTCAATGTATTTCCATCCTTGTCACGCATACCTTATTCGCATATCAATTGTTCATTGTTGCAGTAGTAAGAGTATTCATAACGTAAGCAAGAAGTTTGTTACAGTAAGAATTTAATCTTGTGCATTTCATGGTAAGTGTAATACAAATTGCTAACCGAAATAAATCGCTGCTATAAATTTAAATGCACTAAAATGTTTAATATAATTAAAATGTTACTGGACGACCTTATGTGTCAGCAACATTTATACATTACAAATTGTAACCTAAAAACGTGGTTCGAGTAACAGAGATGCATTACTATAAACGTTCGGATGCGGGAGGTGTCGGTTAGAAATGTGCTGGAAATTTTGGTCGATCCAAGCATCTCCATTTTCTTTTCAATGAATTGCTGCCGCTACTATTCTTTACATTAAAAATTTAATTAACAATTTTCAATACCTTTATGTATGTTATGTTATTCCATCACTGAGACATTTTATTAATGTTTATTATTGTTCCCCACAATCACAACTTCCTCTCCCTCTACCGGTTCGGATAGAAGAGGTTCTAGCGTACCTCGTTGCGACACAATACATGCAGCTTCTCGGCCGGATCGGACGTTGGGCCACACACGCGTCAAGACTTACCGACAGCTTTTCGTATCTCCTCGTAGAATCTGGACACGGACCGTGGAACGGAGAGAGAGAGAGAGAGTGCAGAGTAAAACCGAATGATATTTTTAACCGCAACACCGGACCAAATTTAGTACCCGGGCCGTGTGTCTAGCGTATCGTATGGCCAGAATGACTCGTCGCTAGGCTGGCCGTGCACCGATCGGTCACGATACCGTGGGGATGCACCCAACCAACCTAACCTAACCTTTTCACCGGTAGCGATTTCTTCACCCTTCCACCCGACGCAATGAAGAATTTCAGCCGTTCGTAATTCATTCTTACGGGGATATTCGGAATACTCTACTAGGGATAAATCGATCCACGTAAATAATCGATACTTTCGTTTCGATACCGAGTATTTTTAGTATCGATACTTTTGATTGCGATATATAGTGTTCCACGATTGGTGTATGTCCTTTGAAGGGGTGATTCCTGGGGTGATTTGAAACAACTTTTTCCTTAGCGAAAACGTTCTCCGAGGCTTTGTTAAGGAGATATTAACGAAAAACCCTGACCAATCGGAGCTCAGTCGACAGAGTCGCGCTCTGATTGGTCGGGGTTTTTCGTTAATATCTCGTTAACAAAGCCTCGGAGAAGTTTTTCGCTAAGAAAAAAGTTGTTTCAAATCACCCCAGGAATCACGCCTTGCAAGGACTTACGACTATTTTGGGACACCCTGTATACTTGGTATCGGAACAAAGTACTCATATCGAACGGATGGAGCGAGTAATGAATGTGAAGGTGGTTGTCGTCCAGTTATATTACTTTGTTAATAAGTGTTCGTTAATAAATGTTCCTTAATAAAAGATGTACATCACCATAAAAATCAGATATGTACAAATTCATTATCAAGATACAGTTTCAAATAACAAATAAAAGATAAAAAAAATAGTACTTCGTAATTTTTAATCGTTCGAACGTGGAAATTCCAATATTTATAACGAAATAATGCTTCATCCTGAATGAGTCGACAATTGGCAAACAATTATTTGATGTCATTAACTGTTCAAAGCTCAGGATAACGACCTTAGGTACTACAGCTTTTCACTGTGTATCATTCGAATAAAAATTCTGCTCAACTCTGGTTAAAATATATTATATTAACAAACAAAAAAGAACTTTGTATTCATTTTCCTTCGATACTAAGTAGATATCGATACCTTTTTTCGATACATGTTATGAGTAAAAGTATCGATACCTCGACGGTATCGGTTTATCCCTATCCACGCCCACCCCAATAGTGGGGATAACGCCTGGACAATAATCGTGTAGAACAAGCCTGACGATAATCGAAGGGAGTCTGTATATTCATGGTCGCAGCTAAATCATCAGTTGGAAAGGGGGGGAGGGCAAAATCCAATTTTTTTTCTTTTAGGGTAGGGCAAAAGCCATTTTTTTCCGTTTAGAAAGGGGCACTTGCCCCCCCCCCTGCCTCTTTGGCTACGCCCATGAGTATATTCGTCTAACACTCGCGAGCTTTCCAACAGATGCGTCAAACTAAATAGACCTGTCATCGGAGTTGGCGATTATGTTGACCCATCCGGCTATCGGTTGGCAATAGGTTTGTTTACACGAAACTTGAACTGTAGGGAACCATAACATCGACTGTGATTTAAGAGCCACGAGGATTTTAAGCGGATACCTTTTTGATTCTCGTTACGAAAACTAATCTACGTTATAGTCTGACAAAAATTGTATAGTCACTTTAAAACCTTAATTACGAAACCTTCTTATCAATTTTCCATAAAAGTTCATACAAACAAAAATAAAACTTAGAAATGTACTATTCCAAAAAGGTGTTCCCATTTTCATCCCTCCTAGTTTTAATGCTTGTACAGCTGTTAGTTGATTGAAATAAATTTTATAATTGTTCTATTTATGGAAATATAAAAATAATGTTTCCATCGAGTAAAGTAAAATAAAAACTGAAAAATAAATAAAATAATTTTTTAATACTATGCAAAAACTGTTATTTTAGAAAATTCTCTTGACTCCAAAATGATATTCTCTTGGATATATGCAAATTACTTTTTAATTGGTAAATTGGTAGGATTTTCGTATTCATATTATGAATATCGATACCTTTTGAACGATATTTTTCATGTATCGATATTTAACACTAGGACTACAAGTATTTAATGTATGCTAAGTGAAATTGTATAATATATTAACATCTGTAATATACATATAATGCAATATAGCTTAGTATACTATAATGTAAAATGTATAAGAAATTAGAGATTAACATAAATTCCGATGAAAGTACCTCTAGGATTTCATTAATTGTAAATAAAAAATCTGAAATCCTTGGTATGGTTTTTTAACCCCAAGTTGCTTCATGATTACAATGGTTTTATGACCTATATTCCATGATTTGGTACGAGTTGGGCCAATGTTACACGAAAACTGACCAACCCTCAAAATAACGAAAAATTAATTAAACACTTTACGGATCCGATAATTTAATGATACTTATTTTACATAAGATTACCAAGCCATAGATTCACTCTTACATTATACAATGATTAAACTACCAAGTTATAGAAAATTAAAAATAAAATTCCAATTAACTATGAAAAATTTTAAATAATATTAATGGTATAATTAATGTTATTTAAAATTTTTCATAGTTAGTTTTAATTTTATTTTCAATTTAATAGTATGATTAACATTATTTACAATTTTCCATAGTTAATTTAAATGTAATTTTTAATTTCTTATGACTTGGTAGTTTAATAATTGTATAATTTAAGAGTTGTTTTATCTAAAAATATATGTGTGAGTAGTAACTCACTTATTAAATAAGCCATTTAAAAACAATGTAAAACAACAACAAGAAATAAAATATACCCAATAGAAATAAAATTACTTTCTTTAAAAAAAAAGAAAAATCTTCGAATTAAATTTACTTCATGTCAGATTATTGGGGGTTGGTAGCTTTCTGCATAACTTGGCCCAATTGATAGATAAGAGACGGGTCCGAGACAAATAATAATGTACCACTGGTCTGTATTCATTGCCAGTGGATACGGCAAGCGACGGTCAGACACGCCAGCCAATAGTATCAGAAAAAGTAGAAGGTTCAAACTTCATTTGCTTTTGCATTTTAACAAATTTTCATAAATTTTAACAAAGTTATGGAACATTGAATTTCGACAAATTTTCACTAGCGCAGAAATGAGATAATACTCTTTTGGCAGTAGTGTACTTGACAATAAATTCTGTGAATAATTCTCAGTGAAAAATTCTTCGATAACATGTGTCGAATTACTTTAATGATATTATTAATATTATGTAATTATATTAATATAATTTAATAAGTTTAAATTAACATAGTAAATGTTAAAAGAAAAATAACTATTTATATTAGAATATTTGCCATTCTACTCTAGGACAGTGTGGTTCTGTTAAGTGCTTCCAGGCATCAAAATAAATTCTCTACGGCTCAGAGAATGAATAAAAGAGTGAAATTTTCATAATAACATGCTTCATATCACTTGAAGTGTTTTATTTTTGTTTCCTTTTAATGTATTTAGAAAATCAGTTCGAATATGATTCTAATGATACTATTTGATAAAATAGATTATTATTATTATTGTCTACGGACAAATGGATTAATGAACAATTAAATTTATTTCTAATGAAACGATAACTCTACACTACTGTAGCAACAGTTATGATCTCCGTAACACTATTCGCTGTATTTACCGAACAAATTGGCGGAAAAGTTTACGAATTTAAATTTCTGTTGTCAACTTATTCAGAAAATGTATTGGATCATTTAGTTTAAATGTTTTTTTTTGTAATAGAGTGAGTATTTGTGACAGTAGTAAATCTCTGTACATAGATTTAGAATAATTTCGATTAGCAAAGGTTTGTCAATCGATTACCGACGTAATCATTACAATGATATAAAAATAATATAAAATCTGATTTTTTTTAAACCAAAATGACGATCCATTGTCACGGCCAGAGAAAGATTGAATAGCCTGGGAAGTCACTTTAATGGAATTTATTTAAAAAAATGAAAAGATTAAACTTCGAGCACTTAACGAGACCAATCGTTAGAACACTCGATTGGTCCTTAACCTAGAAAGATTAAAGCTTTGGTAAACCCCTTAAATACTAATATAATTAAAATAACAAGTAATTACTTTTAAAAGTATTTCAAAATAATGCCTACTGTTTTCAATATACTATCTTAATAAATGAAAATAATTTAAGAACAATCTGATATAAGTTCTAGATGAAATTGTTATTCAAATGTAAAACCCAGTAATAATTAGACACACGTTGCTCCAAAATTTTTCACTCAAAATTACCTGTGAAACCTATTGCCACAGTACAGTCACTTCTTTCCTGGACAGAGTCAGTACATTATCACAACTATCCTTTCGAAATTCCTAAAAATATAATATTATATTTAATCAAGCATAATAACTTTAAACAAACATTTGTCAATTTTCATAGCACAGAATGAGAATAGAAGACATAGGAAAATAGTTTTCCCTAACTTCAATTTAATTAGTGGGTATTTATTATATTGAAATTAATATTCATAACAGCAATGCATAATATTTATCATAATTTTAAAAACTTAGTATACAGGATGCAATAAATTGATATGAAATACATTAATATTTAAATAAATAAAGAACTATACTCACAGGCCTGGAGGTCTGGATCCCAGCTGGGCCAAAGTAGTATTCCCTTCCAAATGCCACAATAGCTGTATGCCATATTCCCTCTATGTGTCGACCTGTGCATAAACAAACAACATTTTATTGTACAATCCATTTACAGTAGTAACAAAATAAAAATAATATATTTTAATTATACATATATGAGACTCTACATATACATCTATATTTCCATTTGATATTTCATACAAATGTAAAAATATTTTCTTTATTTGATATTTCATAATTCTTTAATTTTTTTCTATTGTTCTCCAATATCTTATCATGTACAGTGGTGGATGGGTGTATAAGGAAACAAATATGTACTAGTGTAACACTTGATTAGAAAACCAGACAATTACTAATAGTTTAATAGACTGATATACAGTATACTGTATACAGGGTGGTTAAAAAATACCACACTGAAAGTATCTGAAACTATAAAAATAAGGAAATCACTTTTCAAATAAACATTCTTTAGTATAAAAGAAAACATCACTTCGTCATAAATTTTATTTTGTAGGCCAACTTCTGTTCCGAAAATTTCTCTCTCGCGATACCTCCGAAGACATTTAACCCTTTTAGACCTGAATTATTTCTTTCAAACCAAAAAAAAAAATATATTTTTGTACATAGTTATTTTTTGGAAGTAAGAAAAATAGAAAAATTAACAAATCAATTAACAAAACAATAAGCATCTCAAGTTCGAGAGTTTCGACATTTTACAGTTTCGGATTCGAATTTCGCGAGTTTCATCTGGAAATGTTTCGGATTCAAATTTCGAGAATCGAAAAACGAAGTTCCATCCCACTCCAACTATTTGCATAATAACAAGTGCATGAACTTGCGCCCGTCGAAATATACAGTTGAACCAAATGCTCTAGAATGGCAACAGATGCTCCTGCCCAAGGACCCGAACGAAACAAATTCCTCGAGACAATAATATCGCAGACCGTCCTTGTCCCATGTGTTCACCGCGTCTTTTTCGCCCCGTAAAAGCGTAATTTTGTGCTTAGACTCAACAGCTTCGGGGCACTCGCGAGTCGTCGGCCTATGTCTTCCTTCGACCCAGTTTCTAATCGCGGGAATAGCCGGCCGGCATATCCGTGATTTTCTTATTGCCAACCGCGTTTCTGGTAGGACGTGGCGAAATAACCGCGAGAAATAGCCGCGGGGCCATCCAACTCGACGATTCACCACTTTCGGCGCTTGCGCAACACTTTAGAGCGTTCTCTCTCTCTCTCTCTGACTGATGCAACTTCAAGTCAACTTTTCGGTTCATCGAACGTTTTTCCAAAGTTACATTTATTACACTGTTCAACAAATTTGAACTTTTTTTCGATTTTGTAACCTCTAATAAGCGTTTCTGACAGATCCTCGTGAGCTGAATACGAATCTGGAAACCGTTTCTTTCCCGCACGTCCAGTTTTAAAAAAAATCAATTTTAAACAAAATTGCAAATTTTCAACTTTGGAATTGTGTTTTTACAGTAATAGTTATGCAATTTCTTTTGACACGAAATAATTCTCTGGACTCTTCCGAACAAAACGATATAAATTATTATATCTTACCAAATACGACCCTTAAACCTACCTTACTATTCGAGCGTTAAAACATCACTGTCCCTTTTATGAATATCACTCTTCTACATAAATAATTAAATATTGGATTTTGAACGTAGCGTTTATCACTTTGAAAATTATAAAGAATGATTCTGTGCAAAATATACCTAGTAGACCAACTGTAATTTCGCACACTTTCGTATTATATACGTTCAAATCAGTGGTGGGATTCAGATAATCTAACAAATCGGTTCGCAACCTAAACGTCAACTATATAAATTTAAACAACAAGTTTATAATGAAAATCTTATGAAATACCCGATTAAATACGTTAACAAGTGTCATTTATTATTTCAGCAATTGGTTCGTCGGAACTACAAAATTTTTAAGAACTGGTACGAATCGGCTGAATCCCACCAGTTGTTCAAATGTGATTTGGTTATATTGACCGTTTTTATCATTTCTCAATAGGTTCGAATAAATAGGGTTCTACCGTAAGGTAAACGCACCAATGAATGAATACTTAAAGGTGCGTATTCATTTGTTGCGTATCATCGGATCGGATCACCATACGATACATTTCCATATGCAACGACGCAACACTTACCCGTCCACATTGATACAGAACGGTGATACGATACGAGGGTACGCAACAAGTGGACACGCACCTTTAAGTATTCATTCATTGGTCCGTTTTAAAGTAGTAAGAGATTTTGTAACTATTAAATTCGAATTTTAAATGATAATAATATTATTAAATATGTGGCACATGGAAATTGTATTTTTTAATATCTACACCTGTTTATAATGTATAGATTTCAATTTGAAAAATTGGAAGAACGTAATTAATTAAATTAAAAAGAGAAAAATAGATTTTACCAGTAAATGAACAATATTACTTAAATGAACATTTCTAACCAGTGGCGCGAAAATTGTTTAAATATGAAACAAGAAATTGAAAAGAAAATTAATAGTTAATCATTTGTTTATTTTAATAATTTGATTTACTCGTTTTTATATATAATGTTTATTTACTGGTACGTGTTCATTTACTGCTGTATCCACCCTATTTTGTTTTGCAAGGAGAATTGCACGCACCGTGAAATACCAGAAGCGCCTGAACAATTACAAGTAGTACCTTTCGAAAATAGATCTGCAAGCTCGACGCGGGGACTGACTCGCGAGTGGCGAACGAACCTTGGATGAACATGACGTAAATGCCTCGTGGCGATACGACTGTGTGTGTTTCGCTTCTGTGTGTGTATTACACGATGCACCGTTTTCCGTGAATCTTCGTTTGAAATGGATCCTTTCTTCCTTTATTACTTCCGCGTTCTATCGAGTTCAAACTTTCGCCGTACAGTCTCCGTTTCGAGCGCAAATTTTACTGTCGACCTAACCTCAATGTTTCGAAAATTTAATTTAAAATTATTGTTACAGTCATTAACACTATTCGGTTTAATTTGCCTACTTTATGTTTATAATCATGAACATGTTATTCATTAATTCACTTTTTTTCACGATGGGGATATACAGAGCGTTCCATTTAATCTGACCACATGAAAGTGTTTTGAGGAAGTAAGTTGATACTAATCTTAATAAAACAGGAAAGTTGATATTAATACACAATACACAATTTCAATTATATACTGTTCAATAAATAAAAATATTTCTTAAATTGAAATTTTAACTTTTTTTCGAACTCGTAACCCTCAGTAGGCGTTTCTGGCAGATCTTTATGAGTTGAATACGAATCTGCAAATTTTCTTCTCGTTACATACAATTTTTGAAAAAATTGATTTTTTCAAAATGTACGAATTTTTAGAATATGGCCAGACTTTTAACTTTTGAAATAAATTAACGAATATCAGCAAAAATTGTTGCGTTTTCGGGGTCCTTTTCACTTTAATCATTATTTAAACATTTAAATGTCTATAATATAATAACAATTTACATAATTTTGTTCAGGAGAGTCCAGAGAATTATTTCGTGTTAAAAGCAACTGAATAAGTATTATTATAAAAATGCAACACATTCACAGATTTGAAAAATTATCATTTTTTTGAAAATTGATTTCTTCAAAAACTGTACGTGCTGGGAAAAACGGTTTGCAGATTCGTATTCAGCTCATAAATATCTGTCAGAAACACCTATTGACGTTTGTAAGGTTGAAAAAAAGTGAAAATTTAAATTACAAAATTTTTTTATTTGTTGATAAAATTCTGTGTCACTTTCGTATGTAATTAAAAATGAAATTAATGGTTTAAAAAGTGTGCTTACTGTATGAAATATTTCGCACTTGTTTTCCTAACGATCTCAAAATAGTTATTTTCGTAATGTTTCAAACACACGCCTCGGATCTGTTTTCGACATGTCGATTCGATTATTTACTAATTTGCTTCCTCTTCCGGTTCAATAAATATTGAAATGGTGTATGTTGATAGACGCTTATACGCACTTATTTCAGAACGATCTTCAGTTATAGAGTGAGAAAAATACACAGAACACGGTTCTTTGAGTTTCAAGTGGATATTTGAGAATGTTTTAACTAGCTGACAGCCCGAGACATAAAAATTCCACTGTGCCCTGAAAGCTTTCTCTTAGCGAAACGAAAACTGTTGTACGAACTAAAATTAGAGGGCTGGTTTAGTTTTCGAATCTTATCCTACGAACTATTTTCGTTTAACGACAAAAAGCAAAGGGCTTGTTGTGCAGTAAGACAATGTTTATATAAATTTTATTATAAAAAATGTAACATGAATATTAAAAATATTTTGATATGATAGTTTCATTTTGATTGTGGAAATGTAAACTTATGTTAACACTACCGTGTTGTACGAGACGTTCGAGAAAAATGGAAAGATCTGAAATTCGTTGTTTACTCTAAAATTTATTAGAAAATGTGTTGAACACGATAATTTGAATATTAAACAAAAATATGAAAATTATATAATAAAACGGATCGATGATAAAAAAAGGTTTCAAACAAAAATTGTAGTTAAATTCTACTATTTTTATAAATTGCCTCGCGATTTCGAGATTTCGACGAAGGAAATTGTATTTTCTTTATTAATTTTGTCGAAATGAAAATTACACGGAAATTTATTATTACGTTTCCAATTAAGCAAAAAACACGAGTCGACCCAGTTCTCTGACTCACTCTGTATAATTATAGTGGTACAATTACTTGGCAAAACGTTTCAAATCGTCTTTTATCCGGACAACAGATTAAAATACTGACAGGTTAATGGCACGAAGGGAGAAGAAAACTGAGTGAGTACATCGGTGTATGTGAAGTGCAGCGAGCATAAATGATCATACAATGTTGGAATAAATCCCCAGAATAGAACTCGAACAAATATAGAATATAAAAATACCTATTGCAATTACAAAACCGATTAAAATGTCACTTCAAACCATCGATAACTCAATTATTAACAAAAACCACTAAATAATAATAAACATAGAATACAATACAATAAACTAATCAAAGGTCGATTAGAGGTCACATTACAGAATTTTTTTCGATACTGTCAAAATATTTGAGTTCCAGAAAAAAAATTTAGTTGACCTTGACGTTGCGAAAAATTACAAATTATAAATGAAATATTAATATATGATTTAATTCGATCTGGATAATAAATGATTGAATAGATTTTTTTTAAATTAATAAATACAAAATAATAATAATATTATTTTAAGTTTAATAATATTATAGTTCGGTGAGCAATGACCGAATAAAATTGGTTTCCGAACAATCGATGACTCAGCTACTGATAGCACCCCTTTCGAAATCTAGTCTGATCTTATCGATAACTGCATATATCGATATTTGCCAATCGATATATCACTATTTTTATCGACATTTTAGAAACTAATAATTACAAGTATCGATCATTTTTGTCAAAACATCGATAATTTTTACGAAATAGAAAAAAGTATAAATACAATGACTAACTGGGACGTTCGGCCCATCTGAGAGATTGTTTTCTCACGCTGTATTAATTTTAATAAACAAGAGGAACCGTTTATCTATACAACACCTTCAACAATTATTATTTTTAACCTGCTTGTCTTTAGAAGGTTCGAATTTATAAGATGTTTATGTATATTTTCTGATAATAAATAAATATTATCTGAAAAGTAAATTACTTGTTTTCCTTTCCATACTTCAAATATTAATTTAAATAAAATAATTTTGAAGAACTTTTATTTTTACTTTTATCCAAAGTGATATACTCTTGAATATACATGTTTTAATTGAAAAATTGATTGGATTCTCCATCGATGCTTTTTGAACGATATTTTTCATGTATCGATATTTATTGAAAAAATATATATCGATAAGCATTATATATCGCACATCTTTAGTTTGTGTATGTTGCTATTCCGTTATTCACGGCTTAAAAATATCTTGTTGTTGCTGTTTACCTCGTGCGTGTGTAGCGAATGAAGACGCGGCGACGTGTCTTTAAATAGCGTGCTACGAATTTCAGACAGAAGAAACGAACCTAGCTCGTGTACCTTCTGACCCGAGCACTTATCGTTTTCACTAGTGTAGTGGTTATCAATTAATAAAAAAATATTTTCATAGTTGCATTCTGTGGTTCCGATTTGTGAACAAAACCTCATAAACATAACTCTTAATCATTTATCATTGAAATACAATCGAAAAGTTGTTATTTTCATTTGGACACTGGGTCCTAATAAGTATCCAATATGGCCGCCGTGTACTAGAACATTCCACTAAGAATTTTCGGACTGTTCGATCCGTGTAACACTTCTTATTTATTACCCGTGTGATCTATCGATCTTGTAAAGAAATTTTGAAGGTTTTCAGAGTGTACGTTTTTATGGGAAAATTTAATAGAAATATTATTACCACTGTTAATAGGTATAGTAGGTTAAAATACTGCGGTACTGAATTCTATTAAAGTTCATATTTGACTAATTTTAACAATTTTTGGGTGATATAAACTTGTAAAGAACTATTGTATAGTTATAAAATACGAAAACATTTCAAACAAGAATTGAAAAATTCATGGAAATAATTATTTACATTTATTGTAAGATTGATATAGGAAAATACCGAGTTGCCTTCAAATCTTGCATCACAGAAAGTAACTAAAAATACGATGATATAATTTTTAAAACGAACAATAAATAATTTGGTGTTTCTATTTTTATTTTTACTTAATTGATATGTATGCATTCTGGGCTTATAACCATATAATAAATAAATACATAAATAAATAAATTTTACCAACAATTCAAAGTATTTTTTGTTCGCCATAAGTTAATAACAAACTAGTGCAGAAGAACACGAAAAATTAAAGTTTTCTTAATCGCATAAAACAAAGTCTCTACAAAGAAAATGTAATTTTTATTTTGAAATTTTCATTGGAGAATAATGGCGATTACAAATAAATAATAACAGTAAAAATAAAATAGTAAACTTTCAAATAGATTTATCGTATTAAAAACTGAGTTTCTAATGACCAAAATTTCAATTAAACCACTACACCTAAAAATGTTCTTTTTACCATAAAAGTAATTAATAACGATAATTCGACTCACCAATAACACTTCTGGACATCGTAGCAGCCATGCCCCTCGAGAGATCATAAATGTATAGTTCCACGGTGGAACTTGCATTCCCCGCGGTTTCCATTTCGTCTGACTATAACACAAATAACACAAAACAGTCAAATAAACTTCCAAACAATAAGGCAAAATTAAAGGTAATTTTGGGTTGGGTCACAAATAACATTCCCCATAGGCAATAACGACGATTCACGATGTAATAAATTATTACTTTTTCATATTACTATTATTACTAATAATGAAATAATATTAAAATCCACGATTAGTTACCTATATTTACCAATGATAAACAATACTGAGATGTCAATCTATAATTTTCAAATATTATTAACACTAGAACGACTAAACAATTAGTACACATCCTGTAACGATAATTAAAACGTTACGACACATTTTCTCAGATCATTTTCAACTTTTATTTCAATATGAAAATGAACAAATCTGTAAATTTTCAAAAGTTTATCATGTTAAATAAGTATACGTTTATCATCGACAATTCCAATGTTAATCAAAATATTCAACATAACTTTGCAATTTACACGTTCCTCAATTTCACTATTAAACATAACCAACAGTCATTCAGTTCACCCATTCTTACAACCACTAATTACTATCCAATAATATTCTAAGTATCTACAAGAAAAGGTTATTCATATGACCCAACCCAACATATTTATGTTCAGAACTTAACAGCTTCACTATATGCCGCCATTTTAAACTTTAACAATTTCCATTGTTTCTCTTCTAACGACACCAAATTACGTACAACAATATTACATCCAGTATAACAAACCGTTTTTATGGTTATTATTATTATAAACCAAAGTCTAACTAAATCCAATATTCAATTTTCAAACGAAACCAATCGCGATTCAGGTACGATTTAACCCTCCACTGTACAGGGGTTGGATCGATCGTGATCCATATGAAATGATATATCACGAATACTCATGCAGATGGGTCCCCAAAGACCCAAAAACCACCGAACGGTTATTCCACGAAAACGATCGTTCCTAGGCACACTTCCCGCGTAAACATTCAATATCCGCCGTCGAACACGCTGATTGGCGCAGGGGGGGGGGGAATACAGAACCGACCAATCAAGCGCACCACTTGACCGATCACCCGTCACGGTTAAAACGAAACTCACGGGCGTGCACGCGCACGGTACGGTCGGTCGGGCAGAAATTCCGTAACTTCCTCGAATATTGCTCGCTTCTATTTTGCGTGCGCAGGCAGAGTGGTCGCCTAACTCCGTTTATGTCGGCCCCACTGATGGATGGAACGACTCCGGGGGACGTAAATACACCGAGCAGGTCGCGTCTCCGCGTACGAAACGGGACTGGCGAACCCAGTGACAGAGTCTCCACGCGAATAAAAGCAACAAAAGAAGGGGTGGGGAGAGGGGAGGAAGAAAAAACACTGGGGATACCGTAAATGTAGTATTTGGTCGTTCGATCACCACGATAATAACCGATCACACTAAGGACAGACACTTGGACGATACACAAAGACCGATCCTCGTTGGATCGAAGATTCGAAGGTACTGTTTGTGAACGACGGTTTTTGCTCTGCTGTGCATCAGATGGAGCGACCGATTGTAGACTGCATTTGCGATATATAGGGTGAACCACGAATCATGATCAGTAGAGATTAGTTTGTTATTAGCAGTCCGATCGAAAATGTTTTTATCGGGTATAGCATGGTTTCAAGAAAGCTTTAACGTGATTACAGCAAATTTTTTGTCAACTCTTCTTTTTTCATGACTTTTCAAGATCGCCTTCAATGTTTTGCAAATACACCTATAATTTTTGTACGCTTATCTGTTAGAGGATTTCAAGACGAATTCGGTGAGTATCATAACATAACATGTGTTACTTTTTTTTTCATCTGGGTCGAGAAAAGATTAAAGATATATTCGAATTGTAATATTACAAAGAGTATCGTATGCTACGCCATTGTACGCGTTCCGATGTTAAGCTCTTGCCTACTGTTTGTAAACATTTCGTTCTGTACATTGGAACACATCTAATGATATCTACTGATCACGATTCGTGGTTCACCCTGTATATCACTAAGTGAATGAATCAGCAGGTACGAAGCGACTATGATCAACCAGCATCATTCGAATTTTCGCGGGCGTTTCGAACGTGGCGGGTGAATTATCGATCCTGGAATAAATCGGACACTTTTTGGTCCAAAGTTTTGGAGTTTCTTGATAGTTGGATGTGGTGTAGTTTTTAGTGATATGTAAACGTATCTCGAAGGATTTTTGAAAATTCGGAAAGTTGTTTGGAATATAGTGTCAAGGTTGTTCCAACAAATTGTGACTGTTAAACTAAGGAACTAATCGAAATGAGCTTTGTGGGTGATTACAGTGGTGACATAAGAGTAACTAATAAAAATTGTTTTAGTTCAAGAAAAATATTTTTTAACCATTTATTTTGCAATTGTTCCAAAGAAATGCAATGTTATAATAGCGGGGCACTATTTTAATATTTGCAAAAAAATGAGGATATAGTCCTGTTTGTCTTCTTTATGGACAAATTTGAAAAAATATGGACACTTCCAAATTGGCCATATGAAAATTAATTGAAGTTAACAATGCGAGGAAGCACACCAGTTTGACCCGCCAAGCTGTGCGGTCTGTATTAGGTTTTGTCAATTCAATTACTTTTCATATGGCTAATTTTGAAGTGTCCATATTTTTTTCAAATTTGTCCATAAAAAAGACAAATAGGACAATATCCTCATTTTCTTTTAAATTTTCTAATAGTGTCCCGCTATAATAACATTGCATTTCTTTAAAACAATTGCAAAATAAATGGTTAAAAAATGCTTTTTTTTAACTGAAATAATTCTTATTGGGTACTGTTACGTCTGCACTGTAAGCACCCGCAACGTTCATTTTGATCAGTTAGTTACTGCAACAATTATTATTTATTGGCAAAACGTTGACACTATATTGTGAACAGCTCTAACATCAACAATTAAAAAAATTTTCAAAAATCCTTCGAGATACGTTTATACGTCACTAAAGACAACAATATATCCAAGTCTCAACAAAATCCGAAAAGTGTCTGATTTCGCGTGGAATGACCTATTTAACCTGGAATATTGCTATTGATCTAGCCTGGGTGAGAGCACCAACGAATGGAATATCTGGATCCAGTTGAGGGTAACGTAGGGGAACTTTCTCGAATTTGGACCACTACTGTTAACTTGTCATGTATAAGCAAATTGTGCAGTATGATAGACAATACAATAAATCCTCTATGAGTGTTCGAAGGAGCACTGACAAGGAGAAATTATATGACAGTTGATAGAAGTTCAAATTCCGAAGCCAATGATCTGTTTCAGTCGTATATGGCCATTAGTTTATAAAATATTTCATGTTCAGAAGCCTTCGAACACTTATCGAGCATTTACTGTATATGTATGACAGTGGTGATTGTATTAACTTACTTAGTACATAAGCAACACATATTGTTCTATCATACAGCACAAATTGCTTACACACGGCAAGTTACAGTAGAGGTCCAACCTAGGTTACAGTCCAAACTCAGCAACCTTCCATTATTACTCTACACGAAGATGATATCACCGACGAAGTATAAGAGTAGAAATTTCATTCAATGTATTTTTTACCCCACTTTTCCGGGACAACGTTGACCCATTTCCATTTCAGTATTACTAACCATCGTTTTCATAACGCAGAGGTCACTAAAGTCACAGGCTTTTTAAAGTGTCGGTACTACAGTCTGAGCCGCCAGAATAAGGTGAAAAATCTACTCCTATACATCGTCGGTGTTAATATCACAATAAAGGACGTTTCAGTACTACATTGTAACTTACTCTACCGAATACAGTAAATCCCCAATAAGTGTCGAACTGTCAAGGATTGACTGTAATATCATACTACAGAACCGTGTCAGCACTAGACTTGTAACTTACACAGGATACTCAAGACTCAAGTTATAACAGAGACTATACACCCAGATGAAACTTGGTGTTGTCAAAGGTTGACGTGACGACTCTATAACGTTTCTGGGTAACTTTTACCGAACAATTCGTCCTGGAACACCGTACGGTTTGGAGAACTCGCAAAACACTGGAGACCGTGGAGAACGATAAGGCGCACGACTGGGTTAGGCCTCGTGGGAGAACCCCGCGCGAAAGTCGGATCTCGTGAAAGGGGGGTGGTGGTGGGGGGGTGTGAATATATCGAGAGAGAATGGACACCTCGTGTTTGACGAGCCCCTGGCTTAGCGAGTGCAACTGATCTCACCGGGGGGAATCCTCGGCGGAGTCAGGGATCCAATGCGGAGACACGGCGGCGGTAGTCGGTCTCTTGCCAGGAAGAAACGGTAAAGAGGTAAAAGGGTCATCGCGCGGAGGCAGCGCATGCCTACCCACCCGGCATCACGGCCAATAACACAGCGAGTTTTTGATATGTGGGGACACACGTAACTCGCGTATTGAACGGCTGTTTACCACCGTATAACACGGAAGGGAAATTGTTCGCCGGTTACGTGCGAATCCGGGTCTTCCGATTGGACTAATGAACAGGGGTTCCAGGGTAGAGGCGATGGAGGGACGAAATTTTGATGAAAGGATCACGGTAGAAGATGTTGTTTTGTAACGAAAAATAATTTATAGTAATAAACGATAATCTATTGATAATCGATCGTAATAGAAGATAATCTACCGACAATTGATTGTACTAGAAGATAATCTATCGATAATCGATAGATCGTTGGAAACGCTGAGCATCCTAAATATCGATTATCAATAGATTATTCAAACGCTGATCATTCCAAATATCGATTATCGATAGATTATTGGAAACACTGGTAATTCCAAATATCGATTATCAGCAGATCATTGAAAACACTGAGAATACCAAATATCGATTATCGATAGATTGTTGGAAACGTTGATAATCCCAAATATCAATTATCGATAAATTATTAGAAATGCTGAGAATCCCAAATATCGATTATCGATAGGCTGTATTATTTCATGTATTTTTGTTTGAAGAAAAGAATGCCGTGAATGAAAGAATGGCGGGAAACTGAAAATGCACTAGGTGCTGTACAAATATTCATTTCTATTATTATGCAATCTTCCATATAATAAATGTTCATTTTACAAAATTATTTTATTTCCAATCGTTTTATGATACATACAAAAACGTTCAGTTGTATTCAAACAAAATTCTTATCCTATTTCTGTCAATTGATTTATTCAATAGTCTTGTTTTTTATTATTTCAGTAATAATATATTAACTGTCATGGTGAGCATCAGCCCACCATCAGGTGCCATTAACTTATGTCATAAAACATTTAGTAACTCAACAATACCATTTACAGTTCTGTAAAATTACTAAAATAATAATGAAAATTAGAAATGTAGTAGTTACTAGAAACGTATTCCAAATAATGATAAAAATGTTTTGTTGAAGAAGCATTTGCTTTTAATTCTGTGTCATAATGAATATATAAATAACAGTAGAAATTTTAGGGTTTAGAGACATTTTTTTATAAAAATGACTGGCTAGATACCCCTAGTATTCTGTAAGTTATTACTCCTTAAATCCAGTCCTGTTAAAAGAACAATCATCCGGATCATGTGCTCCCCTTATTATTCATACATCTATATACAAGAATCGCTTGGAAAGATCATCTTGTTACATCACAGTTATCATGAAAGAATAAATTATTACTCTATAAAGCAATGATGATAACTATTTGGACATATGGAATACAACTCTGGGAATGTGCCAAAAAATGAAATCTTGAAATAATACAACACCTTCAAACACAAAGCATTAAGAACCACATCAGCTGCTAAAGATAATCTGTTGTACAAAGATCTTCGTATAAAATATGTATGTTTGGGAATAAACACAGTCATCCCGATGAATTAGTGCACAACCTTGTGATCAATGAAAATGAAATTGGATGATTGAAATGAAGGAAACTTCTAGTTCTACTGAAAGTCACATAATAAAGAATTAATAAGCTACATTTATTTAAAATTTAAAGGAAGTATTACTAAGTACCATCCTTAAGTGTTGATCTAACATTTATCAGAACTGCTGATTGATCTAACATAGACCAGTTGTAGTTTAAAACATAGAAAACAAATACATATTAGTCATTAATAAATAAAACATAAATACAATAGCCAAAGGTACAAATGTATTTAACTCAATAAATGTGTAATGTTTAGATTAAATCTAACGGTTAATTGAAATCTAACTTTGGAAATATAGAGTATGCAAAAGCTATTTGTTAAATCTTTTAACGAATATTGTATTATATCCTTTATGGGCATATTACTTCTGCCATTTGTTTCCTTTTCCCGCCAATAATGCCCCCAGTGACCTCTGGGATCAAACACTGGTAATTAAAAGTTAAAAGTACACGACTTATGAACGAAAATAAGTAATTCACACGCATTGTGTTACATATTTCTTAACAAAATCAATAATGGCATACAAATAAAAAATAGAAACAACTGTTTAAAGTGTCTAAAGGAGCTTACGATATCCGCGTGTTTAAATTCTGTAGATTTTTATCCGCCATTTTTATGAAAACATTAGTTAAAGTAACGTTGCATTATACCTTTTACTGAAAATAATCCTGCATTTACATACACAGGAAAGGTAACGTTAATAGCAAAATAACAAAATCTATTTTCCGTCAAGCTTACAACACAGGTATTATCTTAAATGTGGCTTATCGTATTCTTGCAAATCAACTTCGCCGAGTTTCAGTGTTCATAATTGCTTCATAATAGCAATACTATCAGTTTTATTTATAACTAAAAACGATCACCCAACAGTAATTGGTGGGCATCGCCACCGTGGCCATGACCGGATACGAATTTACGATCAGTTTAACGACTCGCAACCGCCACTGTTCCACGATATCTGTCTGATATTTCGCAATCGTACGAAACCGCGTGAGATGGTCGAAAATTATGCATCGGTCAACGTCAGTTACATCGCGTGCCGTTCTTTGACATTCGAAAGGAATTCGCGTGAGCGAAAGTGCTGAAAAATAAACGCAAGAGGGCCAATAATACAACACGAAACGGGTGACGAGAGAAGAGATTACTCAACGAATACGGGCTGATTCAAAGTAGTTGTGTGAAGGGTACGCTACTACTTACATGGTGCTAAGATTTAACTAAAAACGCACAAAGTCGAGGGAACGAGCAAACGTACGGAATAAAGTCAGAAAATTCCACAGGCTGGCGAACACGTCTTTGTACGGATTAAAAATTAATAACTGACGATCGCGCTGCTCGCGTACATTCGCGTGGGGGAAAAAGGGTGCATACGTAAAACATCGAAAACAAGTGACAACATCCCTGTTGTAAACACGTACTTATCCTAATTACAATCGCACGTCTACTTACGAATTTGCTGTTTCCCAGCAGCGAAAGAATGGTGCGCGTTCAACCGTGTTCTGTTCAAGTTTGTTGATGAATGACGTCCAACCTCGAAGCGCTCCTTCGTTAATATCGTAACAATAGTTTCTGCATGTCGTTCGCGAGTGAACGTCGGTGAGGTTTACAGGAGAAATCGACGGGTTTCAAAACGGAAAGGAGGAACAGCCGTCGTTGCTAAACGTTATCTTTCGGTGCTTGTTAAATCACAGCGAAGAGGTTAGAATACTAGACGTTGACTCGACAATTTTCTTACGCTTACTAGGAACTTTGGTTGCGTTCCGTTACGAGCAGGCGAGCGGACCAGCGAGTTAAACAGCTGATGCTTCGACGACACCGGCGAAATGTCAAAGTCCAAGCAAATCGTAAGTTATCTGCCGCTAAATGACCAGTGATCACCAATTACTATGAATATTTTGTTCAATTATAGAGGAATCATATTTCATTCAGAAAATTGCTCGTTCACGTCACGGAATACCGAAATTTTTGCATTTTACGCGGTGACATTCATGTAACTTACTAAAAGTTCCCAGACACGAGTTGTATTGAGTCTCGCTTTTTTGTTTTTAATTTAAAACTGTTCTAGTACTGATATAGCGACGCTTTAAATAATATGAAAGTAATACTAAACATTTAATGTTATAAATGCCATTACATTTATTATACTATTTCTGTTTTTATTTAGTATTTTATTTATTATTTAATTTCGTATGTAATTGTTAACATTTATGAACTTATTATGAATGTTTTAAACATTATGTTATAAAAATTAAATTATTATACAGTTGTGTTACAAATGAAATACTTATTAATGTTTATTTTTATAAAAATGAATGAAAGTAAATACAAATATTAATTAGTATTAATATAAATTGGACCTTGAATTTTGATAAGTAGAAATGAGACCATTATAAACATTTAAATATTAAAAGTCATAATAGATAAAAATCATCATATATCATTCATGCTTCTTTATAGACACTACGTGTTCAGTCTTCAGAGGGAACAAAACGAGTAGATGTCGAGCCATCTGATACAGTCTCTCGTTTGTTTGAAAAGGTTCATACTTACAGTATTAATAAATGGTGTTCGTTTACCTGTCATACAGATTTATTAACCTCCTGTGCTTTTAGGTTTTTGATACCTTTGAATTAAATAGTTTTGGATTTGGACTCTATAGGCAACGAAATCATAAAGATGAAATTATATCTTCTCCTAGTAGAACAGTTTCTGGAGTTGGTCTTTCCCATGGAGACATGTTATACTTGGCTCCGCTTAATGGTACACAGATATGGAGCATTCCATCGACTAGCAGTGCTTCTGTTAATAAGCCTCAAGGTTTTTGTGAAGTTTTCATATTCGATTCCCCTTTTCTTTTAAATCGACCAATCTTACAACTGATTGCTTTGTCTTAGAACCAGGACCAACCGATGTAGCTGGACCAACAAATCGAAACAACAATGGGTCTAAATCTGTACCTAATATAGTTGAAGATGAAGTTGACGAACAATTATGGAAACTTGATGGTAAAATACAAAGAAGACGGGACGAAAAACTGTAAGCAAATGTAAACGTAAAGAAATCGTTTGTGGAGGGTGATTCATAGCATGCGGTCATAATTTTGAAGATGAATTAAACTGTGCTTTGTCATCCCTAAAGTTATGCCTTCTCGGTATGAAACGCCCTGTATAGAATTAAATTCTAACTGAGAATTTGTTTTCAACAGATGTAGACACGGTGGAAACGGATGTTGTGTTCATTGTTCTCCTTTAGCACCTTTCGATGAAGTTTACCTTAAGGAACAAAATATAAAACACTTGTCTTTCCATTCATATCTCAGGAAGCTCACTGCAGGTGTCGATAGGTACGTCATCGTTTACATCTGGTTTTGTGCTTCGTGTATAATCTGTGCATCTTTTATAGAGGGAAGTTTATACAATTAGATGACATAAGCTGCCGTATAAAGACTGGTTGCAAAGATCATCCTCCTTGGCCGCGAGGCATTTGTAGCAAATGTCAACCGAATTCTATAACTTTGAACCGTCAAACATATCGTCACGTGGACAATGTTATGTTTGAAAATCCAACATTGGTCGAACGATTTCTCAATTACTGGCGTGACACTGGCCTCCAACGTATTGGATATCTGTATGGAAGATATGAGATTCACACAGATGTACCGTTAGGGATTAGAGCTGTTGTCGCGGCCATTTACGAGCCGCCGCAAGTAAGTGTACGAAATAGAAAATAAGCGATGGTAAGGTGATTATAGTCGACGGTAGAGAAATAGTGAATTTCTAATTTCCCTTGACAGAATAAGCACGACGTGTGATTTCTTTTGTAACTCGCGTAATATACGATTCCACTGTTTCCTAAGCGTCGACTGTATACGATGAAATCAGAGGCTGTAGCATTACGAACATAATTTTAGGAAAGTGCAAAAGATTCTATACGACTTTTACCAGATGAGAAAGCAGCATTAGTGGACGAACTGGCTCAATTACTTAATTTAAAGAAAGTTGGATGGATCTTTACGGATCTGCTAGCTGATAATGTCAAAAGAGGAACGGTAAATTGACTCGCAATAATTTGCATTTCTTTTCTCTTACAAAAATCAACTCATTCCCTTAATTAATGGCATCAGTTTCATTTATTCAGGTGAAACACACTCGAAACGTAGAAAGTCATTTTATGTCTGCTCAAGAGTGCATTATGGCTGGACAGTTTCAAAATCAGTTTCCAAATCCCTGTCGTTTTTCGCCGAGCAATTATTTCGGCTCAAAGTTTGTTACCGTATGCGTGACTGGTAAGTTGTTTGCACTACAATACTGTAATAAAATATTTGCTTGAAAAGTAAATTGTCCGATGGTGGTTGCAGGGGATGCTAAGAATCAAGTTCACATGGAAGGTTATCAAATATCAAACCAATGCATGGCATTAGTACGGGATGGCTGCCTGGTCCCTACGAAAGACGCTCCAGAATTGGGCTATGTAATTGAATCCAGTGACAAACAATACGTTCCAGATGTCTTCTACAAGGTGAGTACAATAAGAATTTCATTTCAATCTATTTGTCGAGTTTCCCTGCTTCGAATCAAAACGGCAATCCAGTGCTGATACACCTCGTGTAAATGCATACTGTGCCCCGAATACACGCGTGTCACTCTAATAGTCGCACACACCGTATTGTTAACGTGTTACGCCGTCCAGCGTAAAAGGGAAGGTGAAGGTGATGCATATTAACTTGTACACGAGTGAAAGAGAAACAATTTATAACCCAAAAGAAAAAAAAGAATATCGATTGATTAAAAGTACATTGAAATTGGGCAACGAACTTCGTGTTTCGTACATGTATAATGGAAATAATAAAACTGTTCAAGCGAGTGCACTACGGCTATGCGGTTTCCGTAGGCTGCAAACAAAATGATCCGTAAACTTTTTTCGTACTTTGTAATTGGATGATTACGCCTTAAACTTACGCGGAAAGGGATGAGTGAGAGAAAGACGAAAGTAAGGAGAGAGAAAAAAAAAATAATAAAAAGATGGAAAGAAAAAAACAAGGAGAAAAAAAACAGAAAAAAGTTATCGAAACTTTTAGCCGCTCAACCGTTTAATTCGAACGCGAGGAGCAAGGTAAACCGTCGGTTGTTTCTTTCTTTTTGAATCGATATTACAAGCTATGCGTTGTGTTTGTTACCTCATCACGTTCATAAAAATATATGTAGTATATACGCGCGCGCGTGGGTATATCGTGTGTATACAGGTGGGCTTTCTAGCTTCGCTCGGGTTCTCGCTCGATGAACATAGAATTTCAACTACGTAATCTAGATGTCGAAAGTTCCCCCCACCCCAACCCCCCGACAATTAAAATGGTCTTTTCAATTCGTTTCCGCGCGATCGGAAACGTAAGAAATTCGTTCGAGCTCCGACCACCATCCCCCCCCCCTCTTTCGATCGTCATATACACGTCGTTTTTTTTTCTTCTTTTTTTTACGCAAATATTACACTCTAAACGGCGATTGTTATGTTTATATCCGGTAATGCGGTGGCTCGCCCGCAGAACGCGTGATTATCAGCTAATTAACAAGTGTTAAAACTTTCAAGTTCAACATCGAATGAGGCTTTCTTCGAAAAAGGCATATCCGCGACGAGGGCGTGCAATTCATCTTCTTTGCTTTGTTTTTTTTTCTTTTCTTTTCCTTTCTCTTCCTACGGGAATACGTGTGAGTGCGCGACTGTTTTGCATACGCGACGGGCCGATTCACAGTGCACACACACACGCGCACGCACTCTTTTCGAGTCGACACTACACACACATACACACAGCAGACACTCTGTTCGAGCCGACTGGAATGGGGACCTTACGAGGATTTCAGACACGATTAGTACATAACGCGTTACATTATATATATGTATATATCGTGGTACTTCGATATAGAGCATCGAGGAATGATTTCGTTTTTTTTTTAAATATATATATATATAATCCGCTCATTTCCGTTCGTTTCTTTTTTTCTTTCATATCTCTCTCTCTCTCTCTCTCTCTCTGATTAGACGACGAGGCTTACGATCTACATAGTAGTTTTGTAGTTAGGCCTTTTTTTTTGCGTACACGTTTTCGTATGTTTGAGATCTAATCCTTAAATACAAGGTATAGGTTCCGCGACGGCCTACGTGTGACCACCGGGGCGCGAAATGGAACGAAAAGGGAGAAGGAGCGTTCGGTTGCACGCGAGTCGTGTTCGACAGGAACTATTTTTCGCGAAGTTTCCCCGACTCGCCGTGTTGTGTCGCTTCGTCGCGCGTCATCGACTCCGTTGTTTCCCTTTTAGCTCCTTATGACCGGGATTCATAGTCACTACTTATTCTTAAGCAGATGCTTAAGTCCCCAGTTATCAATGTATAGATGTATACGTATGGACTACACATTCATAACTGGGGACTTAAGCATTTCTTTGGGAATAAGTAGTGACTATGAATCTCGGCCTATGTGTCTTGTTTTTTTTTTTTTTTCAATTTCCCCAACCCCCCCATTTGGAACGGAACAATACGTGATCTCGTTTTGATCGGACGACACCACGGAATTGGCCCTTTTTTTTATTTTTACGCACCTACGTATCGTTCGGTTAAACTTCTAAACGACCTGCGTGTGTATATATATTTATATATATATGGAATCACGATTTTTTGGACTTGTACGAAGTCACGCGCGTTTTCTCGGTTATAAAACGAAAAAAAAAAAAAGTTCCCGCCAGTTACGTGTTTATCCCTTTTTACAAATATATGAATGCATGTGTATATATACACATACAAGTTTGCCCTCGTACATATTTCTCATCTACACGCGTCCTTCTCTGTGTGTATGGTGTGTATGTGTGTAATTTTTTTTTCCTTTCTTTTTCACTACCTACGACCCTAAAAGATTATCAGAGCGCCCACCGCAGAGGGAGCGCGACACACAAGTTTACTTTTTCTCGCGCACGGCACTTTTTTAAATCCCGCGCGATATATATTTATAACCCCCCCCCCCCAATCATCTCTATCAACTAATACGTAGTAGCAATAACGCTGCTTGTGATAGCCAAAAATAAACGTCGAACTTCTTCTAAAAACAAATTGTCGTCCGTACAGCTAGAAGTCGTATCGATATCACGATCGATCTGTGTTGAGGTACGTATTTTTTTTTTTTATCATCATCATCGATCGTCGTCGTTATTGTAGATACAGAATCTTATTTGATTCCCAATCAATAGCAAAATATGGATCTTTATTTCTTCTGTCTTCTCTTATGCGTCCACGTTTTAAAAATAGATTCAACATCTTTAGAATTACTATTGGTTAATAGTTAATTAAATTGTGTGTGACTCGTAACCGGAACGTGTGGTTTTTCGCGATATTTCATTTGGAGAGTATCGGTAGGTCGCGACAACGGTGGCCCTTCCGTGAGGTTATATATATATGTATATATATATATATAGTGTAATATCGGTGTCGCGTCGTTTACGTCGGATAGATATCTCCCTGTGTGTATACATGATTTTTCTTTTCATTTCGCTTAAAACGTACCTAGATCCCCATCTCGAACGTAAGGGTTCATCAGGATGACACCGCCCCCCACCCCCCCAATAATCTCGCGACTCGGACAAAAATTTTTTTCAGTTATCTAGAACGGGTGAAACGTGAAGTATACGGGGCACTGCTCGATGACGCGTGCCCGTCGGTGTATACTAACCGCGATAGCGTTGCTGTCGTTACAATTTACCGCATTTCGTTATTAGAATATTCTTCGTAGGCTTGCCGGTCTGATCGCCGAACGTGGATATCTTCTCGACCAGCTCCAGACCCTCGACCACGTGACCGAAGATCCCGGTGAAACCGCGCATCTCTTGCAGTATTATACGAAACTGCGAGCCGACCATTCCCAGATTGTCGTGTCGTTTCTGCGTACGGCGCATCCCAACCGCGCCGCGAACCGCCGGGAACTTGGTGTCGTCCGGCATGAAGTAACCGTCCTCGAATATGCTACGTCCGCCTCGGCCGTTGTTCAGCTCGAAGTCACCGGTGATCACGGACTCGCCCTCCCAGCACTGAAAGATCGTGCACCCTTTGTAACCGACCCCGACCTCGCCGGTCGCCAGTACGCTGAAATTCTTGGCCATCTTCGGGGCTGCGTCTGGCCTCACTTCTATCACAATACGGCCGTGCGGCGATCCGTTCACCTCGATGTTGAAATAATAGAGGGGATAGGGGTTCCCCGGTCCGCGAAGCGAGCCGGCTATACCGCTGGACGGTGGTTGCGTGGACGTATGGACGGTGACCAGACCGCCGCCGCCGGAGCCGACTCCGTCCGGTATGAAGGTCGATTGTTGTTGCTGATGCAGCATGGCGTTCGGTGGCGCGGGCGGAACCGATTTAACGGACGGCGAGCCAGGCGGGATTAGTAGTTGCTGCTGCGTCACCGGCGGCGGTGGGCCTTGGTGCACGTGAACGGAACCCGGCGGCACTTGTTGGGGCTGCATCATGCTCGAATGATACTCTATGGAGCCGTTCTGCATGTGTTGCTTGCTGACCACGTGCCTCGAGTACAGCTGCGACATGCAATAATTCGCGAGGAACAGTATCGGGTTTTGCGAGGCCGCCAAATGATTCGGTAAACGGCCCCCGTTGCTAGCCCCTTGCGAGACGATCGGTTCGCCAGTGTGAATACCGGCCAGAGCTTGTTTCAGCAGCGCGAAATCGAACACCACACCTGAGTTCCCGATCAGATCGTCCAGCTGGCACTGTAGCATCATCTCTTGGTACTTCGACTGTAATCTCTGTTTCTCGATGATCAGCTGCGAGTGCAAACTGTACACGTCGCTCGGGCTCTCGATCATCTGCAGGCTGGCCTTCGCTTTGCCGAGCGTTTCACGCGCGTCCGTTATCTCGGGAAAGTGGCTCCAGCCGTTCTGCAGATCCGTCTCGACGTGCGTTTTCAACGTCACGCAAGCTTCCAGCACTTTTATCAGGAATTCACGTTGCTGCATCGCCAGTCTTTGGATTTCCGTCGACAGCTTCCCCATAGCAACTAGCTCCAATTGAACCTGCGCGTGCACAGAACCACAATCCACCATAAAATGCTTGTTCGCAAGATATTAGGGGATAAGGGGAACAAAAATCTAGGCTCTATTCTCTGAAACTCACTACTGACTGCTAGGGGATGGGGGAACAAAAATCTAAGCTCTATCCTCTGAAATTGACTACTAACTGTTGGGGTATAGGGGAACAAAAATCTAGGCTTTATTCTATGAAACTCACTACTAACTGTTAGGGGATGGGAGTAGCAAAAATCTAGGGTCTATCCTGTGAAACTTACGTCGGATATGAGTTGTTCTTTGGCATCGGTTTGCGATTTAATCTGATGGGCCGGATGTTCCTGTGGTGTCGCACATGCCCTGCACAGCGCCGTGCAGCACGTCGCGCACCATAACGCCAACGGCATTCCGTGCGTGTGGCAATTCTCACTCTGCAAAAAAAAAAAAAAACAATCATTATTAATTCGATACACCTTTTCGGACTACATCGACGGGGATCGTTGTTGATCTTGAAAGAAAAACTATCGGCAGGCCTTATAACATAATCCTGTTACTGTCAGTACCCCGATCACGATACGGCTTCACACGGTTGCATGGTATGTTCTTTACCCATTTGCGTACGAGCATGCGATGTGAATAACCCGGGGCGACGAACTCAAAAACCTCCAGGAATTTCGATATAAATTTATTTTCCGGAATTTCTCGTTAATTGTACCTTTCTCTCCTTGTCGTTGGTCTTCCCGGACGTGTTGTTCGTCGTGATCTTCAAATGGGACAGATTGTTCGCCAGGGCAAGGAGAGACGAATGGGTCGGCAACGCGTCGGGCCCTTGGTCCCCGAGGTCCGTTCGCTTCCAACAGTGCGCGCAGAACAGCTCCCGTCCTTTCAACAGATTGTTCTCTATGCACCGCAGGCAGAAGTAATGTTTGCAGCTAAGGTATTTCGGGCATTGTTCCGCGTCGTTGTACTTCTGCTTGCAGTAACTGCAAAGCGTCAGTTCCTCTAAATCCGTCAGTACGCTCGGATCCAGCATCTGAAATGTGGCCAAGAGAAAAAAAAAAAAAATTGTTTATTGAAAAATCTATTTTTACCACCGTTCTACGCGTGTCTGTTTTTCGCAGCCGACGGATTTATGTCGATGTTCCCATTGGCAATGGGAGAATATTTTCACTGAATTCTGCTTAACACACAGCAAATACTGTAAGGGTCGTGGCTCAACGTCCCTACGCGTAATAACAAGACGGTTACACCCGTGTTTTCTTTTCATCTTTCTTTCCTCTGTCGAGTCTCTCACTTTTTCACACGAACACGACTTTGTAGAATCGAGGAATCTCAATTCAAGTATCACGAACATTGTGTTTATACAATTTCGACATACCGAGTTTTGTGTCCCCTAATACCGTGTATTTATGTTTAATTAACGAAACATACGAATTATCTAGTAATCTCGTTCATACGTAACACTTCGCATTGTACAAAACAAAAATACTTAAAAAATAAACAAAAACCCGTTTCTATTGAACGACGCCGAGGGCAGAGGGCCAAACACAAGGCGGGAAAACAATGACCGTAATCCATACAACTCTCCGTTTGTGTCCCGTATGTTACGTTTACGTCGTTTGTAAAGCTACAACGCGATAACAACACCGTGTTCAGGTTATACGTATCGCGAGGCCACTGTTTTCTCCACGCACGGAATTCTCACGTTCGCACAGAGGTTAACCTCTTTTCTTTTTTACCCCGACGAAATATCGGCATCACGGTATAATTATGCAACAATTCAACCGGGCACCGAGAGAAGGGAACGCAAAAAAGTGACATTTCATACGGGACCGCGCATGCGTACGAAATCCCGCCAAAACCTAACGGGTCGTGGGGACAGTCGATGTTGTGTTGTGGTTGGGATTTACCATTTTCTCCGGGGCAAAACCGTTCGAAGCGAGGGACGGCAGACGGGCAACAAAGGTGGACGTGTGAACTGGACACATTTTTATGTCTTTTTTGTTTTTTGCGAAACAGTTTTCGGAAAACACACACCACGGTATATACGCGCAACCGACAAAACGCCCTCGAGTCCGTATGATGTATGGATTCTCTTGCAGCTATCCGCGGGAATATCGTGGTTCGTTCTTGCTCCTACCATCTCGAACGTTACCCGTCGTCGGACACACGCTTGCTTTTTCTTTCTCTCCCCGTCTGTCACAGTCCTTTACTCTTCTTTCATTCTCTCACTCTCTCTCTATCGCTTTTACGTACACGATATATATATATATACACGCACACTGCTTTTTTTCAGATTCACATGCGCGCGCGCACACATGTATATATATATATATATATTACACACACATATATATGTATATTATATATATACATACACGCGCGGCTACTACACAGAGACACAATCGACTGTACGTACAATTTTCCTTATCACCCATACAAGGAACGCGTGCGAGCTGATACATAAAAGAGACGCATACATACATTTTCTCTCTCTCTTTCTGTCCCGTTCTCACGAACTCACTCACTCTCTCTCTCTCTTTTCATCTTGTTTTCCCGTACGGACTGGTGTGTAGTGTAGAGGACCGTAAATGCTTTCCGTACCGTGTATACGTATCGTGATAGTCTCCTTGCCGCGCGATGGAGGCTGATCGTTGGCACTCGTCACTCCCAACGTGTACCGTGAACACGAAACTTGTATTCCGTAACGTATCCCTCGGAATCTACGGATTCGAGTTTTAATTTACATCGGTGAGGAATTTCGAGACGGTGCGTTCTATTGTTGTGTGTATTCCCGTACGCAGGGAATATCGAGCACCCCCGGGGACGTTCGTGTTCTCTCTCTCCCTCTCTCTCTCGTGTCGCCGCTGTCCCCGCCGTGTGTGTGAAAGCTTTTTAACCGAAGCCCTTTTGTACTTTTCACGTTACGTGTTTACGGTTATCGAACGTCGTGAGTTATTATGGATAACATAACGGACGACGCGCCGGTAACGCGGCGTTACTTCAGTCTTAACTCGTGCGAACGTTTTGCCACATCATGATGTTTGGTTCACTAAACTAACCACTAGCATGGCGGCGACGACCGACCGACCGACCGACACACACCAACAGCGCGCGCTAGTCGCTTACGCTGTTGCTCTCTCTCCTCTCCTCTCGTCCCCAGTATAGTTCACCCCTTCCACGCGGAAATCCCGAGCGCCCTGTCTCTTTCTCTTTCTGCCTTTCTCCTCCCTCTTTCGTTCGACACTTTCGGGTCCACTCGTGGCAGAACGACGGGTGCCGGTGCCGTCGTCTGCGGCTTCTATCACTGCGCGCGCATATTCCCCCCCCCCCAATGATTGTGTCGGGAACACGAACATTATGGACCGGCCTTCATAATCCTTCTTGTAAACCTCGTTATATACCTGCTGGAACCAACCAATCAAACGGCCAGAATATGGTGGTCTCCTCCGACGCCAGCACGTGTCAGGGCCGTTTCCGCTCAACTATTTTCAGCTACTAGAGAAGCGCGCGATATTGGAATTGTTTTTTTAAACAGGCCGCACGGAGACTTTATAATTTATGTTATGATACGAAGAGAGTATCGGAAATGAATTTATTAAGGAAGTATAGTTATGTTGGAAATAAAATGATATTATGATTCGATGTGGTTGGTTTCATTTTCTTGTTGTTTTTATTAGGAAAAAGACTCGTATGGAAATGAAGTGTCGAGGCTAGCAAGACCTTTGCCCGTAGAATATTTATTGGTAGACATACCTGCGTCCACGCCACTCACTCCACAATTTACTTTTTATGTTAGCGAAAATATCACTCCATTCCCAATTGAAAATAGGTATGTATTTTGTATAGATGGAGTCTTTTGATTACCTTCCTTTGTACAGATTAAGTTAATGCAAAGTTTAATCTCAGGCACATTGATGGACAAGTTCAAGATTTTCATTCCCTTTGTTCTTATATGCAACAATTTACTCCAGAACAATTTCTGGAGGCAACTTCAGATTTTCACTTGTTACTTTTCATTGCGACAATGGACATATTTCCAATAAAGGTATAACCACTCTTCAAAAATTCATTTCACTAAATGATAAGCTTGTTATTGTACTAAAATATACATCTGATTTTTTAGGATCATATGTTACCACTGTTAGAAGCAGTTCGTGATAAAGACAAGGAAAAAGCAATAAAATGGGCTCGTTCTGAGCATTGGGCAAAAGTAGAAGAACTTTTCTCGGCAATGTCACCTACAGAACACTCACCTGAACCATCATCGTTCAATAGTACCGCAAGAGTGCCATCTTCTTCAGTGGCTGCAGGAGGTACTGGGGTTGGCATTGGTACTGGTACACAGCCAGCCGCAAATCCAATTCCAGACGAGGAGCTTTGGACTTGTTCTTATTGCACTTATCTCAATGCAGTAGAAACTATAATGTGCGAAATGTGTGGTTTGCCAAGGTATACAATATAACAAACTGTCAATACTATATTGCTTCTGTATGCATTTAAGGGTGTTATCCATAAGTTGCTACTTTAATTCCGTAGGATGTGATGCATACTCTGTCCTCGCGGATGTAACAATTGTTTTCTACGTATCTTTGGCCTTATTTATGAGTGAATAAAAAAAAAAAGAAAAAAAATATTTTTCACAGAAGTATGTTCTCCAATTTTCCTCGATATTACAATCCTTTAGTAGACATTCGTTTGTGATTCTTGTAAAGATGCCAACAATAACAACTGGTTTTCTTCAAATACATCATAAATATACTGTAAGTTATTATGTTTAGACACATATTAACATCAATTCTTTAAAATAAGGAATTTATTATAAAATACTTGTAGAAAACGAAGGATCTTAGTTTGTAAGCTATCATAATTCTTATATCTTGAGAAAATGAAATAAAAACGTATAAATAAATAAATAAACTATGTTTAATCTGGAAAATTATAATGTCACCATAGTATTATGTAATTAAAAAAAATAATTGGCAGAAGTTTAAATCATAATGTATAATGTTTATTTTAAGAAGTTGTATCAAATTTCCAACAAAATTTTAGTGCCATTACTGACAAATTCAATTGGATATACAATGTTTTGAACTTTTCTACAGAAACATCATAGTTTCATTAATAATTTAAATCTTATTTTAACAATATAAATTCTTTACAACTGATTCTAGATACAATAGAATCAGTTAAACTAGAAAGAATCAGTTCATCTTTATCAATTTTATATGTCTTCTTAATTAAATCGACATCTGAAAATTCATATAGTCTTGAAAGCTGTGTTTGTTCTCCTTTAACAATATCCGTAAGTGCTTTTGATAATGATTTTTCATCATCCATTTTGTGTATCTGTGCTATCAATATATTTTTATCATGATCATTAATACCAAATTCCGCTAATGAACGTGATATGTTCTTTGATATTGATAAATTAAATAAAAGTTCTGTGTATACACTCTTTGTAGTAAGTTGACACATCTTTTCATTGACCACAGCTTTATTGGCGGCAACTAATACTTGGAAAGGATCTACTATTAGTGCTGCCTTTATAGCAGAACAACAAAGTTCACCATTAATAACTTTCGCTCGTACTTCTTCAGGATTTTGCACATTCGTAAATAAATATAATGTACAAAACATTTCTGTTGCTGCATCTAGTGGCACAGTATAGGCATCCATTTTTTATCGGTTGATTTACAAAAATAAATTGTTACTCTTGATCCCAAATATTGTTTACATACAATGTAGCAAATTCCACAGTTACATTCATACTAAAATATCTACATGTATATTTTTATGTAACATATCAACAACATAACCGCCTGCAGTTCCAATGTAAACTCTGGTAAACTGTAATTGCAGACACACTGTACAATTCTAGAGACAAAACAATGTGGCGCCCCCTTTAAAGCTCTACCACCAGGGGGCTATAAGTAGATTCAAATACACACTATTCATTGACTCTTATTTAATTTTCTTATCTGAGAATTTATAACTTTTTTAAAATGTAATTCAGTGTATGATTTTTATAATTCAAATTTAAAATTGTGCAATCTATATTTTTAGACGACAAGTGAAATGTAACTCTAATTAGTTCAACGTTGAAACGTATTTTACAATTCAAAATTGCACTAGTCTTCGTGTCATAATTTAATTATTTTACTTAAATACGCTTTATTTTACTTAAAACCATTACCCTCATTTTGAAAATAACGTAATTAATTAACTATACAATATAAAATTAACTGTACAATTTTAAAAACGGGACCATGCAATGAAATAATAACGACTGAACATCAAATAGATCTATATACATACATATGCATATCAACCTTAAATTCTGCTGTGACTCAAAATGTAATCGTTAATATTGACAATCAAATTTTAGAAATCGTAAACATAATTTAGAAATATCAACCTAAAAATTTTAGTGTTATCTCAAAATTATGTCCGACGATGGTTCGTGTCGGTCTGTGTTGGGTCAGCTTTTCGACTACGGTAAACATCGTTCCTATTTTCGTAACACAGGAGAACCGAAGTATTTTCCGAAATTTTTTGGATAATTTATTATTTATTTAGTAAGTGGAAGTAATGCCTGGAACGTCAGTCAAAATAAACAGTCAGCATGTCCTTCGAAACGTAAAAAGTTGGAAGAAGAAGATAGAGCAAGGCAAAGATTAGCAGAAGGAGAAGGATCAGAATCACAATCTTCGGAGGACAAATCGAAGGATTCTCACGATGACAAATTACCATACACACCTCCTAGTAAAATGTGTCCAACTGTGAAATCTTGTTGCTACATTAAAATGCAGGTAAATAGCAATGTCTTGTCTCTTTGTATTATCAAGATATTATTCACTAAATAATTTCGTGATAATAATATTCATTTTGACAAAAAATATTTTTATATATTGCAAATATCTACCTCGAAGATTGTTCTTATACGAACAATCAATGTTGCAGATATAGTAAGCGAGGGAACTTGGATAATCTGAAAATTTGTATTTTCTTTTAACTTTACAAGTTTTTAGACGATCTCTATAAACATTGGAATTTTTGAATTACCAATGTTCTCTTAGGAAAGGTAAATATATCCTCATTTACTTACCACCACGCTCAGTGCTTCTCAACAAAAGTACGAATTACTACACAATAGTTGAGAGACACTGCAGGAAACCAGGAGGTACGAAATAATGGCGGGAGGAGGGGAATATTTATCCAGTAGGTGTTTACATACAGTTTTCTATTTATAATCTATTCAAAAGCTGGCATAATTTTAAAAATACCAGATCACACCCAATATATTATATACAAACTATTTTTCATTAATACTATTTTTTCATAAATTCAACAGTATTACCGAGAAAGTCAAAAGTTTGTACTGTTTCACTAATATTTTTCTTAGTTCTCCAGTTCTCACCAGATTACTAAAACAAACAGTGGATTATTAATTCGTAGATATCTAATGATTCATACCCAGATAGCACATAGCGCCCAGACGCCTTGAAGACGATTTAAAGGCGCCATAGACCTAAAATAGCCGTAAAATAGGCGTCTTCAAGGCGTCAAGTGTTATCTGGGTAGTCGAAGATTAACCAACTGATTCTCGTAAACCCAAGAATATTCCAAACGGGAATTATTTACAGGATCCTTGTGCACCTTGTTGCTGCGATACGAAGCCGAAGCTGCCGCCTTGTCCGCCCAAATATGGTCCTCAAGAACCACGTCGGCCGATATGCGGTTGTGATCTTTGCCAGAAAAATCCTGACAACGACAGATGTTGCGACAGGAATAGAGGTTTTCGCGGTATAAGCCTCGATCCAAGATACTTCGAGAAAGCATGAATATGAAAATACTTTTAAAGAAATATAAAATTACTAAATAAATTATTAAATAAATTGTACATGTTATTTTATTATTAATTGCACCAGTAAAATTAATGGTAAAATACTTTTCTTGGAATCGAACGATTACTTAGGATCGGGATGACGGCACTTTACCGTAGCCAGAACAAACTTAGACGATGCGTTAAACCGTTAGGAATCGAACAAATAATCTTATCGACGCGTAGTTCCCTCAACGTAGGTGTAGCTTGGTCAGCAATCAGTTCTTGAACAACCGCGCCCGAGGTGTACGATTCAAGTTTGGACGATCAACGATTTCGTTTGGACAGGTACTTATAATTTTGCACATATTTTCCTCGTATCACCTGCATGTTTACTCGTATTCCATATACATATTTAAAATATGCTTTTCTAATTTATACAAACTCTGGATCATGTAAATTGTTAAATAATACTGTTACGAACAATATTCCAATTAGCCAAAATGTGAAGTATTCATTTAAATATATCATCAAGTTAACCCTTTTGACAAACTGTATATCCGATAAGATGGACCATAGTTGACATAACCGAGGTCAGAACTATTAATCATTTTTCATTCTATTAGTCATTTTTTCTTTACATGTACATTTCCAGAAATTACCCAATATATAGTACTCTAAATGCAACTGATTTTTTAACTAATACATTTACGTAAAGGTGAAATTCTGATTTTTAATGTAAACTGTACAATTACCAAAGGATGAAACGATATAACCCATTAAACACAATTTCAGTTGTTGCGATATGTAACTGTAAAGTCAAACACAAATATACTTTCGAATTGCATTTTCTGTTACATTTGTATACAATGATAAAACGTAAACGACACGATGATTGAAACTTGTGTATCTTATGATTCATTTCTGTCGACTAGGTTCTGTTTATCCATCGCCTGTGGATTTTTTCGATTCGAGCCCAACTTCACACGACGTAGCTTCAAGCGAGTGCGGCTTAAAGTGATCGATTCGTCGAACGTTTCGATTCATCGAATTCTGGGCAGATCCCTACGTGTAGAAGTGAGTGCTCGTGACAGGTGTGTATAAGTGGAAAGGCAAATACACCTTGAAAAGGGTGGCTAAACGTATTCTCGCGATATAACGTGGTGCGCGGGAAATTCGTTATCAGCACATCATTTCTCATTCGGTAAGTACATAGCTTATTCAAAATTACACCTATTTACATTATTGTCGAGGACTTCAGTCAACATTTTCGGCAATGTATGACTCATGTTTTGTATAAGTATGCATATCGTGTCGCGAGCAAATCATATAGGCCGGTATTCATAGTCACTATACTTATTCTTAAGCAAATGTTTAAGTTCCAGTTACGAATGATCTATACGTATGGACTACACATTCATAACTGGGGACAAAAGCATTTACTTAAGAATAAGCAGCGACTATGAATACCGCCCATAGATGTAATATTATTTCTCCCATTAAAAATCAATGGATTTTTTTTACTCTTACATTAGTATGATATGGTCATTTTTGTTGTCTATTTTCATTGATATATTGCTTGGGGCGGTTTTATCGCCGATTGATATTGCGGCGAACGTAACAGCTTATTACGAAACGATTATCTGTGCACAATGAAGTATGTGAATTGATACGGATTATATTTTTAAAATTTGAAGATTGTCTTGAAATGCCTATTCATTGATAATATGTAAATGTGGGTTTTTCGTGTCGGAGCTAATTCAAGAGGTATGGATTCTTTAGCTCCTCCTCCTTGGCCACCCCGCTTAAAAAAAGTTGTTGGCTTGGTATTTTAATTTGGAATATTTGAAGATATGTAAATTTTTCCAGATTTTTTTAAAAACTGTAAGCCACTGAAAAACCGATCGGATATGAAAGACTCATGTTGACATGATAATATGATTTTAGCATCGATGAAAGTTTCGAGTGTAAAATAATGTATCCAAAATATATACAGTATCAAACCTTCTATAATTATAAATATAGGAATATAGAAATTCTGTCGGTCACAAACGAATTTTCAAGACCATCTAATCATCAATTACTAAAATACAGCAAATAATACGATGTATTATTAAACAAATAATATATGTTATTTTCAACATTATTAAAAAAAAGCAATGGCTGTTAATAATGTATTCATAATATGTATCAATAATGACTACATATACTTTCATATAACATAATGTTATAAATATTGTACAAGAATATATATTTATTAATTAATAACACATTAAGAATAGATTCGCAAAAACTATTACATTTTTATACAAAAATACAATCAGTAAAATACATAATATATGTAGACAATAATAGTACAATTTTATAAACAATAAAATCAGTAATTCCTTTTTTCATTACTTTTTTTGTTAACAAAACTATTTTTGCTTATCCAAGTACGTATACGTGCCCGTGTAGTTGCCTGTACAAGCACATTTTGCTCGACAAATAAATATAATCACGAACAAAATAAATATAACAACTATCACAAATACCCTACTTTTGGCATACATTTAAAATAATATCGCAATTCCATGAAACCACATTATATACACATTCTAAGAAAAAACGTTATTATGATAAAAATATATATAACGTGTCAATATTTCCTTAATGATATAGCATTATTATATAATACATCAACGTCATTTATCTGTATTTCTGAGTAATCGACATCTCCACTTCGAACACCAGGGAAGCTAACATACATGTGCATAATGAAAAATGATTTACACACATAATTGTGTGTTCTGAAGTAACTTATACAGGGTGTCTCATTTAAGTGTGATCCCAAGAATATCGTTTTTAATTCTGAAATCGCAAAAAATATTTTATACGTAATTTGAATGGTATTATGTGGTCAATATCCTGCAGGTGTTGGTTTTGTCTCGAATTTTTAACATCATCTATGTTTCGCTTTTGGGATTCAAGGTCATTTGAAGATCATATCGTAGTACATATCTGAATGTATTTTTTATGACCTACCCTATGCAATAGAAAAAAATCATGTAATAGTTGAGGTCACGACCAATCCAATGATCTATAACAGTATGACCTTCATATGACCCAGATAGCACATAACGCCTTGAAGACGCCGATTTTACGGCTATTTCAGGTCTAAGGCGTCTTTAATTCGTCTTCAAGGCGTCATTGGGCGTCATGTGCTATCTGGGGAAGATCACATATATCATCTTGAGTACGAAAAATCCATTATCATCTACAATTATTATTTCAATATTAAATACAAAAAATCATTTATCGTGTACAAAACTGTCTCAAAGTTGATAGACATCACATAATGAGCATTTGTTAAAATAAATTTTCTGCAACTAATCCTTCAGTCGTAGTTATTTCATTATTTAAATCTACTCCTATACTTTTATAGATTTAGAATAAAAACATCTATGACCTGGAAATTTCGAAAAATATGACCTTAAGAATTTTTGTTATTGATCACAGTATTTGACCCTTCCAATTAAATAATATTTTCCCCTCACATTTTTCTCTATCATCAAAATCAAGTGAGATATTTAACACTAGAACTACCAAGCAAGTTCTCAGATCTTTTGCACCTTTTATTACGATACGAAAGTGAAGAAATTTGTTAAATTCTAAACTTCTAAATTTTCAAATTTTTTTCACGTTTATCCACCGATCGAAGCAAAATATGCGTTTATCGTTGGTAGTTCTAGTGTTAATATGCTCACGTTAGGTGGGTCACCCTGTATATGCATCTATAAATTATGGACGTTCTATTTAGGAAAAGAAGACCGTTCAGATTATGCCGATAATACCGACGATCGCTATCGGTCATTTTGTTTACGTTGCATTTCGGGTCCAGCGGATTACGCGCGTAATTTTCATTTTGTATTCGAATATGCTACAGTTTTTACTATTAGTTATAGATTACGTCTAATGTATCGAGTTTTATTATTTTATAAAATATTTATTAGTTTATTTTATTTTAGTCAAGTAATAAATATATTTTTGTAGATCGTTCCGATTTGAAATTCGCGTGTACATCATGGCCATCCGTGCCGGGGCTAGTCGTCGCGTGCCCGGCTCCTGATTGGTCGTTCGTACGTCACCGCACGATCTTTGGTTAGGCCCGTGTTTCTTTCCACACGGACTTTCCTGTCCGTTCCTTGTCGCGTCTTTATATCTGTCCGGTCGGTGGTTCTTGATTCCAGTCTACGTTCAACTTTCGAAGAGGATTAAACTGGTCGAACGGGCTGTGGGGACGCGAGCAATCATGCGTACGTGTGAGTAAACTTGCGTGACCGCCCGCCGTACGTGCCCGCAAGGGCAGGTTATCATCGGTGATATCCTTGCCATAAATCGAAAAGTTCCTTTCCTCCTAACCTGTGTTGCAAGTTCAATGGCATTGGGGATCATCGATAGAATTATCGTCGAAACTACGACCGAATATCAGTCGTAACGAGCCGTATTAACGATAGAAATTCAATTACGAATGTTTGAGTGAAATTTTTGGTTAGTTTTAAATTGACCCGAGCACTGTCGCTATGTGAGAACTGTCATTATTGTTATGGTTAAAAAATCGTTTATTTATATTGTAATTTCGGACCCCTTTACACGTTGAAAATCTTTTAGTATTTACATCTTTGGTTTTGTGCGAATTGTATGTTCTTTTCGAACAGTTTGTCGCGGTCATAAATATTGCCTTTAAGAACCAATGGATAGGAACTGTGTTTAAAGTTCAACGGACTACTGACAGAATAACAAATTGTTACACATAGTTTTGCAATACGAGTTTTTTGGTTTCACTGGTTTATTCGACAAGATAAAATTTGTATGTTCATAGTCTTTTAGAAGTTTTCGTTGTTTTGTGCTATTTCTCCCGTCTTATCTATAGAAACATATATGGACGTATTAAATCATCAGAATGTCAATAGGTCTAATGGAGTATTGATTTATTGAAGTGGAGCCGTAGAGATAGTGTTAATGGCCATTAACAATTTTTAATTTTTTTTTTCTTTAAATTTCATTACTATATGATTATTGGAAACCGAGGCTAAAAATATCAATACGCGATAGGGTGTTTCCAAGAAATATTGTAATAAGCGTCAAATATACCGATTAATGGGTCTATCTATTATATTAAAAGTACAATCTATATGTATATTGACGAATGTAATTGACAAAATGTTATACTGAATCTCTGAAGCAAATCTATACAACATATTTTCGAAAATTTTTTTCGTATTTGTCATCAATATTCTTCTTTATATTAAATATTACATCGTAATATTTTTAATGGATCGAAGAATCTAGATTAAGAAAATTTGTTGAAGTTGGGTTTTGCAGGAATTGCAATTTTGGATAAATGATTTAGTGCCAAAAGTTGATCATTATTTTAAAACAAAATCGTATTTGCCATAATTTTAATAAACGGAAGAAATATTTAGTGTGCAAAAATATATATTATTGCAGTTTTTGGAGACAGCGTTAAAAAAAGTATAAAAAATACAGCAAATCTGTATATGTAAGAATATTATTATTATTCCCCGTACGGTCGTCATGCGACGCAAAAGAAGTTAAAAGGATGTAGCACGTCCTAACGTCATTGTCATAGCTTCCTCGCAGTGAATCGATCCTTTATACTTGCGGAACGATGTTGGCCATTATTCGTATAATTTGAGATAAATCTTCATCGAAGCTGATTACCCAACGATAACAACTTCGATGAAATAATTTATCACATTTGGAATTATTTCTGACTCATAATACATTTTTTTCGACTTGTTTCACTATGTATAATTTAATACTATGAATTTTAATACAAATTCGTCAAATGTAATATTCACAATATTAATGTGTTTAAAGTATTTTGTTGGTAAAATTTTTGCAAAATATAAATCAGTGTTGTTTTATAAATAATATTATTGAATTGGTTTTAGTCAAATAAAAATCTATTAATTTCTACTATTTTCTAATCTAATACTTTCATTAATACTAAAAACTCATATATCATTGCAAAATTGAGAAACAAATTTCATTTGTAATAATTATAAAGTAACGGTTCTTTCATGCGACAAAATTACTAACTGAAAAATCAATAGTGTATTAACAATTTATAGTTAATTTAATGGATAAAATGTTATGAATATTTATTAAAAAAGTAGTGTGCACATTTTTATTCGAAAAACATTTAAATCGTTCGTACGTTATGGTAACTGCATAATCACGACAGTTTCGACAATTATGAGTAATCTTTAGTCGAGAAACTTCCTCCGCGTTGATTATCCTGTTTGTCATAGTGGAAATCCATCGTTTATATGTTTTTTCCGCGCTATCTTAATAAGATTAGTTAACTCATCTGGCGAATATTTACCATTTATGTTGTAACCGCGCTGAAAACAACGTGGGACACTCTGTCCCTGGCGCTTGTTGAATGGGTTTTCCCGATGAGGCTTGGGGAGAGATACGCGCGAATCCTAGCCGTGAACTTGTTTCTTCTGTGTGCGTCACACGCATTCCCTGACAGGCTCTCTCGGTTCGCCGCCAGTTTGCGGAGGTCGTAACGAAGATACTATGTATATAATATGTATCTACTTACATCTTTTCATATGAATATTTAATATTCTTTTTGTGTAGAAATCAAACAATATTTGTCACTTTAAAAAAAAAAATAAGAATACTTACTCAACGTTATAAACAAGATAAAAAAATTTTTAAGTCCTATTCGATAAATGTATTATTCTCGAATAGCGCTTTCGATAAATATTTTCTTTAATAACTATAGGTTATGAATAATTATGGAAATGAAGATAAACAAAGTTTAGATCTTATTTCATAAATATGTTATTCTCGAATGGCGCGTTTGATAAATATTTTGAATAATTATAATAAATATGATTATACCTATTTTTTGGAATTTCTTAGAGACAGTTCAACAAAAAAAAAGTATTTCAGAGTTAATTTGCATACTTCGAAGCTAGGGCTAAACGGTGGTTATATGTATAGGGGAAAAATACCCAGAATGTTGACCTTGACAACACATTTCAGGGTCATTGAAATCGGTGAAGTCGCCCCTATTTAAAATTATTACCTAATTGACAATGAATTATTCATAAGTTGTGTTTTAAAGAAATTGTAACGTCCTCTAAACGTCTTCTTCCAGACGCCTTTAAGACGTCCGGATAAGGTCGCGAGACGCCTTGAAAACGGCTTAAAGGCGTCTTAGACCTAAAATAGCTGTAAAATAGGCATTTTCAAGGCGTCATGTTCTATCTAGGAATAAATCCATACATCGTCGTTTGAGCATTAAATAGTAGATCCTATATTTCTGACCTCATGGTTTTGTATATAAATTCTTTTAAAACCAGTTCAACGACATATAATTGATGAATTTCAATATTTGTACAGAAAGTGTACGCATAAAGTATGTCGATGATAAGATGCTTGCCTTCTTATTTGATATTCTCAAACAAGATTAAAGGAGCGTTCCTTGTATAAATACGGAAGGTCTTCCCTTGATATCAGCTACAACACCGTGAAGATAGAAGTAACACATATGCAGCCGTTTAAAAAAGAATGCTGACGATCATGGTATCATTTTGAAAATGACGTCAAAGGAGAACCTGTTTGTACCATCATCACATTTAACCTCCTGAGCAGTAGAATTTCTTTCTTTCACATTTGGTCGCCGAACAGAGATATCCTAGTTGATATGAATTTGATTGAACGTCTGTAGTTTATTGATTATAGTATCCGTTATATGGTATACATTACAAAAGAAAATTCTTCGAGTGAAGGTTATTTATCTTTTAATTAATTGTTTGGGAATGCAAAAATTTATATGCTTTTCTGTTAAGAATTCATTTTTTTCCAATAGATAATGTTATCAGAAATTAATTTATTATTATGTTCTTATATTTACTATTTTCTTTTATATTATATGTATGTCTAGTAGTTTTAATGGGAGAGACCTTCGTAATTCTGTGAATAATTTCTCAGACAAATTAACTTGGTATTATCTAAGATAGAGATGTTTATATACATATTTTGTTAATTAATCTACCTAAGATGAAATATAGGATATGCAATAGTTTATCTTATATACACTGATTGACCCAGTTCATACTTTTTATCAAAAAATTCATTCTCACGTACGAACTTGTTTCTGTAATATTATTACAAAAATGATTTAAATAAAATAAGTATCTTCGAATTGAATTATTTATTTAAAAGACGTTATTAGTCGCAAAATATGTACTTCGTAAAGTATGTAGTGAAATTACGAAAAAGTCGTTAAAAATGAATTTGTAGAAAATAAAAAATTCTGTTGTTATTTATAGTTGCCTTTGTGTGTTGAAAATAATCTTCCGTCTCGATTTTCCGTAATCACTTCACGTAATCGACCTTGGGGTGTCTTGACCTTCCGCGAACAACGAACCTCGAGCCTTGAGTTTTGAAACTATAGGGGCATACAAATTGAATTGTGTGCGTGCATCTTGTGTAAACATCGATATATCGTGTATTTCTACGTGTACGTCATTCATATTCATAAGTTTAGTAGGATTGCTTTAGAGAATATTGTATGAATAGACAAGATATAACCGTCGAAATTTTTGAATTCAGCGCCTACTTTCCATACGGCTTAACCCTTCTGTGAGCAACCAAAATATTCACGGTTATTCAGCAATCGGAATACTCCTATTCTAACAGATTAGATAAACATAGATACTTTTACTTTTATATTTTACTAAAACAGTTAATTTTCTCATCCTATACCCAGATAAAACACGACGCCTTGAAGACGGCTTAAAGACGCCTTGGACCTAAAATAGTCGTAAAATAGGCGTCTTTAAGGCATCATGTGCTATCTGGGTAATATACCAAGTGCTGTTTTAAACAAGAACATAAAAAAATGTGAAAGTAAATTTAGAAATGGGTACCTGGGCACCCGGTTGCCTACACAAAGGTTAAAATAATAAATGAAACGGCGAAATACTTGACTGTAGTTTTGTACTTTTCAAAGTATTTCGTAAAGTGACGTACAGACTGGGATACAGTCGCGCCGAAAACACTGTACAGTAATGTGTAAATACTCTTTGTCAAATTCATATGTGTGCATAGTTTTTTGTAAGATAATTTAGATTTATTAATGAACTGTTTCAGTAAAAGGAGGTGTTTTAATAGTGTGCCTTATTTCAATAACAATGGCATCTCCAGCAGCTATTAATAAAGAAGCACTCGATGCTGTTTCACAGGGTACAAATCAGTTTTCTACTTCACTGTTCCAGGTAATACATTGAAATGGTTACATAGTTAAAAAATTTCAAACAATTGTGTACCTTCGTTAACAATTGGTGAAACTGAAGAAAATTTATACAAGGAAATCTGTTTTTAGGCTGTAGTGGAAGAGAAGCCTGGCAATCTTATAATGTCTCCTCTTAGTGCAGCTATTGTTCTTGCTATGGCTGGTTATGGTTCTTGCGGAGAGACAGAAAACCAGTTTAAAAAAGTTCTTCATATACCAGCTTTGGAAACCCTTGGTCTAACCGGCTATCAATCACTTATTGACACTCTGAATGTAATTATAAGAAAAGTTTATCTCAATTTATGTAAATGCAAACAATTTATATCATTTTATATTATTTTTATACGTTTTATTCTAGAATGTCAAGGAGAACAAACTTCTTCTTGCAAATAAAGTCTTTGCATCCAACACTGTTAATCTAAAACCAAGCTACAAGGATTTAACAGAAAAGTACTTTAGATCTGTTACTCAATTAGTCGACTTTGCCAAATCCACAGAAGCTGCAAACATTATTAATACATGGGTTAGCGAAAATACAAATGATCGTATCAAAGAAATCATACAGTCAGGTCAGTAACAATGTTCTATCAGATATAAAACTAAGAGAATTTTACAGTGCGATGAATTCAGAGACAAGATATTAGGGTTACTTTAACTTAGAGCCAATAATTCATCAGATGTTCTATTAATTCATACTCAATTCACATGTCAAAACTGAGAAAGTTTACAGTGATAAGTCAACCTTATTCAGTATGTATGAATTTACACGTTATATTTTTCTTTAATAGAAGTTTTGAGTCAAGACACAGCGTTAGTGCTGGTTAATGCAGTATATTTCAAAGGTATGTGGAAAGATAAATTCCATCCAGAGTTCACCAAGGAGATGCCTTTTCATATTAATGCAACAACAGTAAAGAATGTTCCTACTATGTATAAGCAAAGTTATTTCAAATATGCCGAACATCCACACTTGAATGCAAAAAGTATTGAAATACCATACCAGGTAATTTTTTGAGTCCACTGAATGTCTAGTAGGAAGTGAGGGATATAGAAAAGAAAAACTGTAAATCGATTTTATAGGGAAAGGAATTGAGTATGGTAATCATACTTCCAAACGAAATTGACGGTTTGGCCGCGGTGGAGCAGAAGCTGCAGAGTACAAACATGAACGATATCATTAGTCAAGGAGTCAGCTGTGAAGTCCAACTATTTCTGCCGAAGTTCAAGATTGAAAGTAAAATGGATCTTAACGGTCCTTTACAGAAAGTAAGTAGGCACATTGTTATATTTATATAGAAACTAATGCTATTTCGTATGCTCATGATTTTTGTTATTTGTAGATGGGTTTATCCGAGATGTTCAGTAGACATGCTAATTTCTCTGGAATCGCCAACGCCCAATTAGTTGTTAGCAAAGTTGTGCAAAAAGCATTTATCGAAGTGAACGAGGAAGGCAGTGAAGCTGCAGCTGCCACCGGTAAGTCAAAGAAATGTCTTCTTTCATACAATTAGTCGAAGTTAAGCAACAGATTGTTTTACAGTGTAATTATCTAAAATATGTAACATACTATAAACCGAATTTATAAATTATATTCATTGTTGATCGATTCAAAATGCTTTCTGAAGTAGAAGTTAATTTTTATTATTGATATTTACTGTTCATTTTTAAATCTTAGTAGTTGGTGTTGCACACTCGATAACATTTGAAATAATATTTTGCTTAATTTCATTCATCGCTTTATGTATAATTCTATGTTGCTTTCTGAATGTTCGGAGAAACTTAACAAGTCACTTAATATCCCCTTGAAGTTGATTTATGCGTAATTTTTATAATTGAAATTTTCTCTGAACATTCATACACTTGTATATGTCTGTTTGTCTCATGCAAATTCAAGTCCATTACATGGGAAGAGAAATTGTAAAGTGTCTGTATGCATACATAACTCATAATATGCAAATGCTTTGTCATATTTGATTTGCTCATTGTGTAATATGTCATAACCGTTTTTCCATTTCATGTCTTTGTTTGATAACTGTCATGTCTTGTAGCATACTAATCAGTCACTTAAATAACTAGTAATATATACATGTTATAAACCAATGAGATTTATATATAATAGACCAATCGAAATGTGTATTTTTAATCTAATTTAGGTTCACCTTACAGTAGTATGTAAAGGAAAAGATCTATGAACAGAATAATGCAATTATTATTATTAGATACTCGTAGTTAGTGTAATAATTTTACATATTCCAGACCTTTAGAACCAACAGAGTTTATAAAGGAGAAAATGGGAGAAGAGCGATTGTACTTGTTAGTGTACTGATTATGATACTTCTGTTTTCAGAGGTACACTCCGGTTCGTAAGTATTAGGACACCAGTTCTGATGGCAAAAAATGCATTTTGCATTATTTTCATTATCTTCTGTCAGCATAACAATTATCTTTTAGCCATTAACATACCCTAAGAGATATATTCTGACTACCTTGAATAATTTTGTAATGACTTAACGAATTTATTTCGCATTTGAGAAACGTCTTAATACTTATGGACGGGCGGAGTGTATACATATACATACAGTATTCATTTCTTCGCTCTTTTTCTGTGATCACACACGATACGTTGGAATAAAACGTAACGTGTACGTAATAGGTCTAATTGTTTTGTGAGAAAATTTTTCTCAGGCCAGTAATTCATTGTTAATTGCTTGTGGCAGGTCTCGGTGTAAGGCCTCTTTCGAGCTTTTGGTCACCGCCGAAGCCTATTGAGTTCCGCATCAATCGACCATTCCTGTCGATCGTTAAATACCATAATATAACCTTATTTATTAGCAAAATGTAAACCATGTCGTTCTTTTTCTTTCTATACCTTTCGTGAAAAGGTTTTGTGAATCTCGGTCTTGTACTTCTATATAAATAGATAGCGAGTTAGGGGTATTAATGTGCCTTGTGTGCAATATCTTGCCAATTTATACCAATTGTAATATAAGTTACTTGACTGGTTTGACTAATTCGAATAAAAATGCAGAATTAATTTATTTTTTAGCATAAGTATATAAGTGTCAGTAATTAAGAATTTATGGACACAATAATAGAAGCAAACACTCTCACATAACATTCCATTTTCATGTAATTCAATTCATTAGAACTGAATACTTTAATTCACTCTTATAGTACAGAATTACGTTCATATTTTATTATAAAATTAAATTGGAGAGGGTTCGAATGAGATATGCATCATATAAATATAGAGCAAGATAAAATTCATCCGATGTCATATATTACATTCATTATTTTAATAAGATTTTAATAAGTCACAACATTTATTGAAAGGAAAGTTACTTTTTGTATTAATTTTAAAACAATATACATATAACTTTACTTACTGTATACAAAGTTTAATATTTTTCATCCTTGAAGTAAGATAAACTGTGTGCAATAAAAAATGGACCAACAGTAATTTTATCTATTAGTTAATAGTAACAACGTAAAATTCATGTTTCATTGCAAAACTATAATCTGTAAATATTACTATGCATCTATTTCAAATTTCAAATTTTTAATTTTTCCAAACTGCGCATCTTTCTTATTAATATGTATCATCTCGTGCCTTATGCTGATGTCGCTCTTTTTGCTTTTACTAATCATTATGATATGCTTGTTGTTCAGTTGTTCGAAACTTTTTTCTATCATACAAATTCACATCTTAGCTAAAGTACTATAATTGGGTAAAACTCTATTGATCGCTTAGGGTCACTGTGAAACTCTACTATTTTCTTCTGTCATTTTGTTTTATGTGATAATTGATTTAAAATATAATATTATAAATGATGAATGTGCTATGTATATCCCTGAAACACAAAATCAAGCAACAAATCATTTGTATATTTCACACAAATAGAAGTTCTTAAGTGACCTGGGATGATCAGTTGATTTTGATTCAATTGTATATCATAGTATTGCATATAAAGTATAGTTATTTATATCTTAATGTAACTAAAATATTGTAAGATATATTTTTCTGTATTCAATTAAACAGGTTGGTTTTATACCACAATAGAGTTCTTCCATTCTACTCCTAAAATTATTATTGCGATACAAATTCTAATTTATTCATTAAAGTATTACTGCAAATTCACTTTCTATAGAAGAATTCACTTCATACTGAATATATATGATGATTAAATTGTAATAATGGTATCATTATTGGTTACCATTTGTTATTAGTCCAGTAGCAATAATCTTCTCTTTGATTCTGTTAAATTGTTCTGTCGTCTCTCTAATTGTTCTGAACCCCATCGATATTATAACGTCCGTCCTATCTATACAGTGTTCCATAAGTCATGATAATAGTAGATAAAAACACCTTATTAATTTTTTAATATAAGTGGTGTTTCATGATACAATATTAGTAAACAGATAATGTAGACCACGTTAAAAGGATAATTTGGTGAATATTTCTAGAAAAATAAATTTAATTCATCGATGTTCATATTTAATATTTATTTTTAGGTTCTCATCATGTTTTATAAGAATAATTAAATTCTTGCTAATTACAACGATAAAATGAACTGGTTAATACACTAAGATTTATACCTTCTTGGAATACATTTGTGTATTATTAAATAAATTTAATCACTGAGAGTTCACATTTGCCACATATCATTTACTATCAGCATCATAACTCAACTATTGAACGTATATTTTTTATTTGTATATACGTAAGCACTAAACATATCGTGTTTTTTCTTTTTTCGGATATATAGAGTGTAAAGAAAAATTTGGAACATCTTCTTCTGGATTATTAAAAATTCAGATTCAAAATTAATTGTCTACTTTAAACAGGAAATTCCATTTATTTTTCTGTATCCTTATAGTAAAAAGGCTCGCGAGCACATCATTGTTCTCTACTAATAGTCCATAAAATTATTTTTCAACACTTTGTTTCCAGAAACTATAAACCTTTTCTTATATTTTACAACGTTTTTATTAATTTTTCAACAAGTTTTGCTAATTTTTACAGCCACAAAATAATTTTTCAATTATAAAATATGATTGGTTTAGCGTAGAATGACCGTTATGCAAATTAATTTCTTAAATTTTTCAATTAACCTTTTTCTTAATTAAATTAATTTTTGTAAATCCTCGTACGTTCTGTTTAATGTACAGCGTATCCCATAATTGGTAGTAGAATTGCGCGAGAGAATACTACAAAAATAAATCGGAAAAAATTTGTTCATACGAAGCTCCGAAAAAGAGTTTTCAAAAAAGAAGTCAAATTCGAAAATTGATCGAGTGCACGTGCTTCTGGATACGAATCACCAATATGTCCTCTGTTACTATATCTACCTGCATTATATTAAACATTACATGGGTCACTTCGGACCCAGTCATAGACTAACGTACAATTTTCCATTTAACATTCGAAACAATAAAAATAAAGGACGATAAAAAATCAATTTGAAAAACGTTATGGGTCAGACAGAATACTGACATCGCATGAGATTTCCAGAAACGTCAGTATTTTGAAGGTTAGGATAACCATCGCACTCCTATGGCTGGGTCTCCAGGGACCCACCGATGAACAGGATCACCAAAGATTATAGGACGCAAAAAATGTGAGATATGTATTATGGGTCACAATTGACCCGGCCACTGGTTCCTTGGCGTTTTGTATTCCTAGAGTTAGTACACATATAACTTATAATCGTACAATCCGTGTTCCACCTAACCAATTATCATAAAATTTTTAAATTATATCAAATTACTAAATACATAAGCTAATAAGCGGTACAAATGCAGAATCACCAGACGAATTTTCAAATTGGACTTTCTCGAAAATAAAACTTCGTACGAGGAAAGTCGATTTTACACAGTTTTCGTTCATTTTTGAAACGTTGAATCGCCAAATCCTCGGTCGTACTAACTACATAAATTGTATTACAAAAATTTTGATTTTCGCCTTTTCATTGTCGAACATCGGATGCATGCTCGTCCATTGTGCGGTGTAAAATTGACAAACGATGGACTTGGTCGTCAAAAGTTCACCGGTGAGAGTTAGCACAAGTCAATTTGTTCCAGGAATGCAAATTATATCGCGCTGCATGCTACCCAGGCCGATACTGAAAATGAGGATTGACCGTCCCTTTTTCTATAGTATCGTCAACGTGGACAGTGATTCAGCGACCCAGGATCGAAATGTTATTCCGATATTTACCGGCTGTGTCCTTGAGCCGAGTTCCGTATAATTTCACGAACGAAATCAGATAAGCTCGAAGTCTTCTACGCCCTGAACTACAGATTCTAGAACATATTAACCTCAAGTCTAGTCTGCATTAGCCAAAGGTTGTGAACGAAATTACGAAGCTACTTTTATATTCTTTCTTATAATGTGGAAATAAATTATTGTTATACAATGATATACACTTCGAACTGATTTTTTTTCTAAAGAGATACAATGAGTAGAATGGTTATACTGCTGGTGGAAACAGTTCTTTGGTTCTCCTTTTCCAAAATGGCGGACGCTGGAAGGCTTTTTCAATATTTCTGTTTGTTTTTTTGTCTTTTCAATTTACAATATTTAAGACGTTCAAGGTTTTTTGAAAGGAAAATGTCACGTATGTTGATGACTCGGAATATTGGAGGTTTTTCATATCACTTTGTCAGCCATATTGGAGAACCGGAGATGCTTCCAGGGATCGTATAATCGTTTCGTACAATGTGTCTTTTCAGAAGGGATTATACGAATTGGTCGGGTGATACGAGCTGGAATTTATCGAATGATAATGAATATTTGTTACATAATATTTATATAGACAAATTTAAAAAAATGCTATTCTTAGTGTAATCATTTTGGATGAAGCTTTAGCAATATTTCTTATTAGTATAAAAATTATGTAGCATATTTTAATAAAATGATTACAATACCTTACTTTTAACGTAATCGTTTTGAAGAAACGATAATGTATCTCTTAACAATTTCACATTTCTCGAATAACCGGTTACATCCTTGCTAAAAGTTCTCCCATTCTTGCTAAACTTGCTCCCGCTCCGTTAAAAAGTAACTACAGTAAATCTTCGATTAACGCTCGAAACTCAGGACCCCTTTAGAGCAGTTATCGTGGAGGTACACGGTTTCTGCACTTTATGAACTGCATTTCGGGCCGAGCCTCCATTGTGGAACTCTCCAATAGTGGGGATGAAGTAGAGGTATTCAACGTAGAGATCCTTCTGAGCAGTTATCGAGAATTTACTGTACTTGGACGTCTCTAGTGCATGTATTCTAACGTGTTAACCCTTTAACAATGGAATTTTGTTTTGGAAGTGTATAACCATTTGACTTCTTTGTTCTAATAAAATAATAAAAAAAATACATTTTTCAATTTTTACTAAAATTTTAATTATCAGAGCAAAGAGTTTACTCTGAATTATTGGATTCACAGTTTTATACAGGATATCCACGTAAGCGACAATGGAAACCTGAAATTCCTCTAATTGGCTCAATGTCCTGACGTGAAACTAAGATTCACGTTTATAGTCTTGACAGAAAATTAACATTAGGTCGTAATTTGTTCCAGAAATTATCATCGCGGAGGATTTGTTGGAATATCCACAAGAATTCACCCTCGATCGCCCGTTTTTCTACGCGATTGTCAAAAATTTCGACGACACTAAAGTTCTACCATTATTCAGTGGGAGCGTAGTAGAACCTCGTTTGTAATTGATATCAGTGTCGATTGAAGTGACTGTAATCTTACTATTACCAATTATTGTAATGCTTTGTAACAATGCACTGTATACATATCTGAAAAACAGTATGATTAATTGCCATTTGTTTTTTTATTATTATTTTTCTACTTCATATTTATTTTCACTTATTTCAATATTTCGTGAATACAGAATATATATTATGTCAGTAAAGGTATCAAAGTAACAATATTTTAGGTTAGGCTGAGCCTTGTTTGCACACCACTTACGATATCAAGTACTTTGTTTATTTTTCCTATTTCTTTTTCTTTTAATAATAATGGTAATGGTATTATTATGATAACGGAAGAAAATCGGGACACTGTATAATAGGAAAGTTTTCATTCCATTTGAGCTCCCCTACCATCCCTTGAAACATTGAAACGTACATCTGGAACATCCTGTATACAGGTTGTCCGGTTACTCGTTTCAGAAACTTTAAGGGTTGATTCTACATGCGAAAATAAGACGAAAATCAAGAATGACGAAATTACGTTAGAAGCTTCGTTTCTGAGTTATTAATTGTTGAAAACACGGGTGAAAGGCGCCTGACGCGAGGATATCCTGTAAGCGTCAGGCGGGTGCATCTGACGCCTACAGGAACGTTCACCTTTAGACTATTGCGGTCGCGTGTTTTCAACAATTAATAACTAGAAAACGAAGCCTCCAACACAATTTTGTTATTCTTGATTTTTATCTTATTTTGTCATGTGGAATCACCCTTTAGAGTTTCTGACACCAGTAATCGTACACCTTGTATCTACACTGTGATAAAAAAATATATATGTATATAAAAAATGTATATATATATGATAATAAAATTTGTTCCAGGTACCATAATGATGAAACTGTCTTTGGTGTTCCCTGAGGATTTCACTGTAAACCGTCCATTCTATTATAGTATCATACAACACATCAAAGACGAAGACAAGAAAAAACCTAATTTCATCGTATCACTCTTCAGTGGTTTTGTCACTGATCCCTCAATCTGAGCGCACAGTAATATTCTTATTACAACTAACAATATGGCTATTTATGTATTGTTTATGGTATATTTAAATTATATAAAAAAGCATTAACTAAAAATGGGAAGTTGTATGCATGGCTGAAGTTGGGCTGAAAAAAGAATCGAGATGGAGAAACATGGTGTTTACCAACAATCATCAATTGGGCACTTATCATTGTTAACATTTTCATCAGGTCATTAAAGAATCAAATTGTTAACCTTAAACAAAAATTGTCTTTTTTTTCGTTTGAACAGTCCTACGTTTAATTTGTTTCAGCGATAGTAGTTGGTTTAACCCATGTCAGCTTTCGTCCACGGATTATAAGGATGAATATTGATCGACCATTTTTGTATGGTATTCTCTACAAAAGTAAATCTTTGGAATTCCGAAACGCTGATACAATTTTATTCAGCGGACGTGTCGTCAATCCTTCGGTTTAATTTATTAGATTACCGAATCATGTATTGGTTTTTATCAATAAATTACTAAAAAGAAAGTCACCACAAAAATAATGTACAAAATACTACTGCAATTATCCGAGTGATAGTACATAAATGTTATTTCTTGTAAAGTAATATTTTTCCTATATTGGGTTTACTTCAGAGAATTAATAACTAATAGTAGACTTTGCTTCATTTTTTGCTATCAATGTTAATCCTTTTTTGGGTTTAACTATATCTTTGCACCTGTATTTATTTCATGCCACACCAATTAACATTTCAGGCTGTTCATTCCTTCAATAGTTTTAAGTAACTATGTTGTTAATGGCTTTTTGTTTTCAGTGATATTTATTATTTTGGCCATTCTTTTATACCACTCTCTCTCTTTGTTTTACTATGCTTAATAAATTCACCCTGAAGAAGGAATCAGTCGTCTGTTAACTGTTGTTTGTCTATTCCACAAAAAAACTGCGAACAATTAAACAAACACTAATGAAAAGGTGACCAAAATAGGCAAAATTAAAATGTTTCCATGAAGAAGTCGGTTCACACTTATTTTCAATTTTACAGTTTCCCGCGATCTTCGAAAGTTTCGGAAATAGTTCGGCAGGCTCCCACCAGACAGCTACCATAAAAATGAAATTTTTTCAATTTTGCAGTTTTCCCGCGTTTCTTGAATGTTTCAGAATTACTTTGGAATTTATTACTTTATTAGTATTTATTATTTATACATTATTATGGAACATTTTCCAAGGTCTCACTGCAATAGCAACTCTACGAAACATGCAGAATTCCACAGATAAACGTGGGATAATTTTAAAAATATAACGAACTCTACACGACTTTCGTTATCAATTTACTCGAAACCCTATGCTTAGGGGACATAAAATTTCCATTACAAAACTTAACAAATTATAGAAAAATCACAATTTAAATAGTTGTATAGGCTAAGGAATATTAGACTATTTACTTTTTAACACAATTAACTGTCATAAGCTTCAATGAATTTCATTTCATTCATTCTAAAGGGTTGTTCATAACTTCGAAGTCTGGGGTAGATACTATACAATGAAAAAACGTCCTACTAAAAATTTGAAGTATTGGAAATATTCGGATTTTTGGGAGTTTTCGAGTATTCGAAGTGATCGAAGTTTGAATTGTACTGAATAGGAATCTAAACATACATGTATAATATATTTTTTCACACATGGTGTTTACCAACCATCATCAATTGGGCACTTATCATTGTTAACATTCCCATCGGGTCATTGTCATTAAACAATCAAATTGTTAACGTTAAACAAAAATTGTCTTTTTTTTTTCGATTGAACAGTCCTACGTTTAATTTGTTTCAGCGATAGTATTTAATTTAACCAGCCTTAACTCTGGTCCACGGATTATAAGGATGAATATTGACCGACCATTTTTTTATGGTATTCTCTACCAAAGTAAAACTTTGGAATTCCGAAATGCTGATACAATTTTATTCAGCGGACGTGTCGTCAATCCTTCGATTTAATTTATTAGAATACGGAATTATGTATTGTTTTTTATCAATAAATTACTAAAAAAGAGTCACTACAGAAATAATGTACAAAATACTACTGCAATTACCCGAGTGATAGTACATAAATGTTATTTTTTGTAAAGTAATATTGTTCCTATGTTGGGTTCACTTATAAATAATTGATACTTGATACGGATAGAACGTCCTCTAACTTAAAAATCTATACAGGCAATTCTTGATCAACTAACACTTAAAAATTCATTTCAGGAGCTTCAAGTAATCATATTATTAATCTCTTTTAGTGAAAGGCTTTACTGACTGAAAAGTGCTGTGTAATTTGTTTCAGCAATCCAATTTGTTTATGCCAGTGCTTTCCAGTTTACTCCGGCCATTCAAATCGATCGGCCATTTTTTTACGGTATTCTCCACAGACCTCAAAATCCAGAAGGCGAAGGCGCTGCTACAATTTTATTCAGCGGACGCGTTAGCAACCCTTCAGTTTAATTCATTTTTATATGTAATTATATACCTACATAATCAAATATTTGTCAGTACTATGCAACTTGTAATAGTACATATTTCTTTTTGTGTTTTCCATTGAAAATTATGTTATAACATCCTCGAAGATGAATAAATATTAACTGCACTAACTTTTTGCACATTTAACATCCTCAACCCTCAAAATAGTGTGTTGGATTTTCAGAGATCTCATAAATTTTTGGCTGTTCTGTACGAGTACATAAGACAGTTATGTCACATTTCTTATAAATAAAATTTTAAGTATATTATTTATTTTCAGTCATCTATAGTATCGCCTGAAGAATGAGTGGAAAATGTTAGTAATGAAATTTTAATAGCAAAAATCGTTACGATCTTTGTTAGTGATTTAAAATCACCCCAATTTTTTGTAGAAATTGTACATACAAGATATAACAACCGCAGTTATCATAGATAAAGTGTTTGATGAATGTGAATAAATGTTAATCATAAGGGAGTATATAAAAATAAAAAATGAATAGTACTGAATTTATTTAACTACAAATTTATTCACTTATTTTGTAACACAGTTCATGCTGCTGTTATTTTATTGTTTCGCGTTAACACTGTTTTTTTTATTTCTAATACACTGTAGTCATAATAAACAATATTTCTCATGTATTAAAATTTTGTTGCAGCGAACATATTTAATAGATTAATGGTCACGGTTGTGCCGTCATTCTTAATCGATCGACCATTTTTCTATGGCATCGTTAAAACAACAAATAACAAAACATCCGAATTTTCCGAGAATGTATCAATATTCTCGGGACACGTAAGTGAACCGTAAATTCAAAAGTACAAAAAAAGATTTAAAAATGTAATCATGTTGTGTATGTCAACTATATAAACTTTTATAATCCTTGTATAAACTATATATGTATATATAATAAACACTAATACGATCTATCTAAAAGGCACGTAATATTAGTGATTTTTTTTTTCCATTAAACTTTTACATGTATGGACGTTGTATATAATTGTTGTTTGTTAAAGAAATGTAATTCGATTATTTTAAAAAAATTAACCAGTTAATCGTTAAGAAATGTAACTCCATTGCACGAAGATCTAATGTTAACATAAATTTTTAAATGCAAATTATAACTCGAATTTTTAAAAGTCTAATTAACAAGTACTCTAAAGTATAGTAATTATAAATTGAGAAGTTCATGACAATAGGGACCCTTGTCGAAAAAATTTGAAACGTGAGCTAACACTTTCTAACTATTTATGGTAATACTGTTATTTATTTTATTGTACTGTTAAAGCCTCATTCAGCGTAGCGAAATCAAACAAATCTTCAATTTCTCGTACGTTTTCTACTACTCTTTCTAAAATAAATCTTGTACAATATAGTTAAAAATTAAAAACTTAATTTAACGAGATTCTTGGACTTCAAACTTAGTAACATGAACACAATGATTCGAAATAAGAAAATCGAATACATGCACAAAATCCATAACAAAGGTAGAAAGTTTGTTTCTTCTCTTGATAATACAAATTTTGTAACAAGGATCGTCTTTGTAATAAACCGTTCAATTAACACATTCGAGACCGACGTATTCTTACAAGACTATACCCAGAAAATGGCCATGTTTACGTATCGTGCTATAAGTGACCCATATCAGCAAAACGAGTGAGATATTACAGGACTCATATGCTGGGTCATCGATATCAAATGTATTAAAATAAAGAATAAAAGGTTTTTCCCTCTAAAATCTAATATAATAGCGTGTATCATATGGCTTGTATATTCATAAAAAATACTTATTTCTGAATTACTTCACTTTCCATGCGAATATTATTAACTGATCACGCAATTATCCTTCGCCAATTTTATGGAATGCGCAGTTTCCGTTGAACCGGTACCAGTGGACGTAAGAGATCCTCGACGTGGCTCTATCATAGGCATAGTAGTGGTAGTGTCCAAAAATTCATCATCATTATCAGAATCAGTATTTCTGTCTTTGCCATCCCTCAGTTGTCTTTTCGGCATTATATCATTCATATACGTCTCAATCATTTGTCGGTTTTGGGTAGAAATGTTGTTACCATTACCAACTACATACGGTAAACTGTCATTCTTCTCTTGTTGATCTTTGGACATTCTTTCGATATACATGCGTTGCAGCTCGGCCAACGCCTCGTCCATGAAACGTACAGTCTGTTGTTTACGATCCGGCATCGCGTTACCGTTTAAACCGATAGATTTACGTACCCCACCGTTGGTCTCTCTCCTTCTAGGATGTTCTGTGTCCAACATTGTTCTCGTGAAACCAATAGGTAGGTTAGGTTTCTTATTTATGGTATTATAAGATGGTCCGTAAACTGGTTTAGGTTCAGCCACTGGATCTCCACATTTATTTAGCATCCACTCTCTAACGTAACTTTTGCCAACGTTCATTTGACTTTCTCTTGATGGCGCAGTGGGTTGTACAGTGGGAACTGTCTCGCTGTAACCAGTTGGGCACACATTCTGTTGTACGGTGGTAACTGTCTCGCTGTAGCCACTTGGACCCAGATTCTGTTGTCCCTGTACATTCGCTGGAATATGTTGCACACGATTCTGTTGTTCATGTTGTACTTTAAAATCCTTCCATCTGCCTGTATTCATTACAAGCTGAGCCAATTGTTGAATCGTTTGCTTTGGCGCTGCAACAGATGTCCTCTCGTTATTACCAGAAACGGTCCCGAATTTCGCTGGTGTAGAGGTGTCACAGGGTTCGCCAGGTACACACGCAGGCTGGATGTTCAAGTGACGTAAATGTTCGTAGCCTTCTCCTTGGCCAGTCAATAAATCGTCGTCGATATTCCTTAAATTTCCTTTGTTCACGTCGACGACATCGGAGTAGCTCATAGCTTGTTCCGCGGCGCGACACTCGTTTTCCAAAAATGCTGTCGTCAGTATCATCGCGGCAGTAGGTTCCCTCTGTGTAAATAATCTTCTGCGAGCGTGCAGGGTCTGACTTATGCTTGCTTCGAGACGAGCATTTTCCATCATCTCTTCCAACTGCTTTTCCATGTCCAAGAACCGTTTAGTTTCGAACTTCAATGTTTCTGTATCCATGTGGATTTTATCCACTTCCCTGGCTATACGCCTCTCTGCAGACGATTGGGTACGAGTGTCTGTGGTCGAGGCAACTTGGAAGCCCAACCGTTGCTGAGCCTTAACGAAAGGGGATTGCGATACTGGTCCAAGTTTCGACCATATCGTGCCAGGCTTTTTGACTGGACTAGTTATAGGCGACACAACACCTGGCCTTGTTGTCACAGTATTCTGATTGATTAATTCGATGTTAGAATTTGGCACTGTACAAGGAACACGACATGGTTTTGGAGGAACTAGATCCAGTTTAGGAGGCGGAGCTCCAGGCCTTGGTGGAGGCACCAGAGAAGTTATGATGGGTTCTGGTGATGGAGGTATTTCAATGTCTGCGTCCGATGATTGTTTTGTGAGCACAGTGGTGTGTACCACCTTCACTAAATCATCTAATCGACTTTCAAGTCTGTTTTGACGATCTCTATCTAAGTCCAAGAATTTTGTTAACATATCATTTTGTGCAGCAAGGATCTGTAAGAAATTTACAATATATAAAAAATTATATACAGAATATATTTTCTTCTAATTTCATAATCTTTCTAGACGAGAACTTCTGTTCCTTATTCTGCTTGTATCTTACCTTATTGACAACATCATTTTGAGAACTGATGGCACTTAAGACAAGTTGTTCTAGTTTTTGCGCTTTCTTCTTTCGTATTGGCACATTTGGAATATTATCTGTATTAACAGCAGTGTCCTTCGATCTATTGTCATTTTCTGATTGACTTAAGGAATCCATTAAAAATTCTAATAGCAGGGTATCGTCGTTGCAGGTTGCGTTATTTGTTATCACAGAAACATTTTGATTTAGTAATGGATTCTCTACTTGTGTACCTTGATTGTAAGTTTCGCCCAAGTTATGTGTTTTGTCGCTGTTTTTTGCCTGGCAAAAAGCTTCGTTTAAGTTTTGAGATACATCTGGTGAATAATTTGGAGACAGACAACCACCTTCCTTCGTGTCCACCACAGCAGGCATATGAGTCAATATATTGCCATATTGCTGTTTATACGTAGCAGCTAAATTCTGTCCAAACATAACCTTTCGTGGTTCTTGCGGCATCGCACGATTATTCACTTGCGTCATTTGTTGCAAGTGATTTTGTTGCTGCATTAGCTGCTCCAAACTAGGATTCTGTCCTGTCAAAGGACTAATTTTTACTGGGACATTCACAGATTGCATTGCAAAATTCTGATTCAGATTATGCATATTTGGTTGGAAACCTAAATTGTTCACCAACATATGCTGTTGATTACTCATACAATTCTGTTGCATATTTTCTTGAATTATGTGGTTCTGCACATTTTGCACGGTATTTTGAAAAGGTACTTCTCCATAAGGATAATTTAAATTTTGTTTGTAACTCGCAAGCAACGGTTCTTCCATTCCAATTCCATTACACTGCGTTGATTTACCAGCTATTTGTATCAATTGATCACCAGTATTAATAGCTACATCCCTTGTGGGAGAAAAGACTCTATACGGCCTAGCTATTATAGTCTCATTCGATTCTGGAGAGTCAGGATATTCATTCTCACCTACAACACATATTACAATTTGTTTTATAAAATAATGCTGTAAAATTGATGTACTTAATACATTCTAATGAATGTACTTAAATTTTTTAGAAAATATTCATTCATTCTATTATTTATCCTTAAGCTTTTATACCATCATATAGACTCTATATCCGATATGTTTTTAATGTTTAAAATGTGACTCTTACGTCCTAATCCCCATGTTGGAGACAATGCCTCTGTACGATGAAGTGACTGTACAGGCTCCTGAAACTTGTGTCTCATTTGTAAATTTCTATTTGTTTTCACGTCTTTTGGAGGCGACTTAACATTTATTGCAGCATCTATAAAAACATCAAGTGTATAGTTAGTCTTTTATTTCGACGAAGTGTGCTCATCAAATATCATCTAAGCTTTATATTCCGAACTGTGGTGGTTCAAACATAAACACAGACGATAGAAATTAATAAAAAAAATATGCCAACTATTAAACCATTCGGATGAACTTACCTACAGTATCTATACCATTAATATTTTCATCTAGACGTTTATTCTTAAGAACTCTGTCAATAGATTCGTAATACTGCTCAACGCCCGCCCGAGTGCCAGCTCTTTTAGCTTCGCGATAACACACCAAAACCTGTTTCATCCGAGATCGACACTGTTTCGCGGAAACATTGTATCCTTTCTTCTTCATATATCGCGCGACACTTTCCCATATTAGCTGCGGTTTCGACGTGTACTCAAGTTGCTTTTGCACTTGTCTATCTGACCAAATCGACACTAACAACGACGTGCTATCAGGGGTCCACTTGTATTTAACATTATCTCCAGAATCGCTCATCTTTTAGGAGTTAGTTTTCGAGACTCATGAAACGTGTACAAGCTAGTGTAACAATTAGAATTATAATGCGCCAACAACTGTTTTATCACGTATTAACAGGTTGCCACAAAATATAGACTTCGGTCCATCATGCAGCAAGATGACGCCTTAACTTTGCTTACACGGTGCATAAACTCGGATCAACCGTCACCAACCGACCGACAATTCAAATTTCATTGTGCAACAGGTGGTGGGGTAAAGTGCATGCGTAGGAGGCGTTGAGTGACACTCGACAGTGGCAGGGATAAACTTGAGTGCATCTTGGTGCATCTTCACGTAACGTCGAGTCACAGACGAGATGCATATAAGAATAGACCCTGTCGCTATATGGGACCACAGACGAGATATAAGAATAGACCTAACATGCAATGTAATTTTCTGTCCCATGCTTCGAGGGCGTCAGAAGCCCCCTTCCATTTTAGTGTTAATACCCGACGTTACCGATAAAGCATGAATCCTGAGTATTATTAGCACAAATGAAGTGTTATATATTCGTTATATGATATATGATTTGACGGAAATAAAAATATCCGATGCTTCGATTTAAGGTTAAGGGATAAATATGACAGCATGAAACGTGAAACGGAAAAGTATATATTTTTTCACTTAACTACAAGACAATTTATTCTAAATGCATCGTTAATGGAGATTTTATTAATGTTACTTTTTACATGTTCTTGTTTTATTCGTTTTTATATATTGCCTTACATTTGTATATTTGTAACAGATAAATTCAGAATAGATGTAGTTTCATAAATAGTTTATCAAATCTACATGTGGGAGAATATATACACCGCTTTTATTAACATTTACATATTTATAATTTATATGGGAGTATGAATAGTTTTACTGCCTATTGTAAGAATCTTAATACGCACGGACAATTACTGTCTGGCAATTGGTAAATTTTTACATATGAATTTACTTACACGTTATTTACTTACAAAAATTTTATTTATTGCGAGTAATTAAATAATGAACGTATGTTAATATTCAGCTACGTGTCTCTCAAATTAAGTGAAATACAGAAGTTTTATTTTCTTGAAAATTAGTGTCAAAGAATGCAGCAACTGGTCAGATTAGTTTCGTAAATAAATCGAAACCCTGTATCGGCACATTGTTTTTTATGCTATCAAATATCACACGGAATCTTTTAGGAAGTAGTAAAATCTTTTACACAAATTCAATGAAATACTTTCAGGTACCCAGTTTAGGGCTATGAAATTAGAATGTTCAAGAAGAGGTAAAAAAGTTTCATATTTGCAATTATTTTGTGAAATGAATAATAAATAAGGGTCTTAGGGATTTATACTGGAGAGCTAAATCTTTAAAAGGAACATGTCGCTTAAACAAATTAGTTAAATATGATATTTATTTGGGGAATATGAACATCATAAATAAACGAGAGCGGTAGAGCGAGTTGCGGTATCGTAGTTAGTAGCGTAGTTCATCGTAGACTTAATAACTGCTTGGTATATAGAATATTAGGTGCGCAAACGAAATGATCGATGGAACTTTTTCCATTCCGTCTATCTCTTTCGTTTGAGTATTAGCGACTACGTTGCGTTTAGTTTAAGTTATTTTGTATTAATAGCATTAATTCGTATTAATTAGAATATTAAGATAATATTAGTTCTAAGCTGAAGAACGAAGACAACCGACGAGGGAACTTAGTTTTTTATAGGTTTAGGTTCAAGAAAGAAGTCATCCGCCGAGGGATTTTAGTACCGATAGTATTAGATAGTTAAGATTTAAGTTATTTATAAGGTTTATTGTGAAAGGTGGGTAGATGTGGAACTTGTGATTCCATCTACCTGCCTTGGGCCTCGACTCGCAGCAACCTCCTCGTGGTGAGGCCTGGGCAATCGGTATTATCATCGGTAAAGTACTGTAAACTGATGACAATATCGAGCTAATGGCTGCGAACTTCGGATCTATCTCATAAAACCACGTTCTATATTATATCAAATTAGGATTATTTTAGAAATCGATATGAGATTCAAAGTGTAAAAATGTCTAGTACTTTGAATGTTTTAGAAAATTATTCGAGATAAAGATGTATGGAACTACTGAAAATTACTTTAGATTCCTTTTCCTTATTCTGTAAATTCTTTGATTGGAATACGAATACTGTTGGAAGTATGAACATTTTCACAGGACAATGATATAAATGGAACTTTAAAACTTTTTTAAGTGTTACAGTGATATTTCGTTATATGTTCCATAATGTCAATAATATTGATTTCCTTGCAACATCCATAATTATTACAAATGTCAATATAACGAAATATCTTTTATGCGATGTTTGTGGTGTAATAAAAATCTGTGTTTCGATTACGTTTTTGATACGTATTACTCACTTATATGTAATAATATAGAATAAAAATATACTATTAGTCCGATATTTGAAAATATGCATGCGTTCGTTGTCACTGTTAAACTGTTGTAATAACAATGGAATAATAAAATAATTTACTCGAATGTACATAATAATACATATACATATCCATAAAAACAATATTAAACGCAATAACTTTTTTGTACGCGAAGAAAAACTAATATAGGTCCGTCGGGATTAGAACCCAAGACTCCTTTCTAATATGTCTACTTTATAGCGAACGGACGGAAGAGAATCCGTTTTCGACCATGGTCCCTTCTTAGATTTAACGTAGTTCACAAATTCACCGTTCTCATAACGTAGAGGGCAGCAGAAAAGCCCTGACTTTTTACACTATCGGTATTTCAGAACATGAGACACGAAGTCCCATAAGATGATAGGTCTATCCTATACCTACTCGGATGCCTATACCTAGTCGGTGATAGGACTTCGTGGTTCTAGGAATCTGTAGTGTCGGTACCTCAAAAATTTCTCTGGGATTTTAACGTCCTCAACATTATGAAAATGGTGAATTCCAAAATCACATGCACTCCAACTCGATCTCAGCTAGCTAAACTTCTTCGCTGTGAACTACTGTGAAGTAAACGTAGTAAAAAGAAGATCTTGCCTTCGTGTCCCGGCAGGACCTTATTACTTTTTTTTCGAGTATAAGAAAGTAATCACGTTTAATATTGTTTTTATGAACACGTATATGTATTATTATGCAAATTTGAGTAAAATATTTCATTTTTTGATTGTTAATACAACAGTTTAGCAGTGACAGTGAACGCATATATGTTTTCCAATATAAATAGCATACTTCCATTTTGTATTATTTAAGTAAGTAATATAAAATTTATTTTTATATTACTCACTTTATATTAAGTAAGTATAAAATTTAAGTGAGTAATATTTAACAAAAAAGCAATCGAAACACAAATTTGCTTGAAATCTTATGTATTCTCTCGAAGTTAAATGTGACGGGAAAATTGACTTTCGAAAAGCGCGGGTAAACGGCAAAATCGAGAAATGTGAATTCTCATGGTAATCACCGAGTGGCGGAAAATGGAATTAAACATAGAAATGCATAAGATAGTTGTGGAAGACGTTGCCAGATGGCGCCACAGTGCAAATTTTGCCGTTTCCCGCATTCTCCGAAAGTTTTGTAAATAGTTCGGCAGGCTCTCACCAGACAGCTACCATAAAAATGGACATTTTTCAATTTTGCAGTTTTCTCGCGTTTCTTGAATGTTTCAGACTTACTTTGGAATTTATTACTTTATTAGTATTTATACATTGTTACGGAATATTTTCCAAGGTCTCACTGCAATAGCAATTCTACGAAACATGCAGAATTCCACAGACAAACGTGGGATGATTTTAAAAATATAACGAACTCTACTCGACTTTCGTTATCAATTTACTCGAAACCCTACGCTTAGAGGACATAAAATTTCCATTACAAAACTTAACAAATCATTGAAAAATCACAATTTAAATAGTTGTATGGGCTAAGGAATATTAGACTATTTACTTTTTAACACAATTAACTGTCATAAGCTTCAATGAATTTCATTTCATTCATTCTAAAGGGTTGTTCATAACTTTGAAGTCTGGGGCAGCTACTATACAATGAAAAAAAGTCCAACTAAAAATTTGGATTGTACTGAATAGGAATCTAAACATATATGTATAATATATTTTGTCACACTTTATTGTGAAATTCTTTCCACATTGTCCGTTATAATTATTTGTTTCGAATAATTCGAATAGTTCGAACATCCGAATACTTACAATTCCACATATACACCCAAGAAGTTACGAACCCTTTTTTTCTTTCACACTGTATAAGTAGACCTAACCCCACATTTCCCTTAAAAGCAAGAAAGCAAAAACATCTGATCCCACTGTCACCATTACGTAATGTCATTTCAAGCTACAAACGATCATTAAAACATCACTGTCAATCCAAACACACAAGACAGAGCTTAGCTCGACTCTGATGTCACGCCTAAGAAGGGTCATGTCCTATCGTAAACATTTCGTACATTCCCCAATTTGTATCCTTCTGTCGATAACGGAGCATCGGCCTTGCATATTCTTGAACGTTGGGGTTGAACGAACGTGTCTGGGGTGAAACGAATCGAGGGGGTGGAATAGGGGGAAGTGGGGGGAGAGGGTGAGGGAGGTTAGGATGGGGTGCCTATGAGGGTGGCAAAGTACTCGTCAGTCGTGTAACGCGTTTCCCGCCGACAACATCGGTCACATATATCGCCGATACATTACATTAAATCGTCCAGTCGCGTTTCCACGTTTCCCACGTGCTCACTCCTCGCGTGTGTGTCGTCTGTACAGTGGTGAGATCGTTCTGTATTGCCATTGGGCATCGCGTACCGCGGCGGCGACCTGCATTATCGATCGAACGCGTTGTGCGCACGTTGCCGCAGTTACTCGTGGCCGCCGGAGCTGCCGTACACGCACACACCGCGCGCTTGTATATAAACGTTAAACGGCGTTTGTGGTGACAACGTCATGCCTAGATTCCGGTCGATTCGTGTTTTCCGCGTGGTGTTCGACGAGTCAGTGTCTTGAAAATTAATACCGATGAAACGATGTGTCCTTTAAACGTTTCAACGTGTGTGCACGCTGCCTGTCAAAAACGCCGTCCAACCGCCATGTTCCCATTTCAAATGCGTCACACGTCACCGCGCATCGCTTGAATAACAAACCCCCATCC